GGGATGTTCGCGAGGTGAGTTCTTCCTCCTCGGATGCAAGATCCATCTATCAAGCAATGCGTACACTATTGTCAAGCTCAACGAGACATCGCTTGCAGGCACGGCTCTCCGAGTCTGCAGAGGGTGAATTCAATCGGAAGTGATGTTTTCCAACCCCTTGCTTTCTGCAAGTGACGCATGTGGGCAATAAGCCCTATCTGTCGTTCACCGCCAACTCACCAACTGGCCTCCTGTCCATTTTCTCACTTTAGCCGCTATCCGTTTGACTTGTCAAGCTGCCTGGCAGGGCTGTAACCGCGCTGGCATCATAGGCATCGGCGATAAGACCGGCAGTGATGGCGACAGGAGCGGGCAGATAGAGATAACGATCGTGTTCGGTTACCCCAAGGTCAGCCCTGTGTGTATCTGTCTGAATGCAAAGAAGGCAACGAGATCACCTAAGGCTAGATGTCAAGCTAGATAGGTGATGGTGAAGCCACGCTCAAGCCTATAACAGAAACTCTCTTCAACCGAGTGATCGAGGGGTCAGCAGCGTTTTGTTTTGCTTTGCTCCTCTGCCCCTCCTTGGTGCTGAGGAGCATGCAGAAATTTGGGGCCAGGGGCTGCTGCTTGCTGCTCTAAGCCAAGGCCTCTCTCGGGACCAGGGCCACATCGAGGGCTTCTCTTGAAGCGTCTTGCTTCCGATGGTCGGTGATTCGCCGAACCTGGTCATTGTCTTGTCGCTTCATCTGCAATGTATTCCGGCCGAGGGTTGTGCATCGGAGCATAGGGTGTTGATATCACGAATTTTGACATTTTTGTCTCCGAAATTTTGTGCGCAATGCGGCGTGCCCAGGCTACGTCAAAGAATCCAGGGGGGATGGTTGGACGTATGTGGTTTGTGTCTTCACCCCCACCCTCGCCGGCATGAAATATGCAACGCACCATGCAATGCCCGTGGCCCTGCCATGCCGTCAAGGCTTTGAAGACTGTCGGTGAGAGCCAAAACGCGTGGATAATCGGTCAGTTATGTGCTCCCATCAGCTTGGAAGCTTGGAAGGTTGTCTATTTTTTGGTATGGAATGTAGGGAAGAAAGGAATCTGCGAGAGACACTGCTCACCGTTCACAGTGGTTCCGGGAACCGCTAAGCCGAGTCACTTCGTTGCTCCGGACAGAGTGGGCTTTTTTCAGGGCCTGGTTGATCCAATCGCCTCCAAACGGGGCACGAAGCTCCTGCATCCAGCCCCGGCTTGCTGGAAGCTTATTGGTCAATACAGGACTTGGAACCAAACTGGCTGCTGATTTTGGACATCAACGCAGCAGATGCGAGAGCCATTAGGGCAGCAAAACTTCTTCGAACTCATCACGTTCCCCGTGTCGTGGTGTGAGTCACCGAACTGACAATGAGGGAGACGGAGAGGGCGAGGTTGGTGAGCGTCTCGTCGCCCATCCCAACGCTCAGCAACTCCTGGTAGAGAGGGAAGTCAATTGAGACGGTGAAGAGGACGAGAAAAAAAATTTTCTTCTCGCGGTGTGAGCCAAGGACAGGGGGCTTGGGCAAAACGCAAATCCATCCAAAACGGAAAAGGTGCCGGGGACCGCGCCGACCAGGCTCGGGTTGGGGTGTGTGTTTCTGGAAAAATGGCCAAACTGCCAAGCGAGCCAAGATTCCAGCCGGGACGATTGGGAAGGTGAGGACGAGGTGAATGCCCCACCGAACCGCACCTGGAAGAGTGTGTGATTGTGCGCTGCCTTCGCATGATCGACCAACCTTGGCAAATTCGTCCAGCTTTCCAGGGCCAGGATTTGTCGAGCCAACACAGGTTTGAGCTCTCATAATCGACCCGCGGCACAGCGTGTGAAAAATTCGTCCTTATTGTGACCGCGGCTGGTCTCTTGTCTTCTTGGGACGGTGTTTCAGCACTGTATGGGGCTTGGACGACTCCCTTCCGTCTTGCAGTGCTGCTCTCGAACATGACGAGGAGAGAGGCAACCGAGGCCAGGGGTATGCATGATAGATCTCGGGGGTATCTGCTGCTGTCATCTGTGCCCACACACAGATATTAACTTACGTTGGATAATGAGCTTGTGTGTCGAAGGTAATAATGATGATCTGCACAGAATCATGCTTACATGCTCGAGTCATATGGCAACATCCAACATCCCTCTCCGAACAGCACAGGCCGGATCAGTGAGGTGTCTCAATGAGGAATGGCTCACGGGACTGGTTGAGTGTTGTGGGATACAATTTGGCTAATATTCCAGACTCTGCTAGCGGCGAAAGGGAACTTGGCAACGTATCAAACATCACCAGCAGAACGCGATTCACGCTGAGAGTAGAGGATTGTGAGTAGACAGCTGCGACTGACGCGGCCGGAATCCTGAGGGAAGATCTGGGTGCTTGGGCACCTGTGGCGTTTATCAGCCATGGCATGAAATCTCGTTCGCCATATGGGAGGGAAGTGACCAGATCTCTTCAGGGCAACGTGATTGTGTTGAGTTACATCATCCATTATACTGGGCTCCTGGCTGTTCTGTAAGATAATCTTGCCTGTTTGTTGTTTTGAGGTGACTCGTCCATTGGATCTATTGTTACGCAAGCTCAGCAGAATGAGAGAAACATCCAAGCATCCGCCATGCCGGGTAAAGATTTAAACTGGCCTTTGAAATAGGTATTCGCTCTGGCGCGAAGAGTCTCTGATATTGGTCTTGAAGTCAGCGTGTCATCATTGGCGCAGACATGCAAGGACCCCGCTCCCAGAGTTTCAACGGCCTGCAAGTCCCTGCATCCGCGACACGCGAGGACGAACGGCTGTGCAGCTTGACGTGAACAGGATCCGCACAAGCGTGAACTGTAGCTGAAATCCATCCACAAAACTTCCGAGAGGGCAGAACACAGGATAAAGGTGGATGCACGCCTCTTGGCATCCCGGATTCCAGATCTGACGGGTGAACTTGTCCCAAAACAGCTGCCAAAGTCTCAGACTGCATCTGTCAACTTCATGTGATTGTGAGAACCATACTTTATAGCTGAAGCTTGGCCGAGAAGACGCTACTGTCTCTTTCATCCAGCAGGTAGAAGATTGGAGCAAAGGAGATTGAGAGAGGGGTGGTCCAGCTAGCGTCAGCATTTTTCTGCCTTCCGAACCTTCCCCTACACCGGCTTAACGCCTGGTCGTCGCTCCTACACCCTCAGTGGCTTCAAAATGCCCAGGTTACCAGGATTCAGTCCTCGGGCTGGTTGCCGAGTTGCTGAAGGTGACGAAAAGATCACCCGCAAACCGGGAGGTTCGAGGTTGATGAGGTTGATGAGGAAGGGGCTTCGTGATCCAGGCACAAAGGCGCAAAATCACTGCATGATCCTCACTTTCTTGTACTTTGCGCAACTTTTAAGTCTTTCCGCCATCGTGTTTCCGCCTCTGGCCTATTGTTTGAGCATGCGAGCAGTAACGGACGGGAGCCGCCGGCTGTTTTACTCAGCCCATAGGCTACTATCCAATCTGCATGGAAGAATCGCCCAGAGGCTGAAGCTGTGGGAATGTTCCTTCCAAAGCCCAATATCGATCGATGACCGCCACAGGCTGATAAGAATGAAGTCGCGTCGCAAGCTAAGAGTTGCCTGGTAGGACTACCTTCCGCGGCCTTGTGGCAAAAAGGTACCAAACTTTCGTCAATCATCCCGCGCTGGCAGCAAGGTCGTGGTCGCCCCCAACTATCCGCCAATGCTCAACAAACTGTGCCACCGATCCATCTCTCCGAATCGAAAGAAACGACTCAAACCGAGTCACGGTTCCAAACAATGAACCCGAGGGGACCACCGATTCCTTGGGACCGTCTTACAAGTCTTCAGAATCCTGCCATGCTTTTGTTAACGAAGGGTGGAAAAATTTTTTTTCGGAGGTTTGGTGAAAAGGTTGGATTGGTCCCCTGTCAAGGACGGCGGAAGACCACTGTGGGTGAGCAAAATCTCGCTTAGCCGGCGGACTGCGCAGCCCACCAAAAGTCCGGGGTTGATGATCCCGCCTTGCAAAAGAATTATGACAGGGTGTCAGCCAAGGTGGAGGAGAAAACCAGAGATAGGCAGGAAGAAAGTGACGAAGAACGTTGAGTCATGATATATTGGGGAATCATAGCTTCTTAAATGATGAGGGCTAGCGATGTGATGGACGAGAACGAATACATTCCTACTATCAGCGTTCACTGCCTTTGCATTGCCTCGCTTCTCCGTGCTGCTATTTTCAGGCAGGCTTGGATTTGGGCGCGGCTGAGACTGTCAAGCTGTCCCCGAAGGAGGGTGAAGGGCCTGATGAAGGCGAGCGGGAGCGATTGGCCGAACTGCGGCCTGCTTGGGCACAGTGCGGAAAAGGCCTCCTAAACTGGCAAGAAGGGGGTGTGGTTACCTCTGCTGCCTGGTGGGCGTGAATGGTGGCACCCGAGAACCTCCGTTTTAGCCACACGCCCCCCTCCACTGCTTTCCAATCAATCCCTGTCTTTCGACAAATTTTGACGGACCTAGAACAGGGAGGGACTGGAACTGCTGCCCTAGCACACTGGGAGCAATATAACCCCGGCTTCCAGCCATCCGATATCGATATTTCTCCCCTTTTATTTAGTCACTTTTGCCTCCTACTATAACTTTCCTGAACACCCAACCTTCGCACAACCCTGTGCTCTACGTGATTTTTGGGAGCTTGGACTACCATCGACGAGTCCAGCACCTTCGAGATTACACCAGAGTCGCTTCCTCGACTTTGGTGCCTGATTTGCCACGATTTTAACCCGGCATCTTGACATGTTCGCGACGAAAAGACACTGTTTCTCTCTTCCTACCAACAACTTTTCGAGGTGACAGAGCGTCACAACACCAGGCGCGAGAACAAAGCAAACGCACGATATTTGAGAGGACAAACGAGCTAGAATCCATCGACCCCTCGCACAGGCTGAGGGGTACACACGAGAGTTTTTGGTTCGGAGTTGCATGATAGTTTGGGTGTCGCAGTAAACATCCGCGAAAACGATAATGGCTACTTATTCACCTTATCGCTCGACTCCCGGTGGGGAGTTCTTCTACGACGACAAGGGGTTTCCCACTCCGTCCCCGACGCCCTCGCCTCGGGGCCCGAGCTACTACTTCGGAACAATGGCCACGCCTCAGCGTCCCTCAACCCGCGCTCACTTCCGCACCGGGAGCACCACCGGCTTTCCCCTCTACGGCAGCCCTCGTGCTTCCTTCTCCCCCCGGTACACGAGCGACGGCCTCTACGGCACTGTCAATGTGAGTCATTCGCATTCGCGTACGCGAAAGCATAGTTTTTCCGGTCTGCCGTCTCCTCGCCTCGAGCGTCGCCGCTCCTTTTCCTACATTCGGCCCTCAGACAGGCATGGGGAGTCCGACGAGGAGGAATTTCTGAATGCTAGCGGCGCCAGTTTCACGGTGCCCGCGAGGTCCACGGCCAGACGTCATAGGGATTTTCATAGCGTGAACGCTGGAGGGCATGGGACTGATCACCATCGCTATGCACAGGGCGGTCCTTACTTCGACAGAGAAGCTGCTGGGTTCGCATCGCCGTGGTACGAGCCCGACCGCCGGCCCCAGATGACTGGCCACCCTCGACGCAACTCAACCTCGGTGCCCCAGATGCCCCCAAGACCCCAGACCGCCCGGCCCGCCAGCGTTCACAGGAAGCCCCCGCCGCCCCCTCCTCATCGCCAGGCCACCGAGGCCGACGCCAAGCGGTACAAGATCCCTCCCGGCTACTCGCTCAAGAACTGGGACCCCTCCGAGGAGCCTATCCTGCTCCTGGGTAGTGTCTTCGACGCCAATTCCCTTGGCAAGTGGATCTATGACTGGACCGTTTACCATCATGGTCCCAACGGCGCCTTTGCCGACATGGCTGGTGAGCTCTGGCTCCTGCTGATCCAGCTGGCCGGCAAGCGCAAGCGTGCCGAGGAGATCATCCCCAAGATTCGCTCCAAGGAGAACCGCGAGATGGTCGAGGAGTTCATCCAGGCCGGTGAGCGTATCTCCGACAAGCTTCGCAAGCTCCTCAAGGCCTGTGAGGCCCCCATGCTCCGCTCTGCTACCAAGGACGGCGAGAAGGCCCCTGGTCAGCTGGGTAAGGACGCCGGCGTCGAGTTTGTCGAGACCCTCTTCGGCCGCGACCGCGAGCTCGAGCGCACGGAGAAGTTCATGAGCTCACTTCGCACCTGGAACCTCAGGTTTGATACCAACTGCGAGGAGATTCTCCGCAAGCCGACCGTGTAAACGCATAACACTGACACCCATGGGGCCCCCTATCATCATCCATACCTACTTTATCAAGGTCAGCTTGTCCTTCACTCTCACCGCACCACAACATCCGGGGGCCATTCAACCGCACATAACAAACCAGAAGACACAACACCAAGATACCCAGGGCACTCTGTATGATTATGTCTCTTTTTGGGGTCTTTTCGGGTCATCCGGGTCTATAAAAAGAGGATCAGTTTCTTTCCTCGGGAGCCGCGAGGCACAAAAGCGGGTTTCTCGCATCTTGAAAATTCTTTTACTACTTCGGGATTGATCCCGTCTTATACCACTGTGGGCCGGTCTTATTTGTTCGGTCTGGTCTTTTCTCAATGATACCCAAAGTGTCTGCAAAGACAGTGATGCTTGATGAAGCAACAACCAAGAACAAAACGCAGCGAGAATGCTGCTAAATCTGATGTGTATTGGTATTCAACAAGCTTACGATGTTCCTTTGTCTACTTTCATTTGTTTGGGAGGTTTACTTGGTTGGGTTAATGGGGTTGGTGGCTCTTGTCGTTATCTGTTCCTTGATCTTAGGTGGAGGATTTCATTTTGTGATGGGGTTAATAGTCGCCCCTGATTTAATGTTGATTTTTGGAAATGTTATGGATTGTTTCTTGGGTTCCTCGCTGGGCGTTCGAGCCTTGTTTACTTTTAGTTTTGGTTAACGCGTCTTGCACAATTACAGTGAAACGCGATATCTTGTCTACTCTCGTTTTCTTTCCTGGATTTCCTCAGGATGGATATACCCCTTGTTTAGTCTAATATTCGTTTGGATTTGGGTGATTACATAGATAGACTAGTGGTGGCGATTTAGATGGATAACTTGGGTTCCTTTTTCGTGCACAATACTTTGCATCAATTTTCCAGTCTAGTGTGGTGTGCAGGCTGATGATGAAACATGGATTTTCGTGTGTGAAAAATTGCTGCCCTACAAGCCACCAAGAAGCAGTACATGCACCCAAACAAACCAGTCATCTCCTGGTGTCCGTAGCCCTAGCCCGTCAGCCCTAAAACGCGCGCTCTTCGCTTTTAAAGAGCCAGGGAGCCCCGCCTCTCTGGGCCCAAGAAATTCCCCTCCTCTTGCCCAACCGGCTCCGCCACAGAAACGAATCCTCTTGCTTCGGGAACTTTGCCCGGCCAAATCGTTGGATCCGGTTTTTTCCTTTCAGCAGCGTCGGGCTGATGGTGTCTGCACCTCTGCGCAAAAGGTCAGGTTGCTACAAACGAAGAGACAAAGTTACAATCATGCTGCGAGTAACAAGTGTCATATTTCCCCTCCATTACCGACTTTCTACGGGTTATTAAGTCTGAGGGACGGTAAAATGAACCACGAACAAACGCCGCATCCTTTGGTATCTTCCGGAGCCCGTATCCATCCCATATGTCTCGGACAACGGGACCTGATGTTGTGTAAGTCTGTACTTGGGCCGGACGGGTAGTGACAGAGGGAAGATCAGTCATTTACAGAGATATTTTCTTAGCTAATTTGTCCTGCATATATGCCTGGCCCTTGAGTTTTGCACCAGAATGAACTTCGTCTGCGAGTAATCCACTAAGGACGCAACATCCCGAAGCTGAACTTTTTCCAGAGAACTTGCACTCGTTTGATATTAGGCTGAAGGTTCTTGCTCTTCGTATCCCAAAGATAGAAAGATATTCCCATGGGATGCACGGACACGTCTTGTGCTATGATGAGACGTTGCCAAATGGAGTTGTGAAACAAAAGCTTCGGTGTTTCGTAACTGCGCCAAAGTGTTTCTTGATTTTTAGCCACACTACTCTACATTAATCGTACGGATTGCTGATCGAGTCAAAAATCCCGTCCTCACGCGAGGCTGAGGCTTCTGCACTGCACAGCAGCCGCCGTTGAGCAACGGCCTGCTTGACCTTCACTGTACTGTGTGAATGGTATGACATGTCGTCAAATGTGGATTGTCCTTCACAGAGGATACCCCTGATAGCCTTCCCGTCCGCAATCCCGGGGCTCCCTTGACAGCGCCGGGGGTGTTATACAACTTGGGATGAACGGTTGAATATGATACCAGAATCTCCTTTTTCCAGCCATCATTGATACCCTTGCTCTCCTGGCTGCACGTACCCACACTCACATGTCGCAAACCCATCTTGCTGAATGGTGACTTGCGTTCTGCGAGTAGCCGACGAAGAAATAGACCAAGATATCTGCTTAAGTGGCATGACTGGGTTTGATGACGCATCGTCCCAGAATGTGCTAGATGACTTCTGCGATTACGCAGCCGCACTCGATGTTCCAGTAGAGAATCAACAATACGGGGCGGCTACAAGATGGATGTTGGCGCAGTTGCTCGCGAACAAAAACTGGAATGGGAACAAAGAGAGGGTGTGTGGCGCCCTCGGGGGGGGAGGGGGGTTTGGTACAGATGCGATAAGAACGAGGGATGGATGAAAACTGGATGAATCAATGAAAATTCTTTACCCGCGATTCCTTGTGTCACCTCGAGCCTTCCCACAAAATCCATCTACCATTTGCCTGCCGGTCCCCGGTCAGAAACGTCGAAGGCCTGGGAGACAGTCATTGTGAACGATAATCACAGGTCCGCGGCACGGACGGTCCGATTCTTCGACAGAGTGGCCGTTTTGGGGGACCTTCTACGGTGTTCGATAGACCTGTCTGTATGCTGACAACTGGTTAGTAATCAAGCTGCCTGCAAAATCTGGACGTTGTGATATTGGCGGACAAGATACAGTATTTAGATTATTCCAAGATATTCTGTGACTGGTTCGTTCTCTTGACCGCCAACCACGGCGTAATGTTCGCATGCGCCCAGCATTTGTGGTAGACAGGGCGCCAAGCCTGGGGGATGGATAGGACAGATTAGTGTGTGCCGCTCCGTATGTGAAAATTTTTCCTCTTTCCATCAGAACCCCAAACCATTGCAGCTCATCCCGCCATTTGAATACAGACGCAAGATCGCCGCCCTCGTGATCCACACAATCTATCAGCTTTCTTTTTTGATCACGATTTTCCAGCTTCCGTTTGACAAGCCGTTTTTGAAAGGGTATCATCAATCGCTCCAGGCCCTCGTACCGCATACCACGAAGTTCGGTGTGCCCCACTCCCCATCTCTGAAAACCCCGCATTCACCGAGGTGTGGGAACAAGGTGTGAATCCAGCGAAGCACAGTCTGGGCGGGCATCTTCACCGTCTGGAAAATTTGTCCCGAGATACTCAGATTATCAGCCACTGTGGCACATGTTACACTGGACGGAACAATCATCGAAGATCGAGCAATATGTTTGGATTTTGTTTGCCAGCTGCTCTTGACCACAAATCCTATCCTGTGCTCTACAATGTCCTTTGCATCTGTGGCACGGCCTGTTGCTCCCAAACATCGAGCTTGGCCCAGACCAACAAAACCTGTGGATATCTCAGCCCTATGAGTGGAGACATTTTAGTACTGGGCATTCTGTAACGAAACCTGCCGTCACAGCCACAGCGTCTCTGCTTGAATTCTCCCACGCGGGACTCACCGTCGACATCGGCGACATGCGCCGCTATCACCGGTATCACAAGCACAAACACTAGATAGAGTGCTTAAAGTCTTCGTGCAGTCACTTCAGGAAAGACGCTAATTCCAAGTTACTGCAAAGACATGGCCTGTAGATGCCGATTAACATGACATCCAGAGAATGATCGACACACACCCAACAATCCCTTTGAAGATATCTCCAGCTTGCGATAAGCACACCTGACCTTTCTTGATATCGCGTAATCTATCCCGGAGATAGTCATCCCCGCAATCAGCACGCCAAGCAGTGGTTGCCTACATTTGAAACATTCACATGCTCGCTTGCCCAGGAGCGACAGTCTGGGAATTCTCCCAGTTCTCGGACCTGGAAACCTGGTGCATGACAAAGTTCGTTCCAGCCCCCGGTGGCCTTCCCTGTAATCTATTTGTCTTTTGAGCCTTGTCTATTTCGAGACAAGGCATGACGGAGGTGTCCTTGTTAACAACCTTCATCGCCATCAACACGGCCATGAGCACCACTACATGGTCATGCCTATCTTCATCAAACATCTCTATCCAGCAGCCATGGCCCTACACCAGGCTTGTGTAAGCATGGAAACTCCTGACCAAGCACCCAAAAGACCTTTTCCAAGGTCAGCCCACCCATCAACTATTCTCCCGAGCGGCTCGGCACGTCAACGGCGCAGTGGCTCATTCGCCGAACAGAGCAACTAGCGGTCTTCTAACCATATGTGCTCTCATCCCCTCTTCACTGTAACCCCGATCGCACTTCTCTCATAGTGCATAGCTGTTACAATGCAGCGATTTCCTGCTGTTGTGCACCACTCACGTTCCCAATAATAGAAGGGTGTATGTACCGGTGATATGGGTTCCTTGCCTCAGAGGGAAAGGACTAGGGCCTGCTGCACGTTGCTCTGCGTTTTTTTTTTTTTCGCATGAAGAAAGGCATATACCCCTCCTTTATGGCCGTCGAGGTACATTTTCCCCTGCAGAGGACTTATGAGGTGCCACCCATGCATCATTAGGGGATTAGGTTTAAGTTGGTTTTCTGCTTGGTTATTTTTTCTGGTTGGTAGTTGACGTGGTCTAGCCATACGATAAAGCTGTCGGAAGTTCCTTAGAGCATTTACATTAGTCAGTTATGCACCATTAAATGGTGTTGATCGCAATGTTAGCTTTCAAAACTTTATGCGTGCAAAATCATGCCAACGAAGATCTCATTGCAGAGAGGCTACTCGTCACCACAAAAGCTATGCTTTGTGTGCTATGTCAGTATCGGATAGTACAGTGATCCAGATTAATGGCAGTGTATAATATGTCAAGAATCACAGCCTTTTCAATCCTGCTACTGGCAAGGAAGTTTACTACTTAAATTCTCACGTTTGTTTTCTAAGAAGCATCTGCAAACCTATCGAGGGCAACAAACCATGACATAACCGCACGACTCTTCGGCATACCGAAAGCCCAGTGACAAAGGAGAGACGTTTCTCCATCTGCCATCATCTAACACGACCTGGTTCGGCGATTGCCAAAAGAAACCATGACATTCGGAATGCCAGTCCAGGCTAGATCTCGATGACCAACCATAGACTCTGTGTTCCAAGTATGCAAAACTTGCCGAGCGGGAGTCTTTCACATCGTCCTCAGATGACAAATGAAACGGGACATGACACATGTCATTGCCAGTTGTTAAACGGGACCTGAGGCCAAGGGGGAGTCACCTGTGACCGTTCAGGTTGCACCGAATATGGTATATAAATCTCTGAGGCCGTATCCCAGCATTTATGTCTGAGCGTTCACATCAAATTAGCAGTTAAGGTGGTAACTAGCACATAAAAAAAGAACACCATATGGATACTGACAGCATTGCTAACCCTGTTCCGAGCAGCCAGCTTACCGACACTTATGAGTAAACCCTTGTTCCATATACTCAGCTTCAGAAAATGAGCAAGAGAAGATAGCCACCAAGTTCTCCAGTTCGTCTGAAAATCTTGAACCATATAGGTATGGGTCGTTTCACTGTCAAAGGTATTGAAATAAGGATCTATAATCTGCAATTCTACCTTGCTTTCCTAACTTCAGACTGGAGGGACAAACTATGGCGCTTTGAGGTTTAGTTTTGCAAAGATTTCATATTTCCAAATGGAACACTTGGAGCCTTTCTATGTCAGCCACGTTCTCAGCGCAGCAGTTGGGCGTGGTGACGTCTTTTGCGCCATCTCGTTTCGATGTCGATGACCAGAATGACAAATGCGAAGTTCTGTTGAGCCAAGTTTTCTTTCCCAACCCTCTACTGAAAGGACAGGATCATGGCGTCGTAAGTACTAATTTTTCAGTGGATAAACACCCAATATCGGCAGTCTTGCGATTATTCCTTTTCTACCTTGGCTACACCATCAGCATAGACTGGTTTTGGTCAAGAATCTTCGATATGCTTTCTTTCATTCTATTGTGGCTAAAGACCAAGCCCAGAAATGAATTTTCATTCCTGCTTCTCTATTAGATACTACCCAGCACATCGGTTACTGGCTAGAAAAGGATCATATATCAGGATGTGATTGACTCTGTTCAATTATTCCTGATCTCCGATTCCTCAAAGAGCACATCAATTTCAGGTACTTTGGCCTGAAATGCTTCAAGTTCTGGATGTATTTCTTTGGTATACATTTCCGTAGTATAATTTATGGATAGTGTTCTGAATAGTATTCAAATTACTATCAAGAAATGTTTTCAACTTGTGCGTCTTATACCAATTTAGAAAGCCCAGCCCTTCTGCTGGTCATAGGTCACACTGTATGGAACTTTGACGGCGAGATATCCACCAATTCGTGATCATTTCATTGACTGAGTGATACCTCCATAGTATATGTATGGGGGTTTGGGATGGAGAAATCGCTCCAAATGTTCGCTATCACTTCCTTAAACTAGGCCCCCGGTTCCAGAAAGCATGAGAATGGGAGATTTCAGAATTATTATGCGAACATAATGACTGGAGTTTGTAGTAACGGGCATTGTAGCCTCATTTCCAGCTCCTAAGGCCGCCCATAACAAAGAAAATTCGAGCTGATGATAGAATGGTATACGGATATGTCTGTGGGCATTTCCGAGGAAGAGACAAGGCTCTTCAGGGAGAGGTTAGTGTGCCCAGTAGCCTTTTAGGAGGTTGACCGAGAGTTGACAGCTGGGTACCTGCTTACGTTTACTTGCAAGCCTACACCCCAGAAAAATCTCAAAAAGAATAAAAAACACCTGCACCCTGGAGTTCTTTCTTCGCCACGTTTGACAAGTCGTAGACTACCTGCTGGATCTGTCAGCGGCTATCTACAATTGCGTGCAGAGAACATGCCCAGGCATGTGCGGCTCACCGTTGATTGACCCAATCAGAGCTCTGTGCCCAGGCGTGCATCACCGTCAACCTTCCCCTGCCTATTGCCACATTAGGATGTATTGAGTGATCGTCCGCTGTGACCATGCGTGCACCAACCGTGATATACCTATATAGATGGTGTAGAGAAGGCCAAGCATATGGTGTGAAACTTGCTGAAAGATCAAGATATTGTCAAAAGATATTTCTGTTGATGAAAAAAGCCACCAAGTGACACCGAAATATTCCCCTTAAACAAACTCTCCCTTGTTGAAAGTAGACAATACCAGCCCCCATAACCCTCCTCTAGAATACTTCACAGCAAGCAAGCACTTTTCGAAAAACCTCCCTTCCATCATTACCTCTGCTGCATACAATTATTTTTAGGCCCTCTCTACCGGTGTGGCGCACAGCAGCGCGCCTGTGTGTAACGGAAACGTGTAACGCAACGTAAGACCAGTGAGCCGTTGTCTCAAGCGCCCAAGGCTTGACAGTGGCGCAGCGGCACAGTCACCATTTTCACGCACGTACACCACACTCAACGAAGTTCCATCCAGGTCCCCCACTGCAAGATGCAGTGCCGTGGCAATGGGGAGGGTGGTATTGGTGGCTTGCACGCCAATTTGCGATGCAAGTTTTAACACTGATTCGGATGGAATGTTCATTAACTGCACCCCCCTCATGAATGTAGAACTTCAGAGCCCTGTACCGTGCCGATATACAGTGCTACCTACCATGACGGAAAAGGGAGTTTTCCTAGCTTAGATGAATCTCACGTGCGAGACAGATGATGAGATCTTGTGAGCTTTGCATTGTGCGAGGTGTGATCCAGGATCTCAGCCGTGCCGTCTACCTTGGATCTGGTTAATATCCTCTTGGCTCACGTGGTCGACCATGTTGATGTCAGGTGAATTGCAATCTCTTTGCATGCTTGGAGATCTCCAGGGAGTTCGGTTGTCGGCTTCATGCCAACAGCATCTTTACCATACGACTGTGGCAGGCCTTGTGGCAACCTTATTTCTTGCATCATGATCGCCAGGACTAGTCTACATAGGCACCTAGCTGTCCTTAACACTGGAGCAGACTCCATCAAGCAGATCCCCGTTCTCCCAGCTGAAAATCCCTCTCCAGCACAAATCCCCATACCCCTCAACCAGGGACCAACATCCCAGACAAAAATATCCGGCTATATCTTGGCGCAGGAACCAAACATCCTGATGCTAACTGCCCAACCGCGCCAAACGCGTGGGGGCTCCAGCAAAATCATTGCTAGTCAATCTGAGCCCTGTTAAGCGCCATGCTGCCTGTAAATGCACCCATCGCCAGACGTCCGCATTTGTGCAGAACCATTCGAGTGTCTTCCTCCTTGCCAGACAAACAGCAAGCACCTGAGAGGACAACGCTTCTCGCATGCGCCTTAGTCTAGACTTTCATTTAGCTTCGAACCACCGCTCAGGAATCCCCAAACAAGAAAACCGGATCTGCATAAAACTCATCGGGATCCTCCAAGAGTCTGCTGGAAGCTAGCCAGACATCATGCCCAACGCCCGGCGCTGCCCGAGTAGCACGCACATTTACGTCAGCCAAGCGCTCACCTAACACTCCACCATCATCCACTCTTCTCTTTTCCAACAACCGACATATGACACCTTGATCTCAAGTTTCCTTACCTGGGACTGTGCATACCCAGCCATATGCAAGCATACTGTCCTCAAAAACACCAATGGTCGACGACCGAACATCTGTGGACAAAGTCCCCCTTCGAGCCTTCGTGTCGAACAAGAGCGGGGTAATCCATAGCTGGCCGGATGATGCCCCGCCCATGAAGCCCCGCATCCCGCCAAGACAATCTGGCCGCAGTTTTCCGCGCTTGCGCTAAACAACAATGCTTAGCTGAACAGAAGCGGGGCTTCAACTCCAAGCTTTCATCACACCAAGCATTGAAGTTTTGAAGCATCATCTGCATTAGCGCAAGCTGACCTGCACAAGTCACATATCAGCGCTCGAGTAAGTCACTCATCTAGGTAATTTTGTGATGTCGATCACTTGGATCAAGTTTCAGGTTCCGAATTTCTCCAGTGAGACAAGACACTGTGCTCCACGCTGGTTCAGAACGATCCACTTACCCCTTATTACCCGTGGTGACGGATGCCCAACTATGGGGTTGGGTTGGGCAAGTAAACAAACCCCTGAATCGGAATCATAGTACTGCAGCATAATGACAGAGAACACGGCATGGATGGGAACTAGATATTTAGTGGAAAAATGTCAACTTGTATAGCCGGTTTGCGTCCGGCCATGAACAAAATAGTGACATTTCCGGAACGTTTACCGCTTAATGATGATAAGCATCAGACTTTCCGCCCATTAAGACCTAGTATCATGCCAAAAACCAATATCACCCTAATCCCATTCTGACCAACCACAACCATTTCCCGCCTTTCCGTCAAGGGCTTGCGGGCACCAGCTCCGGCATTTCCAAAGAGGAGTCACTCTCTGGAATTACCAGCCACTCTGGTGTGGAGGGCTTGGGTTTGATGAGGTCGTCTTCGGAGTCTTTTTTTTGTGCCGGTGACGCCGGCCCCTCCAACTCCTCTTTTTGTGAATCTGTCTCGGTTAGTGGTTTATTCTTGAGGGATTTTGTGTTGATAGAAGATTTTGTCGGTTGCTGTGGTTTTGGCGCGGCCGAACGCTCAGATTTGTCGCTGCCAGTCGTCGGTTGTGAGGGTGGCTCCGGGGCAGGAAGGATATACCCCAACATTACTTCTGGAAGTTCCAGAGTCTTTTCGGTCATGACTTGGAGCTTCTTAGCCTTGGGGTTAACCTCCAACCCAATCACCTTGTCGACTGTGGACAGCCGACACTGCGGAATCTCCAGCTTGTCTCCATCCGGTAGCGTTACGAGCATTGCCCTGGACCCTCCCTCACCACAGACCTCCTTCCAATTACCGCTTCTGAAGCATTCCGTCAATATCTTGTTCTGCTCCTTGACCAGATCGTCCGAGTCAACGACGCCTTTCTCGATCATCACCACTCCCTTTGGGGCAGTGGAGATCTGAGTTGGCGTCTTCGGTTTGACCAATGGTTCCGAACGCCAGTCAAGATCCTCCCACTTCTTCTTGGAGTACCTCTTTGCCAGAGGCATAAACTCGTGGGTCCAGACTTCCAGCCAGTTCTCCAATCCCTCTTCGCTCATGCCGAACCTGTCTTTGACAAGATCCCGCTCATTACGAGACGCACAATCACTGCCGTCACTGCGATCGCTACCCCCATCGTGAGCACACCGATTGTACTTTTCAGAACTCGACGTGCCTGCTTTTCTTTTATCTCCATCCGGAGATCCGTCATCCTTTCGGTTATCCCGTGCTCTTTTAAAACACGAGACCTCTCCCGGCTCACCCAGCGTAACGCTGTGGTCCCACATGACGACGTCACGCTCCAATCGATCGATGACGGCAAATCGAGGATGCGACCAGTTGTATCCGTAAATGATTTTTCCGTCGTCATCCCTATGTGCTGGAACCGTTGGGACCGTGACACCCCGTGCTAGCAATTCGGGAAGCCTCCAGCTATTGAAGAATCGATTGAAGACAACGCCAGGTTCAAGCGGTGTCTCCGCAATGGCGTTCAGGGATGTGCGAGAAAGGCGAAATGCAACCGACGTGAGCTCTTCGGGTTCGGACTTATCCTTCGACTCCTCCTCTGGGCCAGATAACTCATGAGAAGGTGCTGGATCCGGGCCAGCACTCTTCGGCAAAGGATCGGCCTGACTGTCGGCAACGGTTGAAGTAACCGCCTTACTGGCTTTCTGCTGTTTTTGCCCTTTTTTGCTGCCTTTTTCTTGTTCTTGTTCTTTTTCTGCTTCTTCCCTTTCCTTTGCCGGGCGAACGGGAAGAGAGATTGCTGAGCTTCGTTCCTCTTCCCATCCAAATCTGTATCGCTCTTGTCATTATTCGGGATAGCATCATGCTGAGTTGCCATATATTCTGCGGGAGCTAGAGCTATGGTTTGGTCGTTCTTAAAAGCGATGGTCATCTCACCAGAAGTTTTCTTCTCAATGGCAGAGCGAACCTGAGCGTCGGCGACAGGCTCTGTAGGATCAACATCGTTAGCTAGCAAAACACTCACAGCGAGTGAGGCTTGCTTACCTTGTGCGGTTTCGTCGGAGAGAGTAGTCTGCTCGACAGGTTCCTCTGCAATCGTGAAGTCACTTCGATGATCAACATCGGATGAAGCCAGAGCCTCGAAATGAGCAGGCTCGGCGGGACCATAGGCACTTTCGTCAGCAGGAGCAGGAGTTGGGGTGCTGAACCTGGATCCTGGATGCTTGCTGCTTTGAGACTCGGGTGAGGAGCCAGCAGCTGTGATTTCGGCAATAGGCCAAGTAAGGTCCTCATTCAACCCCGAATCGTACTCATCCATTGCATCTAGGATGTCTGACCATTTGCCCTTGAGAGGTTTGGGCCAGTGACCGTACGTCTCCTGCGCAGCGCGCATTCCGACCACCCTGTACTCTGTTTTTGTTTCGTTCACCCATGCGTACTTGTATTCAGGCTTGAGGAGCATCACAGTTGGCTCCAGTGGATGCCATCTTGGATACCATTCATAGGTAAACTCGCACCAGTAAGATGAGGGTGGCAGTGGCTGCTTCCTCTCGGACCTAGGGTTCTGCTGCTACAAGGACTCCCGTGCAGTCCCAGGATGCTCGGAATGACACGATTGCCGGCTGCTCGTGCTAGGACCTCGAGAATGTCCGGCGTGACCTGAAACAGGCGGACAACTTGATTCCTGGTGTCCTCCTCTCTTGGACCAAGAGGACCCCCTCCAGGGAGGGACCTTCCCTTCCACAAGTCCGTCCGGACCGGACCTCAAGGTTCTGGTTTCCACTGTTTTTGCAGACTTGTCGACGGCATTCCCCCTCAGCCTGGTCTTTGAAATAACCAGTCGTCCGTTCTCCAGACTTTGATTGTACGTGTTAGGCCTTTGAGCACTCTCCTCAACCCTTGAAACTCCAGGGCTGGACGATCGAGGAAAGGGCTTGCCCTTCAGAGCGTCACTGAAAGAAAGACCCGTTGCCCGCGAGGGAATTGGGGGAGCAGGAACGTGTCGTAATGGCTCAGCCTTGCTGTATGCGTCGGTACGCCGGTCATTGTAGTTGGTCCGATCATTAGGTTTTGCCAGAGCAGACGTGGAAGTGACTGGTTCCGAATGAGAGGCTTGAGGTGCTGGGGGAGCACTTGGCTTGGGAACATGATCAGGATGTGACGTGCTGTCTGAACTTTTCCACGAGGTTTTCAACCGAAGCTTGACGGGAGGTTCTCGGCGTGGGGGGGCCTTGAGACTACTCGCATGTAGTTCCCTCGGTGCGAAGGAGTGATGCTGAATGCTTTGGCCGCGGCTGTGCTGATCACAAACGTCAGTAAAATAATGGGAGTTTACCGATTTTTGGTCTCCGTTGCTGTTGATTTGAGTCCGATGAGAAGATGCAGTCGCCCCCTTTGCCTCCTGATCGCGTTTGGTGTTATTCTCCGGAGTATGCATACCTGCCTTCTCAGACTGGCGAGAAGAATTGGTCACAGAACTCTTAGCGGCCCGGTGGACGCTAGAGCCCTTTTTGTTCATAAAAGGCGCTTGTACAGGGTAGTTGTCGATGTGGTTTTGGTTGGTAGAAATGGTGCTCTTTGGGGCAACTGCAGATTCTGAATCTGGGGGGGTGACTTGGACTTCGACATTTTGGTCCTCGTTTCTAACGAGGAGGATGCTACGAGCCGTTTGAGTAACATGCAGGCCCGAATTTACGAAAAGCTGTTCGACGAGCTCGCCAGGGGCATTGGCAATGACACGAGCAAGAAGGTTCTTATCAGCTGCAAGGACCTTTGCCAGCTGCTTCGGCGTTACTTCGGAAGGGATCGCATTAACCGGAGTCATGTTCGATAATGATCCTAATGGCAATCGCTCCCGAGGGGAAAGGGCATTTCTGAGTAGTTGACGAGCCATTGTCTGTTCTGGTTGGTGTGGGTGTTCGACAGTATCAAGTTCAGATTTCCCTGCCTTTGTGTTAGCGACAAGCTGTAGCTAAAGGCCCTTGACCAACCCCTCGTCACTGACTGATTATGCAGTGTCCCCCACGACATGTTTGGCCACACAACGGCCAGAACAAGCTGTAGTTTGAAGGTGACGGTGAATTCTTGTTCCAGCGGCCAAAAGCCCGAGAGCGGTTTAGGATAGACCCAACGTCAGCAGGTTTTTGATAATGTGGGCATGGAGATTGGTCAGACGCCAGAGACTCCTCCTGTTCCTGTTCCAGTTCTTGTCGAAGCTTTTTTACTTCTTCAAGATGTTTTGCCAAGGATGAAGGCTGCGCGCCCGTCCTGTCTGGGCGCTGGACCAAGTAGGGCGTCTCCCACATCGTCCGATACGGCGTCCCTGACCGGCCTGATGCCTCGACATGTTTCTCGGCGTGTTTCTTCTTCAAAGCAACAAGATTGCGAAACATGATGAACCAAAGTAACAAATCCGTGCTGTCACAACTAACAAAAGACAAATTTGGGTGATGATACTTTGAATAGGGCTGTGGACAGCATGGATGTCATAGAGATGAAGACAGTGAAAATAAGGGTCATAGATAGCTGAAGAACTGAGTCATTCATGTGCACTTACCTTACCGAGATTGATGGTAACTCCAAGGAAAGGACGTGGAAGTGATAAGAGATGTCAAAGGCTGTGGTCAGGCAAGATTAATTCAAATATCTGATAGCACACGGAAAGTTAATTGAAGTGCCTTCCATGATGTGAAAATGTATGTGTAGGGAAAAATAAAATCAGGAACTGAAGGAATCATAGGTTATATAGGGCCATGACATGATGTGAACACATAATCACACAAGCTTGATTGCAATTACAACAGGCATGCAGTACAACACCACGATACTTCCCATGGGACTCAATTTTTGACAAGACATACGGTGCGCGAGGTTAAATTGAAGTTATTATATATATTTCCGGGACATATGTAGAGACAACAAAATGGCTGCAGGAAGAAGGACTAGGATCTAGCTTGCGGTTCAGTCTGAAGTGCATGTATGGTTGACCTGGTAACGAGCCTTGTTGCATTGTAACATGCCATCCTTTTTATATGACTCTTTTAAGCAGTGACGCGTTCAGGTTAACTAAGCTGCAGGGAATGTCTTGATTAGGTGAAATTGATATAATCCCGCAACAACTGTGTCTATGCAGACATATTCGCAATTTTTTTCTTGATTATACATTCGATTCTTTTCTGGATAAATCCTCCTGCAGCCTCGAGAATCAGTTAACGAAAAGAAGCCCAGTCCCTCAGCATGCACGTCTCCATATTACATGTGAAGACTGGGCTACTTGATTCCTCCTCATGAACTAGGATTTCAGAAATATTACTGTGCGCAAAAATACGAGGGGCAATTCGCCATGATCATTTCCAAATACTGGCACTCTCAGCGCCAGCCTGCTTCCCCTGTTGGTACCGCTCATTCAATGAACTGTACAACCCCTTGACTCTTTCGATCTCTGCTGCCCAATGTCTTCGTTGTGTCTCGTCTGGGATATCCTGAAGCAGATCGGCAAGGCTTTTAGCCGTAAAAAACTTGTTCTTGCGGTTGTAAAGCGGCCGGGCAGCGAGCGTCTCCGGTGTATCCGAAGGAGCTGGGACACGGAACACTTCCTGCAAGATGTCGATATCGTAAGGGATCGAGAACAGGTCCCGGCTGTCCTCGTAGGTAAACAGATAATAAAACTGATTGAAGCCTGCCCACGTGATACCGCTCAGGCAGAGCGAACAGGGCTCATGTGTAGCGAAGAAGACGCAGTCCCTGGTGGCTGGACGACCTTCTGCTGGGGACGCGAAGAACTCCTGGATGCAGTTGATCTCTCCATGCAGAAGAGGCGAAACGCGTTCATTGTTTGTCGAGACTGTTACAGGAGACAAGTCTAGGCGGTTCAAAATCGCGGCTCCGAAGACCTTGCTTCCCGAGGACACGCCAGAACGTGTCAGAGGCACGATCCGATCTTCAGTGACTTGCAGAAACGTAGAGATGAGAGTCTCGGCGGAGTGCGTGCTGGACATTGTGAAGTTCAGAAGACCAGGGGGAAAAGGGAACTCAATTGCGAACAATCAGAAAACAGATAACGGATTGTAGTCTGAGATCTTGGGTAGCGTTAACTGGAGCTTTGAGGTAGTCATTGATGTTCTCCTGGTCCGTGGCAACGGGATTGGCCGAGTCCCTGGCTCTTGGAGACCGGCGCACCCCGAGCCCATTTTTACTGGCGTCAAAGCGGCTGAGTTGGCGGGGTTTGGAGGGGTATTGCAGTGTGTTCAGAGATGAATCCTTATCAGTAATCGCAAGACGGATGCGATGATATTATGCTCAAGATCTTATCGATGGTAACCCTAACCCTAACCCTCTTCTCAGAGACAATACCACCTTGACCATGTCGGTTGCCAGGGTGAGAAGTTTGGGCCCAGTCGCTGACTGACAATGCAGGTTTCAGATTGTGAGATTCTAGAAAACAACTTCCTCAAGATAAACCATGCACTACATAAAGTTACTGCGACCGCCTGAGGTCGAAGAAGGGAGGGCCAAGGGCTCCCGACAACCGTCACTCAAGATCGTTCTCGCTATCACAACCGACCTGGGCGATGCTTACCTCTCCCCCCGTGATCCCATCCCACTGTCAGTAATCGGTGCATACGTCGAAAAGAAGGATGGTCGAGAGCGACTCGTCCCTGTCAGTCTTCCGCTGATCTTACCACATGGCACCATTTCCCAGGATGCACCTAAGTGGCAAGCGGGCATGCGAGTGCTGAAGTTCAGTGTCGCGCTGCCCCTTCAACCGCTCAAGACTGTCCAAATTCGTCCATTCAGTCCACAGCTCACCGCACTGAGTACTGGAGACATTTGCGCGGCCAAGCAAGGTCTGATCATGGCTGCATATTCTGACGTCACTCAGCCTGGAGGCTTGCTTGCTCCTTCGGTGTGTTTTCGAAGCTTAAGACTACCCGTGGCTGGCCAGCTGCTTCAGTTTGAAGAGGATATTGGCGACAGCATTGCCCGCCATATCTGGGACGGAGGTGTTGTTACAGTCTCTTTGCTTGCCGACATGTGCCTGGAAAGCAGCGGCCGGACCGGCAGGAACATTCTGCCAGCTGTCCGCAGCATATTAACGGACAGCTCACAAGGGCCCCTTAACATCCTAGAGATTGGATGTGGCATTGGTGTTTTAGGTATCGGGCTCGCGCGCACCTTGTCATTGAGACACAATGCAGGGACCACTCGCGTTCTAATGACAGACCTTCCGGAGGCAGAGGAGAAAGCCCGGGCCAACATAGCTCGCCAAATTGGTGCCCAAGGTGCTGGGTTGGTCGATTTGGACTTTGAACCCTTGGATTGGGAAGATGGAAAGAACGGAGTGTTTGGGGAGAAAGTTCAATCGCGTTCTTGGAACCTTGTGGTTGTCAGTGATTGCACCTACAACACTGACACTTTGCTGCCCTTGGTGAAGACATTCTCGGCCATCCGCAGGCATTCTGCTAGCCAATCTTTGGGCGACAATCGGCCTGTTGAAACCAAGATCTTCCTCGCAACGAAGCCGAGACACTCGTCGGAGAGGGCCTTCTTTAAACTGATGTCCGATGATGGATGGATAACTAAGGAGCAGGCCGCATTACCTCTTCCAATGCTTGATGGCGAACAGCAATCGGTAGAGCTTTATCTCTTCGAGAAAATGCAGTCTTGAATGGTTAATCTTATCAACTTGACACATTGCATCGAGCATCGGTGCTGCGTACTGTTACGTTCTTTCAAATCACAAGTTTGTTCAGTTGAGATGATCCATAGCATGGATGTCTCTTATGTCCAGCCTTGCTCATACCCTTTTGCGGAGTTGTCGACCTTAGCAAAGACCGTGCACTCCTCTTAAGCTTCTGTCATGAATCCTGGTCCTTCCACTGGAACTCATCCAAACTCTGATGCTGACCGAATAACATATTTTTTGTGTTCAGGATGAGGAACGTCGTGTCAATCTGTCAGCGTCAACGAACACCACAGAGGTTGCAGGAATAGGGAAAGTGGGCTTGACCAATGATATCTCTGATGTTTACGCATGCGAGTGACATCTCGTCGCGGAAGATGGAGATGTGTGTTGGACAACTCTCTACCCATTGACAGCCCCTGTCATCACGGTTGGTGATGTGAAATACCATGCCTATCATTGGTCAGCACAGGATCAGACCAACCAATCAACACTTCCGAGATGACCGGATTTGGTGAAGTTGGCCCCCCGATGGAGCATCAGTATCGTTGAGTTCCTTGTCCCTCCACTGTTTCAGCCGTCAGCCTTGCCGCCGCCAACAGGCCTCGAGTGACATCAGCTTAGACATGGCCGATGTGTATAAAACGCCCTTTAGTCGCCCCTTCGTTTTGATGGGTGAACAATTGATAACAGACAACTACAACTAGTCTTGACCACTTCCTCGAGCCTTTTATATTTGATCCTACCTCGTGTCTTCCAGCAACACCTACCGCACCGGCTCCTCTTGCCCATTTCATCATCGCTTTCCCACTGTTATCCACATACATATCCCCAAAACAGAAATGGCGTCCAAGGCTTCCACCTGCTGCAGCACCGGCAACGTGTGTGTCTGTGGTTAGTATATTCCGGGGTCATCAAAGCCCTCTTCCGCTTCTCTCACCATACTTCCCTGTCTCCCGTTCAAACTCCTCCATTCTGTTCCTAAGTGGTTCTAACCGCCGGGAACGAGGAATCCCGGCCAGCCTTATCATTCAGCGTTCCTCATTTTTATTGTCAATTCCCTACGAAACACCCCTTCTTCAAACCTACTAGCAAAGAGTCCAGACTGACCTGTGATTCTTTGCTCTCGAACCAGCCCAGCAAGCTACGTGCTCGTGCGGCAAGAAGAGTGCGCTCCACTGCAACTGCGAGAAGGCCAGCACCGAGAACGCCGTCGAGGGTCCTCGCTGCTCGTGCCGTGCCCGTCCTGCTGGCAAGTGCACCTGTTCTCGCGCTAGCACTGAGAACAAAACGCCTGAAAGTGCCTGTGACTGCGGCTCGCGTCCTGCCAGTAAGCATTCCACTTGTACGCCCTATTGACAGTACGAATGTGTGCTGATGAGTTGCCTTTTCTATATTTAGACGCATGCACTTGTGAGAAGGCCGTAGACGCTGGCTTTAAGCCTTCTCGGAACGAGGAAAACGAGATCGATTTCACGACCAAGCACTGAGTTCGCTTTCAAGTCTCTCGGAAGGCGTTTCGGCGTTGGGTGCCCTTAGCGGTTTCCCAGAATTCGTTTGGACATTTTGAGATTTTTGCTGGATTGGACATTTGAGTTCAAGCTACACCATGGCAACTGGCGTTCACCTCCACACCTGGGAGGTCGCCATCGTCCCTGAGTTCGATACCGACACTGGCCATTGCCGTTAGGTGCGGTTGAAGCATTCTCGTGCTTGGGATGAGGAAGCTTTCTAGCAAGGCAACCCCGATGTCCAAGAGGATGATGCGTACAGCTCCGAGGACGAAATGGCTGAGGAGCATGCTAGACGGGTCGAGCGCGCCCTGGCTGCGAAGAAAAGGGCTGGTTCAAGAAAAAAGTCTTCGGGGAAAGTCTTCTATATCATGCGGCACTGCAAACGGCAGATGAGACGTTTGCAGAGGGAAATCGTACAGATGCACAAGAAAGTCCACATGCTTCAGGATGAGGGGCATGTTTCAGTGGAGTTCTCGTCGGCTCTGGATATCGATCTGGCATAGTTCCAGTCAGGTGGCATTTAATATACGATGTCTTGTCTTCCGGTCGAGGGTTGATTAGGTAGCGGCCTGTTTTTACCCGTAGATGAGAGCGTCTGCTTGTTATATACTTAGGCAGTTCACTGGTTAATAATAAGGATTGCATCTCTCAACGAGTGAACCACTTAAACCCAACTGATGAATGGAGGAATAGAACTAGCAAAAGGAGAGAAGAGGCGCCAAAAAGGATTAATAGATCTCGGAAAGGTCAAGCCAGGGTGGAACGTGGACCTATACTTGTACAAAGGCTTGGCTTAAATGAAGGTTCTCGATGGGTCCAACTGGACTCGTAGTGAGACAACTCCGTCTTGCTTAATTTGCTTGGGCTAGCTTGATAAAGGCCGAGCTACGTACTACGGAGGATGCAGTGTCGGCTACAGTCAGCGCGGGATGAGAATGCACGCTGCGCGTTTTCAGCGCATCATGATCATGGTTCACGACGATCGTAAACATGGATCTCCATTTGTGCGGGTGGGCAGATAAGCATACAAGATGACGCGCCGGAGTCTGAATGACAGACATTGTCATGCTCCCAGGCCCGCCAAGTTCCTCAGGCAAGGTCTGACGCGACATGCAGCGCACATGTTGGTGGCGTGAGGAGAGGGCAGAACAGGGCAGAAGAGGCCAGCCAAGCGGACCACGCGTGGCGACCCTGTCTCTTCTTGGCAGACGAGCGCTAGGAGCGCGCCACGTTCGCTCGGCATTTTGGGCCGCAACGGCAGATGGTCGTCCTGACCGCCTGCTCACCGCCTGCTGACCGCCCGGCAGAACTGGCAAAATCGCAACGATCGTGCGCGAATCTGGATCCGCGGACGCGGATTGGGGAACCGGGGGGAGCTTTTGGACAGCTCTGCTGACCTGTGGGCTGGGTGCGACCTCGGGCAAGGGTGTCTGGGTACTTGCCGTGCACCGATCGCATAAACTCGATGACATCAGCCAACTCTGGGGAACGGGCGACAAGACGGCTGAGCAGCAGAATACAAAACGGTAGGGCTATTATGGATGGCAAATGGGAGAATAGGAACAGATAAATCGAGGACGGAATGCATGCGAAGACTACTATTGTTCCAATGGTCGTTTTTTGTCTGCGAGTACCATTGACCTTGGATGCGTCGCACGCTCAATCGCCGGATGCGGCTATTGTGGACCCTTGGTCCCCTATTGAGAGTGGGGCGCTGCTTGCAGCAACGGGCCGGGCCAAAACAAAATCGGTGGTTGCTGCTGGAGCCCAAAAAAACGTGCGCGCTCCGCAACTCAAAATTCCTCCCTGCCCTTTCCTACATCCTCTTCTCTTCTGCACACAAAGCACAACAATAAACTTTTTTCGCGCGACTGCACTCCGACCGCATCTGTTGCGAAGCTCGTTCCCAATACTCTTCAGTACTCCAATTCCATCGTAACGCATCAGCTCTCTGCGTTTTAACGCGTCTTTCTATTGCTCGCGCATCTCCTTCCGTCACGTCACCGTCTTGTCTTCACTCTCTCCATCACGTACCAACTTACCATCTACTTTGCATCCGCTGAATTCCATCGCGATGCCGCCCAAGCGTGCTGCTGCAACGCGCGCAGTCTCTGCTGCCGCTGACGCAAAGGCCGCCATGGCCACTTCCTCCAAGAAGTCTGTTACCAAGAACGCGTCAACCAACGGCACCACCGGCAAGGTCACCAAGCCCGCCGGCACCAAAGTTACCAAGTCTGTTGCTGCAAAGAAGGCTGTTGCCGCGGCTGAGATTGCCACTTCCCGCAAGAAGGCCGCCACGAAGGGCGACGAATCCGATAAGGAAAACAAGGCTAAGAAGGCTGCTGTCAATGGCGTCAAGCGCAAGCGCGACGTCGACGAGGAGCAAGTGAATGGAGTCGACGAGGAGACAAAGACCGGCCGCCGCGCCGCCAAGCGCGCGAAGAGCCAGCCCGCCGAGGAGGCTGCTACTATGCAGAACGACAAGGAAGTTGACAGCACTAACAAGGAGGATGAGACCACTGATGACACCAATATTGCCGCCAAGTCTGCATCCGCCATCAGGAAGCGCAAGGCCGACGAGCCTGCTACCAAGCCTGCCATGAAGCGCCCTGCTCGGGAGCTGAAAGTCATTAATGAACCCCCTACTCAAGTCATGGACGTTTTTGTTTTCGGCGAGGGCACCGCCGGCGAGCTCGGTCTCGGTAGCGTCCGTTACGATGGCAAGAAGCCTATTGATGTCAAGCGTCCCCGTATCAACCATAACCTCAAGAACGTTGTTCAGATTGCTTGCGGTGGCATGCACGTTGCTGCTCTCACCAAGGATAATAAGATTCTTACTTGGGGCGTCAACGATCAGGGTGCTCTTGGTCGCGACACCACCTGGGATGGCGGTCTACGTGACATCAATGAAGAGGACTCCGATGATGACGACAATGACGACACTGGTATGAACCCTAAGGAGAGCACGCCTGGCGAAATTGATACCACGGATATTCCTGAGGGCACCCGCTGGGTCCAGGTCGTTGCCAGCGACAGCGCTACTTTTGCTCTGACTGACACTGGTCTCGTTTATGGCTGGGGCACTTTCCGCGTAAGTAATCCTTGACCCGCTTTTTCGTCTGTCACTCTCGCTGACCTTTTTCCACAGTCCAATGAGGGCATCCTCGGCTTTAGTAAGAACGTTCTCGTCCAGCGCACCCCTACTCTTGTCCCTGGCCTCTCTAAGATCAAGAAGCTTGCCGCTGGTCTCAACCACATCCTCGCCATGGACGAAAAGAACAAGATCTACGCCTGGGGTGCCGGTCAGCAGGCCCAACTTGCCCGTCGTCTTCTCGAGCGCGATGAGGGCAGCACCGGTCTTCAGCCCACTGGCATTGGCTCGCTCCCCCACCGCGCTAAGCCAGACATGATTGCCTGCGGCTCTTATCACTCTTTCGTAATCGACACCAAGAAGCGTGTCTATGGTTGGGGCCTTAACAACTATGCCGAGCTCGGCATTGAGGACGGCGTCGGCCAGGAGGGTTCTTATCTCATGCGCCCTCAACTCATCGAAGCACTAGCCGGCTACAAGATTGTGGACATTGCTGGCGGCGAGCACCATTCGCTCGCGTGCACTGAGGACGGCAAGCTCCTCACCTGGGGCCGCATCGACGGCCATCAAGTCGGCCAGCCCTCCGAGTCCTTCTCCGAGGACAATACCGTTTGGGACGAGCGCCAGAAGCCGCGCATTCTCATTTTCCCGACTGTTGTCCCCAACATTGAGGGCGTGGTCAAGGTGGCTGCTGGCACTGACCACTCGTTCGCCGTCACCAAGGATGGCAAGGTTTACTCTTGGGGCTTCTCGGCCAATTACCAGACGGGCCAGGGGACCACTGACGACATTGAAGCCCCGACACTGATCGATAACTCGGCGATCAGGGATCGCAAGATCATCTTCGCTGGTGCCGGTGGCCAGTATGGCATCCTCGGCGCCTTGCCCCTCGAGGATCAGGGAGAGAACTAAGTTGTTCTCATGATCAACTCATCGACAGCGTGTCGTTCTCTGGTGCCTCTTTGTTGAGACACCGGATTATTACCATGCAGCGTGCAGTTTCTGCCACCCAACAACGACACATATGTCTGATTATGTTTGGTCCGACCATGGATGCCGCTGATGCCTGGCTGTTGTCGTGCTGCCCTGTGCCTTGTGCTGCGCCTCGTGTGCTGGTTGCTCCTGTGGACTTATGCTGCTGGCTATTTTGCTCTGCCCTTGCGCTGCGTTCTTGCCCCCGCTTCGCCCACACCAGATGCCTGGCGTGGCAGCCGCGGGGGGTGGTTTGCCTCTACAATTTTTGATGTTTCTTTTTTTGCATTTTTCGTATTTGCATTGGTCACTGGGTATGGCGGTTGGGTTTTTCTCGGGCTGGGTCTTTTTTTTTCACCTTTTATGTTATTCATTAGGCATGGCATAGTATGGCATGACATGATGGTTTTTTCTGTCGGTGTCTAGCTGGCTTGCTGGTCATTCCGGGGCCTAAGGTTCCCCTCTTGTTTTTTCATGAGCACGGTTCCGGCGCTGGGGGGGAGGGGGGGAAGTTTAGACCTGGTTGTGGTGTGGTTCTTGAGATCTTTATTCTTACTGGGGCTGAGCTAGTCATATCGGTGCTCTTCTCTGTGATTTTTTCTCATCAAGACTCCCAGGGGTTTGGTCTGCTCATGCTCTGCTCTGCTCTCTGCTCTGGTTTGGTGTGTCTTTCTCGGAAAAGTGTGGATACGGATTAAAATGGCCCAAGTATAGCATGTTTTGTTGTGCTAATGGCAGGATGAGGAGGAGCATGAATTAAGTTCTTTTAAATGGGCCTATACACATGTACATTTGTTTCTGGGTTTTCTAAGTTTCTTGCCCCTTGAGAGACTATGTGGGGTGGTGGCTCTGAACCCCTCCCGTGTCGGGATATATAATGGGATCTGGGTTTTACATCGTCCATGTGTCCGTGCTTGCTCACTGCCTTCGATGACTGATGTTGTGTGATACGTGGTTTTGGTATCTAAGCCATAAGTCTCTTATCGTGCTCATGGGCCTTTTCTCAATATTCTTGCTATCTGCCCTTCAGCCCTGGTTGATGCCTCGAGGTGACATCTGCAACTGAGCTGTTAGGATGATCCTTTATCTGCTCTACAAGCTGGTGTTTGTGCCCGCGGAGTTCAGATGCGCAGCTATTCGCTGACTTATTTGTCCTTTGCCAGCGATATCTTGGTGTTTGGAACGCTAATCTCATGGTTAGCGTCTTGTTCCTGGCTCGTCTCAGAAAATCTGTTCTCATTGTGTTTTATCAGATAATCCAAATCCAAGGCAAGGTTGCCCCCAGTCAGTATTGTTGCTCTTTATGTGATCTATGACTTGCAGGTCTTCAGGGATTATGTGAGCTTGCTTATTGGTATTTCCTAGAGTGGTGGCCTTCTAGTGTGTGGTTCCACCAACTGTACGTGTTACCAGGCCTTTGCTGTTGTTCTTCTATCTACACCCAGGGTCTCAATATTTGCTCTCTTAGGAATTACCTTTACCTTTCGTGACTTGGAAGAGTGTCAGGTGGCTCTATTACACGTGATTAGGAGAAAGGCAAGATTTATTTGATCGCAAGATATTTTGCTGATAGCAGTCCTTCCTGGCAGAACATGTTAATATTGAACAAGTATCAGGGGTGAAAGACTGCACCATGGTACGCTGCCTTCAAAAAAGAGGTTTCGCTGCCCTTTGTTTATTGTGGAAATACAAAATACAAGACTGATTTTTAGGCCATTACTTCATTACTGTATCCTTCAAGCACTACAGGTCAAGAACGCAAGCGGAGCAACAGAACCCAAGGCTTAGTCGCAGGACAGAGAGCAAACAGAAATTGAAGGTCCAACATAAGGAGCCCAAGTCTAATCAGCTGAACTACAACCATAACCCAACCAGCCAGAGAATCAACCATGTAACCCCTTTTCGCTACCAACAAGGAAACCAATCTCACTCCAATCATCCTCTACCAACCTCTTGGACTGTTTCCCTTCATGGGAAATGCCAAAGATCCCCGATCTTACACACTCCCCGGAACCTTTGCAAACCCTCCACCACTCCCCCGACTACTAAACACGCCCATGATCCCAAAGCCCACATAGAACAGCGCCAGCGGGTACGCAACCAACCCCCTCATAGCTTTCATGCCACCCACAGCGCAAAAGATGCCGCTCGCGCTCCACGTGCACCACACGATCGCTAGCGTTGTCAGTGCAATCCCAATGGGTGTATCCATCGGCATGACGATGCCCACAAGAGAGGTCGCGACGAGAGGGAGAAGGCAGTATCCCACGATCGAAGCAGAACGAGCAAATGTAAGGGAAGACGAGCCGGAGGAGGAAGTCGGGTCCGGGGTGTGGCCCATTGCCGTAATAGTCGACGGGTCGGTCGCGGATGTGGTGGTGATATACCCAGGGTAGGCAGTCGCGGTAGATGCCGCGGCTGCGGCGGGAGTGGAGGCGGGAGTGCTATCGGCGGGGGGTGCCATGAGAGAGAGGATTGTGTGCAGGCTGACGGAGCCGAAGAGGGCCAGGCCGTAGATGAAGCCGAAGTGGACGCGGCCAGAGAGTAGGAGGAAGGTGCCGTAGAGGAGGAAGAAGAGGATCGGACCGGCGAGGTCGCTGTCGTCCATGAGGTGTTGGTCGACGCGGGAGAAGGGATTTAGGACGGCGAGGGTCTGGGAGGACAAATGTTAGTTGGGGGATGTGAGGTGATGAGTGAGAACGAACGGACCTTGTTCTTGATGTGGCCAAAGTTGATACCGAGTTCTTCTTGGAGAGAAGGCTCGCCTTCGTAGCCTTCGGTCGAGAAAGCCGCAAGCCAGCCTGTCCTTAGCCCGCCATGCTCGCCCATGCGGCCCGTCACGCCAGGACCTCCAAAACCGGCGCTGAAGCTGGATGTGAAACCTGTCGAGGGGCCGCCATAGCCATATGCTGCTTGTGATGGTGTTGCATGGCCCGAGACGGGCTGGGCATAGTTAGAGGAATAGAATTGCAAGTTCTGCGCACCGGCTGGGGTGTAGCCTTGGTTTGGAGGGGCGCCGTAGTATCCTGACATGGTATCGATGGAGGAAAAGGAGAGGTGACGGGATTGGAGAGAGGACACGTCAATGGAGGTTTGTTGTCGAAGGGTTCAGAGGAAGGTTCGTTTGCTTTGTTCGAAGGTTCAGGGGGAGTGTCGGAGAGAGCGCGCAATCGTAAAGGTAACGTGAGCAGACCCTTGAGCTCCTGAGCTCAGAATGAAGTCGTAAATATTACAGCTGCGACAGGACCTGGAATCCTGATGTTGCTCTGTCATCAGAGGCAACCTTGGCCAAACATCTGCCAGTTGACGTTTCTCTGCCAGCTGCCAAGCCGAAGAGTTCTGACCAATCAGAGTTGTAACTAGGTCAGAGTGGGTATCTTGTCGGCCAACGAACCCCGGTAATCGGGCGTGCAGGGGGCGAAGATGCCGGCGATAACGTGAAGTTCCTCAATTTTTCGAGAGCAGTTCGTCATGTCACTGCACCCACCGTGTCAACCACTTCCAACTCTGTGACCCGGAACCGCGCATTGCGAACCCTCCTGTCCCGAACGACGATATAACTGAGACACTGCAGCACCCCAGCACACCAATCGTTAGATCAACCGACCAATCACTTAACCCAAGGCGAGCAACGCGGCCGACGCTTGCGCACTCCCCAAAATGGTGAGTGCGCATTTATGGAAGCCACCCCTCATGAAACCAGCGGACTAACACCGCTTCCTAGGCCTACCGCCTCATCACTCAAGTCGTTGTCGTCGGCACACGTGTGCTGGGGCGTGCCTTCGCCGAAGCGTACAGGCAAGCGTCGGCAGCGAGCCAGTACCAACGGGCGCAGGCCAAGCTGAATGGTGGTGCCTCGGGCCGCGCAAGCGTGTCGACCGGCATGACGTTGGACGAGGCATGCAAGATCTTGAATGTCAAGCAGGCTGAGGCCGGCAAGTATGATATGGAGGAAGTGGTCGAGCGCTTCAAGCGTTTGTTTGACGCCAACGATCCGAAGAAGGGCGGTTCCTTCTACCTGCAGAGCAAGATCCTCCGCGCCCGCGAGCGGATAGAGGCTGAGATGAAGCCATATCTCGAGCAGCAAATGATTGAGAAGGAAGTGAAGGAGGGGTTTAACCCGAAGCTTTATAAGGATAAATAAGCGTAGGGTTGGGTTAAAGAATGCTGGGTCTTGAGACTGGAAAGGGGTATTCCTTGGGATCATTCTGCCTGTGCTGGTCATCAGTTCCAGCCTGCTTGGCGATGACTGCCTCAAGGTGGTGAAGGAGACGCCGAAATCAGCACAACAAATTCCCACCATCACCGGCTGCGAGAGACCCATCTTTCATTTCCCGAACTAGCTTTGACATCCCAGCTCACCAACCCTCTTCTATCATCCCAACTCCGAGGTGGCTCCTAGTTGGCCCCTCAAGCTACGACCGTGTACAATCTTCACTCGACTTTGGGCAGGCCTGGCGTTATTGTGGATGGAATTTCCGGGCCGGTGACCGATTTGCTCTTACTTTGGAACGCATATAAGACCTGCTTGGTCCGCAGAGAGACAATGACACTTCTCCTATTGTTTTATTACATCTGTACGATTATATTTGTGGTCGGCATGATTGGATGCAAAGCGGGGACACCGACATGTATGTATATGTACCTACCTAGGGGAACAGGCGTATTGTATCAGAGGGCGTCGGTGAAGCACCTCTGCTTGCAGAGTGAGGGTTCTCCAAAACAATAGATATCCACGTTAGAATGAGCCGAACGTGTACCTTGACCACTGATAACCGAAGTTTTGGAGCTAAGATGAACGACCAAAGACGACCTTTCATTTCACAGGTAAGCAATGCTACGCATGTGATCATATCTTAGTCAATGTAGCGTTGTCCTCAGCGCCTATGAGCGTTAAAGTTGCCAGAATGCAAGTGTGTGTGATCTTCATGTTGATCATACAACAGTGTCTTTCAAACATAACTTCAACCTTCTTACCTCGGTTACTTGCACCTGCATTTTCTGTTGTGTAATGTCTGTTTATGCATGGAAAGCACCGTTATGTACACAAGAATATTATTAGGATGTTGAACCATGTACAGGCAAGATTCAAGGCGAACACTTATTTAGAGTCATTAACATATACAATACACAAACTACTTAACTACATAAGGGGTATCCAACCAATGGTGTAACCGAATAAGACATCCCCCAATACTCCTCGGCGTAATGAATAGTCCCAGCCTATCCATTACCCATGCTTCACCCTCACAACGTCGGTCCCTACGAAACCTTCCACCAAGCCTTCGCACTCCCCCCTCCTAATCCAACCCCACTCCCATTCCCTCTAGCAATCCCAATCCCCTCACCTTTCTTCAACCTCTCCCATTCCTCATCCCCCTCCCTCAAGCTTCCCCTCTCGCTGATGACACTCCATTCTTCTTTCTCCTCCGAACTGGGCGTGACCTTCCTCAACCCGTTTTGTATTCCCCTTGAGTTTGTATTAGTCCCCGACGGTCCTGGCATTGGCCCATCATCCGATGGGGAGGATGCTGCAAACGGTGAGCCGATGTTGAACCCCATCGGAGAAACCAGACTTGGGATTGTAGAAGAGGATGACGAGGTCCGAGAGACTACAACAGGAACAGGTTTGTATTTTACGCGGGCCGGGCGGATCACGACGCGGACTTGGTTGCGGGAGTTGCGTTTGAGTTCGGCTTTGGGGGTTGGCGGAGAAGAAGAGGAGTAGTTGGAGGGGGTGTAGATCGATGAGCCTGATGAGGAAGGACGGGCTTTACCTTTGCCTTTGCCGTCTTGGAGACCGAGGGAGAAGAAGTTCAAGACCATAGTTTTTGCTGATGAGAAGAGGGATTTGAGACGACTTTTGCCCCGAGGGGGGAATTCTGATGATGTCAAGTCGAGCAGTGACGACGGAGGAGGGGAAGGATGCCTCCCTCCAACCACACCTCCGGCACTATCATCCGGCTGCTTCTCCCCTGCTTCCTTTTCCTGCTCACGTTCACGTTTCCTCCGGTATCGAACAAACAAAAAGATTGCTAGTGCAGTAAGAATGACGGTGGAGACAATTGAACCGGCCAGGATGCTGGCGATCTGTTTGCGGGTGAGGGGCCGGTTGGTGATAGTTGTTATCGGGAGCTCGGGAAGAGGCGTGGGTGTTTCCGAGGGGGTTGAAGAGGGGGTTGTGGAGGTTGTTGTTGAGAACGAGGAAGTTGTGGAAGTTGGTTGGGTCATGGTGTTTGGCAGGACATTGGTTGATATTGGTGTGTTCTCCAGCTCTGTCGATGAAATCACAGCTTGAGTCTCCGATGTGTGCGTTGTAGTCAGATCCAGTTCTTCCATTGTGGATGGCGGGATAGATACCGTAGGCGCTGGCGAGGGGGTATTAGTGGGGATGGTAGCCGAGAATGTGTCTATGGGTATCGAAACCGTGGGCGATGGTGAGAAGACGGTCGTAGTGACCGTTACTGTTGTATTGGCATTCGGAGCCTCGGTAACCGTGTTAAAAGCAGTATTCGTGATGGTGTTGGTGACAACATTAGGGACAAAGACGGTCGTCGTGATTGTTATTGTTTCAGTTATGATCAAGACATTACGCTTTTGCTCTCCATGACTCCCTTTCCAAGCTCCTTGTACAGTGGTAGGTTCTGGGCTTGCAGCAGTAAGTGGTGCTTCAACGCCAGCACTTTGCCAAGCCCTTCGAAAAAAGGATGTGACTGTCTCCGTGATCGTTTGCGTCTCCTTGAACGGGTCGACTATCCTAATCGTCTCTGTTGTCGTGACGGCAATTACTGTAGTTGTTGGGTCACCGATAAAGGATGAGATAGTCTCTGTGATGGTTGTCGTGGTAGTTATTGTCACGTCTTCTGTGCTAATTTCGAGGTGCTCGCTGTTGTACGTCAGCTATCATTTTCACTGTATCTAGGCCAGGTTGACTTACAGATCGAAGCCTCCATCTTGTCTCTTCAAAAGTCCAACTACTTGAGACTCTCCATTTGATTTCGCCACAAGGCGTCCCTCAACCGGAAGAATACCATCTAGCCTCGGAACCGAGCGCGCACCGGCTGAAGAAATTCTCAAACCCAACGATAGGGCCTCCAAGCCCCGTATTATCCGCATTGTCTACCAGCTCATGATGGTGTCATTGTGTGGTCGTAGCAAAGGAACCATACTCCGGCTGAAAATCCAAACAATGAGAACAAATAGCCTGAATTCAACAGCTTGGAATTCTCAGGTTAAAAAAAAATGCCAACATGAGAAACATCGAGACCAGCTCATAGTGATGGACAAGACATCAAGAAAACATGGGAGACCGCAAAGCCGGGAAAACAGATCACACCTCAAAGATATTAAGCGACCGTCCCGTGTCAACCCTCTCGACTCCGGTGTCAGCACTCGATCCGCCAGGGCGAGCTTAACGATATCCCAGGGTCCAGGAACTGAGCGCCCTTAAGTCGATGACGGAGGGTATATCCGTCTGATCTAAGGGAACAGAGGATGACATTAAGACGATCTTTGAGGCTCGGCTGCGGGAGGGCCATGGAGCCAAGGTCCAAAGGTCATGGTTGTGAGGGGGGATCGGGTCAGAGCCAAATGGGATTTTGGTCGGTTCTGGATGACAAAATGCTGAACAGGGGAGGTTACATGTGGGGCAAGCGAGCTTGAGGCTCTGCTCCTCGCGTTTGAGACGGGATGACGTTGGACTTAAGGCCATGAGGCTCTAGGGAGCAAAATGTTGCATTTATGTCTTTGGTAAAAGTTTTGGATGAAGACAGTACTTCATTGAGCTTGAAGGATAGGTCAATTCGAACCTGTGATATTTCTGATCTAAAATCCAGTGATGGTGATAAGTCTATGGCAATGAACTCGGTAAGAAAGGTTAGTCGTCGGGTGGTTGTCATTCCAGCTCGCGGTCTGAAGCGCAGTGGCAGGGTTCAGGGGAAGCCAGGGGCTGCGACGGGTTTGATCGCTCGTGCCAAGCCATGTACTGACATTTGCTGACAGTTGTGCCCCACATATGACAGCTGCCAGTTCCGTCAGGGCGGGCGACACCTCGTAGAGCTATTCATGACCACAACTGCGTCTTGAACATTCGAGCTTCTTGCTGTCGACATGCAGAAACGAACCTGCACATAACCGAATTTAAAGTGCCCTAGAGTTCAGGCAATGGCCAATTTCTCAATATTTGGTCCGCCCACCTCGAGGTCACGGGCGATTGCATCGGCCTGAGGACGAAATGGGTTTCGAGAAAGCATCTCCATCTTCATGACTTTACCCATGATCAGACAGCTCTGGATGCATGTATTTCGATGGTGCAACATCTCTCATTTATGAATAATTTATTTCATTCTTTTGAACAGAGATATTGTTTCTCGCCAACTGATCATCTCCTGCGACGAACGATGAGCTTCGACGCAATGCTGATGCATGGCAGACATGGGAGTGGCAGAGGAGTAGAAATAGTCAAGAACCACTATCAATGCATCCTGCACTACGAGATCATTCGGTGAACCTATGAGAGCAGAACCAGTAAAACGAGTGACACCATAACCGCCGCATAGCCCAGAGCTGCAGAGGCCAACGAGCGAAGGCGCACAGCCGGGTAAGCAGCTGTGCAGATGCATTGTCCCCTCACCAGTTTGGTTGCATGCAGCATCGTCGGTGCGGGGCATAAGCAATGTTGATGATGATAGTAAGCCTGATATGGGTGGCTGGTTGAGTACATATATGCTGTGGTATAAGGCTGACGTCTGGAGGTGAGTAGGAGGGATTTATTCTATTTTATTTTAATTTATTTTTTTTTTTTGCAATCCAGCTTTGCACTGGGAGCTAAAGTCTTTTCATGACACCATGGAGAAGTTAACGAATCTCAGCAAGCAGTGGAATCTCCCTAAGAAGTGGGAGGAGGTCACAGCCTTCCAGATATGTGCAGGAATTTTGCTCGCTCTAGCTGTGAAGGGCTTCATAGAGGTGAGAGTCACCGCTTTCCACGGCTGGCCACATGCATATCACTCGCCGTACAACCGTCAACTAGGACTTCCCAGCCAAACTCATATCCATTTTCCGTAAGCAGCCGAATCAAACTAACAAACCACAGGTCCTTCTTTACAATCTGTTCTCCCCTTTCCGGCGCCTGCCAGGCCCCTTCCTTGCTCGCCTCACCTCGAAATGGCTCCTCCTGCTCAGCATCTCTGGCAAACGTGCAGCCACCGTCCACGAGCTACACCGCAAGCACGGCAAGGTTGTCCGTCTGTCGTGGAACGAGCTCTCCTTTTCGGGTATCAATGCCGTTCGCCCCATCTATGGGCAGGGTACTACCTGCGTGAAGGCGCCAATTTATGGGCTGTTCGGTAGGGAAGGGCTATTCCAGATGAGGGACCCGGAGGTTCATCGGGAACGGCATCGACGGTTGGCGCATGTGTTTTCTCCGGCTTCGCTGAGGGTGGCTGAGCCTTTGGTGCAGGGCGTTGTTGAGAAGGGGATGAATACGGTGTTGGTGAAGAATACAGGGAAAGAGGTTGATGCGTTGAGTTGGTGTAGGATGATTTCGCTGGATGTTGCTGGTAGGTTGGGTTTCTCTTTGGATTGAAACTTTAGGCTGACTTGTGAAGGTGAGGTCTTGCTCGGAAAGGCATTCGGCGCTTTCGACGGCCGCGAGGATGCCATCAGGTTCGTCTATGTCCTTGACAATGCCTTCCCGAACTTTCTTCTTAGAGGGTTCTACCCACTGGTTTGGCGATTCCTTCGGCTGCTGCCCATCGAGAAGCTGCAAACCTTTCTCGCAGCCAGCGACTACATGTACGCAGTAAGTTAACCACTTTTTCTTAAGTTTTGGCCACGGGATCGTAACATTTGCAGTACGGCGACAACTCCCTCCAAGAATTCATCCGTCTCTACGGGCGGGACTCGCCCCGGCGGTCACTCCTCACCAAAATGCTCAAGGGAGACCCGGCGTCCGGCACGGAGCCGCTACCCGACGAGATCATTGCCATTGAGGTGGCGAACCTGATCTTTGCCGCGACCGACACAACCGGCACGACCATGGCTTACGCCCTGTACCACTTGGCATGCAACCGGGAGTGGCAGGACCGGCTGCGGGCCGAGCTTCGGGCGGCCAACCTCCAACAGAAGGGCTATTCGTTTACTGAGCTACAGGCTCTGCCTGTGCTGCACGGAATTATGAATGAGGCGCTCAGATTGCATCCTGCTGCTGTTGGTGCATTGCAGAGGATGACAACTAGGGAGATAGAAATTGATGGAGTTGTGGTGCCCGCTAATGTAAGCTTTCATTGAAAAAGCTTCCCAAAAGTGACAAGAGTCGCTGCTAACCTTTCTCCCTTTTTCTACAGACCATCGTCTCGGTCCAATCATACACCATGCACCGCGACCCTTCGGTCTTCCCCGACCCAGACACGTTCAATCCAGACCGCTGGATCACGACTTCTGCAGATGGCAATCCCGAGATCGACCATGGCACGCCTGCCATGCGCGAGATGTTTTTTGGTTGGGGCAAAGGCACACGCACCTGCATTAGCATGAACATGGCCATTATGGAGCTCAAGATCCTGCTGGCGCGCGTGATAAACCAGTTTGAGGTGCGCCTCGCCAGTGAGAAGACGCACCGAGACATGGAAATGGAGGATCACTATATTCTTACGCCGAAGGGGGGCAAGTGTGGGCTAGTGTTTGAGCAGTTGTAGGCTCTTTTCGGTCCAATTTCTTCCACCAGTCGAGACATCGGATATATGTTCCAGCTGAAGAAGTTGACGAAGAACAGTGAGAGCCTTTAAAGGTAGATGGTCACCAACATTGTCGCTATGTTTCTGATACCACCCAGGATCCGGCTGGTTGGCTCTGATAGCCCAGCCCAAGCCTGGAGATCCTGGGGGCTGCTGCACCGATCTGCGTTCTTTACCCCCATAAATGGGGGTGATTGCATACCTGGGGTTACACAGGCCGGCATTTCCAGGCCGCCCCTCCAGTTAAGCGGCCCGACCTCAGCCGCGGGCTCGGAGCGGCGCCCATGGTTGGGTAGTTTAAAAGTCCGATCTGCACGTCCGTTATCTCATCAGAGAGCCGGGGTCGGAAGGATAGCTTTCAGCTTTCAACTCCGTCATTTTGGCGGCATGTCTGTGTCCAATTTGGTCTTTTAGGAAAGTAACCGTGCTATCCGTCAAATATTGAACTTAGACATCGCGAATGTGCCTATCAGAGCTCGCTACTCATTAGTGTATCAAACGATCATGTCTCAACGCTCGTGGCTTGCAGAAATCGTGTTGCACTCACAAGCGTACAAGCGTGCAATGCAACCTCCCAAGCGCCACGAAACTACCCTTACCCTCTTGTCCGGCAAATCCCTCCGGGGGAACACAGGACCGAGGAGTGTGTGTGTGAAAGACAAGCCTAGTGGTCTCAACGATCTCGTCATCCCCAACCTGTCCGTGAATCCCTTCCCCACCATGTCTGGGGTTCGGAAGCTCACGAACAAGTTGACGTCGCACGACTCTTCCGCTGGTGCTCCTCCATTGGCTCCAGAACGCTGGTCTTAGACCCTATATCCCCCTCTCACAACTGCCGCCTGGTGCGACCAGTATGATGGGCAAGAAACTAATCGACGTCTCTGTCAGTCCGTGTTTTATTTGGAAAAGCCCTCAAGAGGCCGGCTGGAGTATCCTTATACATTGACAGGATAGGTCCGGTCTGCTCGCAATCTGCTGTTGTTTCTGTTGCTGCGGGTTCCTGTCGTGTTATTCACTTTTGTTTGTTTCCCGGACACGAGACCAAATAGCTACTCTCTCCGTTGACTGTCAATTGGCCGCCACTGTTGTGTGTTGCCTCGCTCTTGGTCGAAAGAACAATAACACTAGTAAAAATGCGTGGTTCCACAATTCTGCTGCGTTCGCTCCTCACTGGGACTTCTCCCTCCTCTTCAAAAGCTGCTGGTGGTGATTAGCACCCGATCCCTGTTTTTCCTTCTCCCCCCAACGACAACACTGCCAACATGACTGACTATTCAGATACCCATACTACCTCTGCGGCTGCGGCTGCGGCTGCTGGTACAGCCCAAGCCCAGCTTGACCAGTCGCCTCGGTCTCCTATCCCGGTTGAGGACTCGGATCGCCCTATTGAGGTCGATGATCTTCAGGTATGTGAACAGCTTAGTCACGTTTCCGTCGAGAGGTTATTGTATTGACTACTTCAGCCTGGTGACGGCGACTCGGTCTATGATGATGACTTGTAGGTTCTTTCAGGTCCCTCTTAAAGTATGTTAAGTATATGTTTCGCAACTAACTACGCAGCTCGACTTTCACTGCCTCGCTGACCTCGAGTGTCCTCAACTACCCCATCGAGCATGGCCGTCGTTATCATGCTTTCAGGGCTGGCAGTAAGTCAACAAAGGATCCTCCTTGCGAAGCATGATCAGACGATTAACACTGCCAGTTTACTGCCTTCCCAACGATGAGGTTCGGTCCTTTCAAGTAGAAGGGCAGAGGATGCTGGTGACTAACGGTCAGCAATAGCTTGAACAAGAGCGTTTAGATCTAACCCATGCTGTCATGACGAAGAGCCTGGGCGATCGACTTTTTCTTTGTCCTATTGACATCTCCAAGATGCAGCGTGTGCTGGATATTGGCACTGGCACTGGTATCTGTATGACTTTTCGCCCTTGATCACTAATTCAACCACATCTGCGAAGTATTTCGCTGACCCTGCAATAGGGGCCATTGCCATGGGTGACGAGTATCCCCATGCACAGGTGCGACATCTTCCTTACGAAACACCAAACCGACAGACTGACCTTATTAGATCCTGGGCAATGACTTGAGTGCCATCCAGCCTCCCTGGTACGCATCCAGAGAAACCGCTGCCAATGTTGACTCACATTAATATACTTTTGCCAGGGTTCCTCCCAACGTGAAGTTTGAGATAGACGACGTCGAGTGCCCCTGGGTGTACGAGGCTCCGTTCGATTTCATCTTTTGCCGCTACATGGCTACTAGCATTGCAGACTGGCCTAAGCTGGTATCGAATGCCTACGAGTGAGTCGTCATCATCGCATGCTTCCGACCTCTTTCTATTAACCGACCTCTTTCTATTAACTAACCCAATTTATCCACAGTAATCTCGCCCCGGGAGGCTGGGCCGAGTTCCAAGACTTCGATCTTCAGTACTACTCCGAAGACGGCTCGCTCAAGCCCGAGTCGTACACTTACCAGTGGATCACGACACTCCTCGACGCAGCGCGCCAGACCGGCAGAGACCCCTGCCCGGGCCCGAAGCTCGAGGGTTACCTCCGCGATGCAGGCTTCATCAACGTCGAGCACCGCCGAATCCGCTGGCCGATTGGCCCGTGGCCGAGGGACCCCCATCTGAAGGAGGTTGGCATGTACAACTGGCACCAGATCATGCAGGGGCTTGAGGCATTTAGCCTGAGGCTGTATTGTCAGGTGCTGGGTTGGAAGGAGGAGGAGGTTATGGTGCTGCTGGGGCACGTGAGAAATGAGTTGAGGAATCCAGGGTTGCATGCGCAGTTTGACTTGTAAGTTCTTCCATTCCAAGTTTCAGCCATTGAAGAGGGATGTAAAGACTAACTTTTTGAACAGCCATGTCTCCTACGGCCAGAAGAAGCCCAGCTCCAAGGGCAAGAACTGAAGGGATATGGAAAGCTCTCTGCGGTTAATGTCGGATTAAGGATATGGGAATGGTGCACAAGACATTCCGATGGACATTGAACCGGTTTGTAATCTTTACGGGCAATGATTTATGCATGATGATGGATGGATTCCAGGCATTAAGGCAGTTAGGTCATCAAATCGATGAGATTTCTCGTTATATTTCGTTGAGCTTCATATGCCACATTGCAGGTCAGATACTGTAGAACAGTCATGCTAAAGGTTAGAGGCCCAAAAAGACAGTGTGTCTAGCACTTCGAACATGAGCTACAAGGTAAGCTCGTAGAAAGCCTAAGATCCATCATCAAAGATAGAAGATGCCCATCTAGAAGCACAAAAGTCAGCAAAAAAGATCTGGCATCTCTACCAACCAGCGAACACCTAAATCTTTCTCTTTATCAATCCCCTCCAAAAGTCAAAACTATTTTCATCACTCTGCAAAGCCCACATTCTACCCGTACTCCTCAACGCTCCATTAATCCCATCAGCAACCACCTCCTCAGCCTTCAACATTCCAAAATCGCCTGTGACCCCCACCACCCGTGCCTTGACCCCTCCCTCAGCTTCTAGCGTCACAACCTGGTTGGTATGCAGCCAGTGAGAGTAGTATCTCCTTTCCAGCTCGCCGGCAAACCCATTCCGGCAGAACTCCTCATACAGCGCCTCTAGCCGGGTCAATACCCTCGCGAGCAGCCTCTCAATCCTAAATGACTGCAGACTGCCCATCGAATCGACCAACGGAAGCACCGCATCCAGCGACGTCGTCGGCTTCGCATTGTTGGTGTTGATCCCAATCCCCAACACAACCTGGTAATTCCCCTCGCTATACGCGCAATTCGCCAAAATTCCTGCAACCTTCACGTACGAAGTCTGGTTCGTCGGGTCCCGCACGTAAACATCGTTGGGCCACTTGATGCGGATGGGGAAGTTGGCGTAGGCCGGGTCTGAGGGGAGGTAGGATTGCACAGCCTCAACGATGGCGATGGCGCTGAGGTATTGTATGAAGACGATGGGGCGGGTTGTGGCGATGTGGGCGGGGTGGTTGATGACTGTGGACATGACGAGGGAGCCGGGGGGTGTGACCCAGACGTTTGAGCCCCGGCCACGGCCGGCGATTTGTGTGGTTGCAGCAAAGGTGAAGCCTGTGGGGAGGTGGGAGAGTAGGGTGGGGTTTCTGGAGGGTTAGCTGAGGATCGTAAAGAGAAGTAAAGGGGAACTTACTTCTCCAGCAAGGTGTTTGTGCTGGTCACAACCTCGCCGTACATGAGAATGTCACCCCAGATGCGGGAATTTGCGTCGCCTTCGAGCTCGCGGAACTCTATTAGACTGGAGTAGAAGACGGCGTGGTTGAAGTAGGGGGTCTCTTTAGGCTCAGGCCATGAGCCTTCATGGGAGACGATACGCTTGGGGATACGGATGTAGTCTGCCGCTGTTGGGTCAGGAGAAGTGCGTCCTCCGGACTTCTTCTTGGTCTGCTCAATCTCATCCAGCATTGCCTTGCTGAGGGCATCCAGCTCCCAACGGGAGTCGGGCTTCTCGAGATGGAAGAGGTCGTTGTGGCCCTTGATGTACTCCTCACCATCGACCTTCTCAATGATCTCACTCAGGGAGGTCAGGAGTTCGCCGACGCCACTGGGCTTTAAGGCTGACAGGTGGATCTTGGAAAGGCTCGGGACCTCTGAGTTACTGCGGCTGACTTCGAGGCCGAGCTTGGTAAGGCAGGCCTTTAGGAATGCCAATCGTGAGAGGGACCAGACCATGAGCTCCTCAAGAAGTTCGGCATAACCGGGCACGTCCGGTTGCATCTTGAGGTTAACAGGATCGAACCTGAGGAGATAGTCAGTCTGCTTGCTTTTTGCCAGAGGAGATAAGACTTACTCTGGATGTGGCCCAGTAAGAATAGCACGCCCCTCGCCAACCTTGCAATACACAATCGCCGCCTTCCCCTGCCCCGGATCAACATCCAGTGGATCCTCGTACTCAGCCAGGACCTGGACATTCCAATTCTCTGCCGCAATTTTGTTGGCATCGACAAAAACCCCCCCTCCATTGTAATAGCACGCCACACTTGATGTCAATTCCTTAAGCCCCTCAAACTTCTCCTTCATCACCTTCAACCTCGCAACCTTAGCGCCCTTCTCACTCTCATACTCAAACCCCTTCCATGCTCCGCCTCTACACGTGCCTGGGTAAAACGCCAACTCCCGACTTCCAACAACTTCCATCCCCGAATTCCCGACCTCAAACTCACACCTCGCACTTCCATAGTACCCTCCCGCGCAAAAACCGAGGTATGCGCCGCCACGCCGAACATACTGCTCGATAAGCTTATTGCCATAGCCGTTGAGCACACGACAGTAGCCTAGGTCGGCGCCGCCGGGGAAGACGAGGAGTGCGCAAGTCGGCTGCCAAGGTTCTTTGAGAAGGGCGGATTCGGTAAGGGGGTTGACGGCATAGTTAGGACCGAGCAGGCGGCGGAGAGTGTAGATGCAGTGGCGGATGGAGGTTAGAGTTGAGCCGGGGCCTGGATCATGTTAGTCAATTGAGCGATTTTGTGAAATGAAGGCGAGACAGACCCGTGTAGACTAGCACGTTGAGTTTGCGGGAGGCCATTGTGGATGTGATGGGGGTTAGTGATGGTTCAAGTGAGGATGAGTCTAGCCTGATGGAGACGGGATGGGACAAAAATCAAGTGACAAGCAGGTTGGGGCCAAAAATTGTTGGACCACACACTTTCAACTACCAACGATCTTTCCCCTGAACAATTCTCTCTCAGCAAAAGACGCAATGGGCTCACAAACGTCAAAAGAACATCAGCCCACGGTTGAGGAGCCGACAAAGGCCGCTGTTGAGGACGATGATGAGCCAGATGAGTGGTGAGTCTACTCCTGTAGTTGAGGTCAAGGTAGTTGCTGAACTGAGTCACGCTGCCCCTTGTTCTCTCAAGCCCCCTCACACAACCCACAGCCAGAACCCTTGCTGACGGCAGTGGCACAGGGAAAAGAGAATTTACAGTACCGGGTGCGCAGGTATGTTATACATCAGACACTGCAGCAAATGTTCAATTTTTCTCAAGTGCTCTCCTAAGAGAAAAGAAAGTTCTCCATGCATGGGTGGTTGTCGCTTGTCCTAATGTGATGACCAAAGCCCACCAAATCCCGACTTAACCGTGTTGATGCAATTGTTACGACCCACTGTTTCTACTGCTGACGGTCATAACAGAGGAAAATGCAAAGATGACGGACTGCTATTTTGAGAAGAAAGACTGGCGAGCTTGCAAGGAAGAGGTATGTCTCCCCTGAGCTCAAGGCGCAATCAAAGCTGACCATAGCACAGATGGAGAGGTTCAAAGAGTGTTGGAAAGCCCATGGTAACGACAAACGCGTTTACACCAAAGACGCTTAGTGAAATGTAATTTTACAAACCTCTGTATATCGGTGTATACAAGGCCGCTCGCAGCACACCTTTATCTCTCAATTCAGTCTTTTTTGGATCCATCGCAATTCAACTTTTCTTTGAAATAAGTTGTATTTGCAGCTAAGGAGCTTTTGTCCCAGTTTCTTCTGTTTTGAGAGCAGGCTGCCCATAGCTCACCGTCAAGAGCAACAGCCCGTACTGTGCATGACGTAACGTAACATACAGTATTGATTTTTTGCTGAGATAGGGCCGTTTGGCGCCGGGCCCCTCCATCAACCAAGACTTCTCTTCCAAAATTTTGACTTCATCTCGACTTCCTCCCACTCATCCACTACCAACCCTCCTTCGACCCTCCTTAAGCCACCCAAAATGTCATCATCTCGCGTCCTGCAACAAGCCAGCCGCTCTCTGCAGCGGCTCCGGCCCTTGAGCCAGCCGCAATCCTCCCTCCTTCTGCAAACCCGCGCCGCGTCGACGACGACTACCTCAACTACAGCACGCGCAACCACCCCGACGAGATCCTACACAGCCCGTCCGAAGCCAGAAACTCCCGCGGCGAAGGCAGCTCCCGCAACTACCGTCATAACCCCCGCCCGGACAGCCGCCTCTACAACCTCCAAGTCGACTACCACCACCAACTACAAATCAGCTACACCTACCAAAACCAACCTCAACACCGGAGTAATCGACCCGCAAGCCGCGATCCCGGCGGCTACTACCGTCGCCGATGTCGACCCAGACCTCGCCGCCGAGATGGAAGGCGGCAGCACCCCTCCCTCAGCCAGTTTCACCCAAGCGCTGCGGGAAAGCAGCCGAGTGAACAACGGCAGCTACATGGGACCGGGAGCCGGCACGGTCGAGACGATCGACTGGTCGTCTTCGTTTCATGGCCTAGGCACCATGCCGTTTGATCCAGAGATTGCCAAGGTGCTGATGGCGCCGATCGATCCAATGGATATTGAGATCAAGCCGGACGGGATTATTTACCTGCCGGAAATCAAGTACCGGAGGATTTTGAACAACGCGTTTGGGCCTGGCGGGTGGGGGCTTGCGCCGAGAGGAGAGTTGGTCGTGGGCGAGAAGGTCGTGACCAGGGAGTATGCTTTGGTTGTGCATGGCCGGTAAGCTTCTGACTCCCATATTCCTCCCCCACTTCCCTGCCTCCTAGTCAAACTCAAACAACGCTAACGGACTCGTAAAACAGGTTCATCGCCCAAGCACGAGGCGAATGTCAATACTTTTCTGAGGAAACCATCCCAACGGCTGGAGAGGGCTGCAAGTCGAACGCGCTGCTGCGCTGCTGCAAGGACCTAGGCATTGCATCGGAGCTGTGGGACCCGCGGTTCATTCGGGAGTTCAAGAAGCAATACTGCCACGAAATATGGGTCGAGCATGTGGTCACCAAGAAGCGCCGGCAGATCTGGTGCCGCAAGGACGGTGAGCCGGCGTATCCTTTCCAGGCTGTCAAGCCTATGGGGCGGTGATAGCCAGGGCAGAGAGGCTGGCTTCAAGAGCTAAGGAATAAAGGGAGAACAATTGGAGTTGGAGAGGAGACCAATTGGCTGAGATGAACAAAACCGATGAGGATGCCTTGTTGGCACCTAAGTGTGTACAATATTTACTTACCTAGATACCTATGGTGTGCGATGTATCATGCTTGTAAATACCCATCTCCGTTGAGAGGCGATGAGAAAGCCTCGATTGAGCAAGGATTGCAGACAACCCCAACGCGGGTTATTCCGGGTCTAGAATTACAACTTTTTTTGTGGTCCGAGTAGGCCAACCAACCCTTCCGCCGGATCTAGATGGATTTCGGCCCGTCAACCTCACCGGTTAAAACACACAACACCAAACGCCGTCCCGTCCGGTCCCTTTACACACCCGTCCCAAACCATCCGAATCCCGACCGACTTGACATCACATAACATGACCCATCCCATATCAACCCTTCAACCCGTCCCTTAAGCCCCAGTCGATTCCATAACCTCCAGTACTGCATCAAAAGGTTACTTCTCAACCCCCGAACTCTTCCCCTTCCCCCACCCCCACAACCACCCCCCACTCCCTTCTCCTGCACTGCTCGTCCCCGCAGCGGTATTCCTCCTCCTTACCCCCTGCTCCTCCTCTCCCTCCACAATATCAACCTTCTCAAAGTCCCCCACACTCCTGCTCCTCTTCCCCGGACTCAACGTATCCCCGCTCTCCTCGTTTTGAAGCTGCTGCTGCGCAGCCTGCTCCTCGCGTTCAAGTGCAGACAGAACCAAGCGCAGACGCTCGCGCTGAGCTTGAATGAACGTCATCCGGGCAGCTGCACTCGCCGAGCGGACTGTTTCGGGCATGAGGCCTGAGGGTGTAGCACCTGGTGTGGTTGAGGTCTCATGAGAGGCACTACCACTGACCAGGGGGGAGGCGAGACTGGAGACGGCGGAGGAGAGGAGGGAGTAGAAATCATTTCCTGCAGCTGTGCCGGTCCAAGTTCCTGTTTGGGGCTGCGCGCCAGTACCGGACATCCAGCGGGGAGAAGGGAGAGAGAACCGTGCAAGCAGAGATGCAGTGTAGCCTTGGGGTGTTTGTTGGGCCGGCTGAGGTTGTTCCGGTGGACTCGGCGGCAGTCCCAGGACATTAACCCTGACTGCCTCGATCGCCCGCTTGAGGTACTCCATGCCCGCGGCCTTCAATCTCTCATGCGCGGAGGCAATGAACTCCTCGATGGCGGCTTCGTTTTCCTCCAGCCGGGGATGGACATATTCCTCATAGATCGTGCGTGCGCCCTGAGTCTGGGGAAGGACAAGATACAGCATGAAGAGCAGGCGCGCGTAGCTGTAGAAGGGCACGAAAAAAAGGAACCAGCCGAGCCAGGACTCGATCAGTAGTGCTATGGAGAGGACCACCCAGTACATGAGCCATGGCGTGAGCTGGGACGGGTCGCCGGCTTTCAGCGCCTTGTAAGAGGCGAAGATTGGGAAGAGGAAGGAGGCGACTGAGCTGGAACAGGCACAGGAGGTTAATGGCTCGTTGAATGGGACAGGGAGAGAGCGGGGACATACGAGAGGAAGTGCGCAAAGATGCCAAACATCTTTGGTGTGGTCGCCTCCAGCAGGCGACCTTGGCTGTCTCGATACTGGGCTCAGTATTTCCTCTCGTATGATGAGTATCCAACGAGTGACACTGATGGACGCCAATGTGTCGGTCGGGCAGAGGGGATGAAACCGTTATTTGTTGGCGGGAAGGGAAAGAGAAAATGAAATGTTGCGCGGTCAACACGAAGGAGGGCCTAGCGGACCGACGTAAGCAGGGCGGCAGGACAGGCAAACGTTGAGCTGAGAGCACAGGCAATGCACGGAGCCCGACGAAGCAGCAGCCCAAGCCCTGGATCTGCGACAGCGTGGGCAGGCAGAGCGGGGGCCCAAACGCGAAATCCCCGCCTGATTGGGCGCGAGATCTCCAGAAGCGTACAGGTGAAGGTGCGACGGAGGGACACCGCGAACTTCCTGTTAAACGTACTCTTGATGTTGAGCCAAGAAACGTTAACTCAGATCGATATACATAACTTTTCATGCACATGGACTTCGCCCAGAGATCTCAACGACATTCACATCTTCAAGAACAAGGCAGACATATGTCCATGAAGCTGTCTGTCCTCGAGCTTGTGTAAGCTTTACTCGGCCCCACACGGACCCGGCAAGTCGACGTAATTGCGGAGTACGAAAGTGGGCCTCAGATTTGAGCTTAACGACCCTAACCCTGAGATCAGGCAGCAAAAGGAATCGAACACCAACCCTCTGAATATCAGTCGCCTCTCATCGCTCAGGGGACAAGAGCTTTTGGATTACCCGCCAGGTATGTCTGGTTGAGGACGCGTAAGTCTTGTGCATATAATCATCTAAAATGTTTCATTCTGTATCATACCGGTGATTTTTTCCCAGCTTACACAGGTAAGAACACCATCTCCCCAGGGAGTCATGTGCCCTCCGTGAGGTTCGGATGTGTCACGTGGTTGCGACTGGTGAAACACTCTGTGACCTCTTCCTCTCCAAGTAGCACTGACTGGGTCAGAAGCCCGTATGCCCATATTTCCATAATGGATGTATTATTTTAGTCATGAATCTAGTGATGCACTGTTGCTATCTGTAATGGGCACAATATATCTGAGCTGCATGTTTCTGGTTCACTGAATTCTCACGGCCTAAGGCTCTTGCAAAAGGTTATTGTCGAGGATAAGTTAGAAACATATTTTTGTTGTTTTCTCGCATGGTGCAGAGAGTTATAGTGATGTCTTTTTCAACATCTGTAGACATTGTCATTGACCAATCCTTGCCACAAAACTCCCTTTAACCCTTGAATGATCTTAACTGAGTATTGGACCTGTAATTTGGATGTGGATCAAGTTTTGTAAAAAGTTGTGATGTAGGAATGTCGCTTGCACAATGTTAAGAGAATGGTTAGCTCCAGAGTAGAGAAGGCAAAACTCGTAATGTGATGAAGTAGACCGGGGACACATCTGCTTAAGCATATTGTCAACTTCAGCATCTCTTACCTTCACTCACTCCTGAGATTCTCTTAAACTTTTCGCACTTACACTAACCGCCTGTTGGTAACTGATGTTATGGAGTTGTCTTTTTGTTTCTGCAGCGCTCGTCGAGCTTTTCTCTGCAGCCCGGTATGAAGATAAGACCTCAGCACGTGACCCCTCCCCCTGACCAAGTCGCATGCCAAAAGCACAAAATATTCACGGCCCTGAAAAGCCACTTACGTATCTGGCACACATGGGCATGTGTGATCGAGAACGCCAAGGTGCCTCTCATCATCCCCTGCTTGAAGCTAAGCTGTAGTTGCGTCCACTACCCGACCACTAGGAATATGAGATCCACTTCCGATGGTTAGTTGGCCTTCGGCAGATCTTATAGAAGCACCAGCGAAGGAGGCGGCGTGACTTGGCGGTGGATATGTGTGGATTGAAAAGTATCTGCTTGCTTGTTTGGTTGCTAAGAGGGCTTCCTTTGCTCTTGGAATCAGAATTGTATTATTTTCTTGATGATTGTTTGAAATGGGGCGTTTTTGGACTTTATGGCCCTGTTTTCAAAGTTGAGCCGGAATATTCGAGGGCTATGTCAACCTTCTTTGAGCTTTTGACAATCATGGTTGAGCAAGCCTTGATCGCTAATCATCTTGTGGTGTCAATGTCTCCCACAGCAAGCTCTGAGCTGTCACCCAACTGTGCAAGCTTTGCTAGTACAGCAAATGGCGGCGACGAATAGGCCTGTGACCGCTAATGTAGCGCGAGTGAATTGTTTGAAGCCGGGCCTCGGAAGGCTTCTAGCATTCCATCTAACCGTTGCACATGCGTTTCCGCGGGCGCCTACGGCACTGTCCGCTATCTTTGGCTGCGTTAAGGCCGCTTCAGCCTCAGGGTGGACTGCCAGAAAGTCTTGTCATGACTCGGAACAGCAAGAGCCTCACGGGATGTGGACGTCCAACGGTGCTGTCCCGAACTTTTTTGCCTGAACTAAGCCACACTGGTGACCAGAAGCTTTACGGAAGGGATCTTTCTGTGAATGTATCTTGCCAACAACCACCGTCGTCGCATCTCCTTTGCATTACACAGTGTCCAAACCCGTTCAGCCTCTCCGCAGAGACAATACTGTTTCTAGCATCCAATAGCCAAAAGGAACGAGGAACCAAATGAGCGGTTTGTCTTGTGGACCAACCTCGAGGCTCGAAAAAGGCTCACCGAATTCTGTGTAGCTACCTCCATTCGGGGAATGAGCGGGTACAGGAAAGTTGGAAGAAGGCCAAGGTGCCTCGGTCACTGGTGGCAGCGGGCTTGGCTGAGATCCTGCAGTGGCCCACATCCAAATGCCCAAGGCGGATCCCAACAAACATCTGCTTCAAGACTAGCTTGTGGATTCTGCAATTTTTGCGCAAGAGTCGTATTTCATCTGTAAACGGGCTTTAAGATCACACTCTGTATCCATATAGTTGTAGCAGCAATTAATAAGAAGTTCGTATTTTGATCTTGTTGAATACTCTGACCTCATGTTGTGATGTTGTCAGGTACATTATCCGAAAGTGCGCCAAATGTCGTTAATGAGCCAATGATATCGGGCCGTAATTGATGGAATTGTCAAAAAAAAAAAAGATCTCAAAGCTGGGTCGGCGGCGACTGGAATTTTGAAAACGCTGGTCTCGTTGGGTGGAAACTGCGAGTGCGGAGTCTTCAAATTGGCAATTGCCCATTGACAGGATGCCGTCCCCATCCATCTCCATCTGTAGCGACAGCGCCTGCAGCAGTGGAGTTGCCAAACACAACCAGAAGCTTGGAACGCGGGGCTCTGCTTGAATCTGGATTGACAGTCCCCATCACGAGCAATGGCATTGAAATTTCGTGGCGGTCGATGTCTCGGCCCAAAGAAGAGCCGTTGTCCGTCGGCTTGAACTCGGTTATCTGGGTGGAAATGTGGAGCCATTTTGGTCTCTTGGCGTTGGGGAACACGTGCCAAGATCCTCCAAGTTGCGGGGAAGTTGGGGTGGCTTCTGTGGAGTGGGGCATGATCTTGGGAGAGCAGCCGCCGAAACCCATGCAGCTCCGCATGCCCGTGGATCTGACCCCAACATCACCCTCTCACAATTTGGGGTTTCACCACAACCATGCCGCCCCCATTCACAGGATCCAGAAAGCCATCAAGGATTCTACCTTCCGGGACATGGAAAAGCTAAGCGCAAAGAAGCAAAATCGCCGCGACAGCCCTGTGCGTCCCAAGAAACCAAAGAGATGGAATGTGGGCCCCACTACAACTTCACGATCCCAGTTCTAGCTTGGCCTCAGAGCCCCCTGCTCGCTCTGAAAGGCGTCTACCACTCAGAACGCAGAGCTGCTTGCCGATGTTTGCTGCCGTGCCTCGTGGCAGCCAGCCTGAACCCTGCGAGGTGTCTTGCAGTGCCCGTCTCCCCTCCAGCAGAGTCTCAATCCTGCCAACTTCCCCATGGGGAACGCGATCCAACAGACATGGAGGGTGTCGGGCTGACGGCGACAACGGGGATGATGGGAACGATGGAGATGGAAGTGTTGGATTCGTAGTGGAGAGGCAAGCGGACACATGCAGTAGACATGGGGGACACTTTGGCGCCCCCCTAAGTTTTCCAGTATGGCAATAGAAGCATCGCAGTGATCTCTCTCGTCGAGGTAGGACACAGATAAAGAGCCCGTGGCCGCTCTTCCATCATGGCTGGACTTCGTGTTCTCAGCCAGACGACACGTCCCCCGTCAAGTTTTGCGCGCCCATCCGACTGACGCCGTCCAGGCTGACTTGGACTCCCTTTTCCTTTCCCTTATTATACCACCCCCCGACCATTCACCATGGCCGAGGACAAAAGAGATATCTCGTCTGAGTCCGAGAAGGCAGTCGCCGACCACACCGAGGTCACCGCCGACCAGCATGCCATTGCTGAGAGGGGCCATGCTGCCACTGACATGTGAGATTACCGCAACACGATTGAGTGTCCTCTGGCCGGTGACTGACTGCTTGAAGTTACGGCAATGCCCTGATCCATATCGACCCCAAGGCCGAATCCAAGCTGCGGACCAAGCTGGACTTGTTTATTGTGCCTACCGTATCCCTTCTGTATCTCTTTTGCTTCATTGATAGAGCTAATATCGGTGAGTGAATGCATCAATCACAATAACTAGGACATGCCAGGCTAATGTTAACATCTCTAGGAAATGCCAAAATTGCCGGCTTCGAGAAGGATATCGGCCTTGAGGGTTACGACTACAACATCGTTCTCACCGTTTTCTACATCTCGTATGTCCTTTTCGAGATGCCCTCGAACATTCTCTGCAAGTGGCTCGGCCCGGGCTGGGTCCTGCCGGCCCTTTCCCTTGGCTTCGGCATCGCGTCTGTCGCCATGGCCTACGTGAAGAACTTCTCCCAGGCCTGTGGTGTTCGCTTCGTCCTTGGCGCCTTCGAGGCTGGTCTAATGCCCGGCATTGCCTACTACCTGTCTCGCTGGTACCGTCGCGCTGAACTTACCTTCCGCCTGTCTTTGTACATCGTCATGGCTCCCCTGGCTGGTGCCTTCGGTGGTCTCCTGGCCTCTGCCATTCTGACTCTCGACCATGTCGCCGACGTTTCGAGCTGGCGCATGATCTTCCTCATCGAGGGTATCATTACTTGCGGTCTCTCTGTTATTGCGTATGTTCTTCATCCTATCTGTGGATAACCTGTGTCCATATTAACTCTCTCAGCTTCTTCACCCTCACCGACCGCCCTGAAACCGCTCGCTGGCTCACCCAGGAGGAGAAGGACCTCGCCATCGCCCGCATCAAGGCGGAGCGTGTCGGCACAACTGAGGTTCTGGACAAGATGGACTGGAAGAAGCTGCTCCGTGGCATCTCGAGCCCTGTCGTATGGGCTACTGCCATCTGCTACGGTCTGAACAACATCACCGTCCAGGGTCTGGCCTTCTTCGCCCCGACCATCGTTCGCACCATTTACCCCGATAAGACCACCGTTATGCAGCAGTTGTACACCGTGCCGCCTTATGTTGTTGGCGGTTTCTTCACCCTCATGCTGCCACTGCTCAGCTGGCGCTTCGACCGTCGCCAGATCTTCCTCATCGCGACCACTCCCCTCGTCATTATCGGCTTTAGCATGTTTCTTGGCACCGACAATGCCAACGCCCGCTATGGCGCTTGCTTCCTGCTTACCAGCTCCCTCTTCGCTGTCGGTCCTATCGCCAACTCGCAAGTCAGCGCCAACGTCGTCACTGACACCGCTCGTTCCTCGGCTATTGGCCTTAATGGTAAGCATTGTTCCCAAACAACTCCACTAAACAATTCCAGACAACCTGCTAACAGATATGCAGTCATGGCTGGCAACATTGGTGGTCTCATCTCGACCTGGAGCTACCTGCCCCACGATGGCCCGGACTACCACATCGGCAATGGCCTCAACCTGGCAGTGACCTGTACCATCTTCCTCGTCACCATTGCCACACTGCTCTGGATGAAGTGGGACAATAAGAGGCGCGAGGCCCGCCACGTCGAGGAAGAGCTCGCAGGCATGTCCGAGCAGGAGATCAGGGATCTGGATTGGAAGCATCCTGCTTTCCGGTGGAAGCCTTAGAGGGTTTCTGGGAAGGTCACATTTTTGCTATGATGTTTTGCAGCCGGCTGTTTGGCAGGGACCAAAAGCCTGCTGTCCGAAGTTGGAATGGAAAGCCTTTTTTTGTCGAGCGCCTTCTCTAGCAGAAGGCCAATGGATTCATGAAACGATGAATGTAGCTGTTTCCAACAGTAAACGTACAATTGATACCAACCGGTTGAAAGAGTGTAATTATTATTACAACATACTATTTCTACATGCACTACTCTCTCACTGCTCGTCAACTCTTGGGCTTTACCGAAATCTCACACACTCCATGCTCATTGTCCTTTGCATGATTTGCTATCTTAATTAGACAATGGCGCCGTCTGTTCAAGCTTTTGGCTACTCCATTCGATGAGTAATGCCAACACTTTGGTTGGCTCGGTGTGGCTGGTTTCATGTGCTAAGCTGCGAGCCGTCGGATGCAAGAGTCTGAATGTTTAAGCGGCCCGACGGCCGTGCCGCAGGTACCGGGTAAACGCTCTTCCTTCTTGGCAAGCTTGCTTGCACTGCAAGGAAAACTTGAATGATCATATCACAAGTGGGTGGCATTTTTTCGTTGGGGGGGGGGGGGAGGAAGAATATCTGGGTATGTGTTCCTCAGTTGGGTACCGTTGGTTGCTCTGGTGATCTGCTAACTCAGGGGCAAGATATGAGTTAAACAAAAGGGGGCTTGAAGCTTTCACATCGCTTGCCCGCTTGCCAGGTCTTAAGATCTCATAACATCACCATAACAGCCTCTGACAAATGCCACGCACACAGTAATTCCTAGGCATCTGCTACTAATCACCCCTCTCACAGTCCCAGCTGCTCATAACTCAACTATCTTCATCCAAAGTTACCCACAAGACCTCCCCTCCCCGGGACCAGCGGCAGGCTTCCCTCCTTCCAACTCCGGCGTATGCTCTAGTGGCGGCCTAATCCCTTCCATCTCCCCCAACCCTGCCGGCACATCCCCAGGTAACTCAGCCTGTGGCGGGACATACACGTAGTAATATGTCCCTCCTCCATAAGCCGGTTGAGGCTGACCTGGCACCGGAACCAGGACCGGGTGTTGTTGATATATCACCGGGGGGTGCCTGACCCGAGGGGAGAACCATTACCATTGTTGGCTGTTAAGGATGTTGCGGGGCGACGGTTGGGCTGCCGCCAGTAATGGGCTGCAGAGGGATAAGGACTGCGCCTGTATCGGCAGACGGGCTGGGGGTGAAGGAGCCCCATGCCGAGGGAGAGGGACTACTGTTGATAGATAATTCTGAAGGAAGGGGTTGTTGAGGGGATGTGGCAAATTCTGCTGCCGTTGGAGGGAAGGAAGCCTTGCTGAGGTTTTGGAGGCAGGGAACTCTGCTCGTAGATTACAGATTACGGAGTTCGTAGTTATGGTATTGGCTGGAAGACTGCTTTGGGGGGTTGACGAGCTCGATTCGGCACCTGAGACTGGGTACGGAGTTTTGAGAACGTGTTTTATGACTAGACCGTAGAGCATAGTGATGATTATGTCGACCAAGAGCGTGTTTACCAGGCCGGATTCCTCGTCCATGCCTTGAACGGGGTAGAAGTGAATGGCTAGTGCCATGATAGTGAGAAGGTGAGCGAACTCGAGGAGTGTAAACCCGATAAACTGTGTAAGAAGCTATGTAGCTGTCAGTTTATCAGCATCGGGAAGCAATAATGAGAATCACCACCTTACTTTGCGTATTTCTGTACCCTTTCAACATTTTGTTGACATGGAAGGTAAGTAAAATCACCACAAAGCTGCTGCTGCAGAGCGTCACGTCTATAGCCGCATGCATGCGATCAATTCCCTTCCACGAGTGAACTTCGCTAAAGAGGAAAACGGTCAGAGCTGTTGCGACCTATGAGCCTGAGAATGGGAGAGAGTAAAGTCACTTACTTGCGCATAATGATCCGTATCATGATGAAAAATGTCATAAAAGACAAGACAACTAGCCCCCCACCCAAAATCAACACTGCATAACGAGCTCGTTGGCGGATAGCGACCGGGACCTCATGTTTGTAATACCGCAGTAAGTCATACGCAGGTTGAAGCAAAGCAGCGAGCAGTATGACATCCGTGATACGGCGAAGACACCTATTGAATTGTGCCCAGATGTAGCTAAAGCTTTGGACTGATTCTGATGACAGGATGGTTGGATTCACACTGAAGAAATCCTAGATAATCGTTATATTTAAGGTCCAGTCGATGGTGCACGGGACCGATGTTCTTTCCTCAGTAACAAGCACCAGACTGTTGTTAGATTATCCCAGATACAACAGCAATGGCCCTGGTTAACGATAAGTGATTGTTCATTTGACAATAATTGTTGCATCTGCTTAGTTAGTATTCACAATGACGGTCGTACCTGGATGGTGAAATCGGATGATGTCCAAACGACGACGTTGGTGCTTGGTGCTAAGAGAGCAACTACTGACAAAAACAAACTAAGTGGTAGTTGTCGCCGTACTTCAAGCGAATACTACATCAACGGTGACTCGTGAGATTCCTGTGTCTTGGCTGCAGTTCACTTTAAAATGAAGTTCTAGGTCATGCCCGTAAGACCATCGTTTGCCTGCAGGTATCACGTTCATTAGCGAACATGTCCACGATTCTTCCGCAGCCCCTCATATACGCCTGGGCAGTATCTGAGAAGATTGCAAAAACAAGTTCCTACGTTCTCCCAAGCGCGAGAGTTGCCCGGGTAGGAGTTGAGCCAGAGTCAGAATTTCAGGTAGGCATTCAGTTGGGCAGTTGTCTATTACCCTCGTGCTCAGAAGTAAGTTGTAAGTGAATACTGAGCACTGATAACACTACCCACTCAAGTCAAAGGATTGAAATAAATAACAGATTGCATTCTTCAGAGTGTACAGGAGCAGGGACTGAAAGCAGATAGAGTGAAAAAACATTAGATAATGTATGAGTGTTGTCTATCATCTACGCAGCCTGATCGTTATCTCAGCACTATCCTACAGATAACACATTAGGAACGGGCTCGGCGGCTATTAATCTTCACCTCTAACTTCACATCTGTGGTGTACATTCAAAAATACAAGATTATTGCTTTAATCCGCATCATTGACTGACTTATTAGAACACATAAGATTACTAACTTATCGCGCTTATTAATCACATAGTTTTACTTGTCCCTTATTCCTGGATTCTGACCCTTCCCCAGGGCTACTCCCCTTCAACTCAGCCACAGGCTCCGATAGATCCAAGAACATTCCTTGCGCCGGCGATTGTGTTGCCGACTGCGATGTTGAAGTATTCAAAGGGAATCTGGGCCGCGGAAGCACATAGATGTAGTAATCTCCTTCCTGCGTCTGACCTGAAGGAGGGTACAATATGGGCGGGGAATTGTCCCAGTGGCATCATCATTATCATCACTGGTTATTGAGGTTGTTGCGGGTCTTGCCGTGGCTACTGCTGCGGTGTCCCAAAGACCGGAGGCATGCTGCTCACGGGCATGACTGCCATAGGGATGAACGTACCTGGTGGCATACTGGTAGGGCTCCAGGCCGCTGCTGTCGTAGGGGTAACTCCCCGCACAACGGAAACTGGATGAAGAGCTATTGCTGGTCTTGGCAATGCAGAGATCTCAGCTGCGCTGTCGGGGGTTGGTGAGTTCACTGGAAGCAGAGTTTGCCAGAGTGGACAGCCAACACTTGGATGCATCGATTATAGCGATTGAATTTACTCTGCGGTAGTCGTCATGACTCTTGAACCGCCTGCTAACCTTGGTGCAGAGGTATAAGATTAGACAGCTGCTAACCAATATCCAGACATCCAAAGTGACTTTGAGATTAAATAATATCCACTAAGTGCCTCTTCCTACCTGATTTTGATCCCCCCTGTTGCCTCTGAAAGCGCACACAAAGTCAAGGAGGACAGGAATCTTACTCGTTGGGACTGGCCAGATGTGTCCAGCTGTTAAGTCCCATGATCGTCAGGATAGGAATGGTAGAGCTCCAAAACCACATGGACAAGCGAGCATTTAGGTGAGTGAGAGCTCACCTGCTCATCTTGACAAAGCAATCCGTGACTAAACCGGCTACGAGTGGCTATGATGATGCAGTCGGTCGTTCGTCGTAGAATCATGCTGAGGATGTTAAAGGCATCGCCGCAGATAATTAATGGTATCGATAGTATCCAGTCCGTCGCCCAGTACTCTAGATAGGCCTTACCACCCCTGCAACCATGCTGCCGTGGACCATGATGAGGATAGATGTGCTGTTCGATTATGGAAGTGAAGGTTAGTGTAGATTCACGAAAGACATCGGAGCTACATTCGCAGAGACCGTCGGTTTGGCCATCCATTGCTGTTGTGGGAATTGTTGTGTATCAATCTGCGGAGCAGGCACCTGGCTAACAGGAACCAAGACAGCTTCTGGAAGAACGTTCGCTTGATTCCAGACATTGTCTCGTGAAGGTTGGGAGGGCTGAAGGTGGGCGGATATCGGAACTGGAAAACTGGTCGCATTCGTGGTAGCTGTTGCATGCATGTATGGCCGTGGAGGGGAAAGTTGAGATTATTTGAATTTGTAGGGGCTGTGCGAGACAAAAAACCTCCGGGGACTTGTGGTTTGCGGTTGGAGATGACAAAGAAAACGATGAGAATGCTCACCCATCTGGCCTTACAGTTAGGAAAAAGTCAGATTGAACCAATATGTATGTTTTACTTCTATTTCCATAGAGTCTTTTTAGTCGAAGAACTACCAGACGGTTGTGCAAGTAAGGTTTACAACATCCCTATCAGAGGCCTTCCGCTGACAAGAGAAACGGGGGTGTACTGTAGGCATGGGGGATGCAGCTTTTGTTCACTCTTCCCCAACTTTTTATGAGTGCTGTTGTGGGTGCACTGGAATCCGGGCTAAATAACCCTGGGGCTGCTGGCCATCCATAGCGCTAGGCATTGCAGGAGCTGCCTGGGGCAGCGTTATCGCGCTGAATACCTGGTTCTGCGCTAGAACAGATTGCTCTCGTGCAATTGTAGGGATGGAAACGAGCACCGCTTGCTGAGAAGAACAGCTATTAAGAGGGGGGGCCGCGCTAGGTGCCAATTTTCCCGACTCAGTTCCATCCTGTCCAGACACTCCCCAAATGGGAGCCCCCGTGGGACTTTCGGAGCCGTCAAGTTCATAAGGAGGGGTAGGTTGTTGGCCATTGCCTGTCTGACAGAGAGTCTCTTGAGTGTTTGGTGTGGTATTCTCTTCCTCCTAAAACCAGATACCGCCATTTTTCGGCTTTCGAATGGCAATAATGACGAGAAGTATGATCATTTCTAGAATGCCACTTCGAATTAGTATCAGCTTCATCGAAGTCTTCGAACACCATGGCTGCTGCGGTCTATGTTCGGCAGATCTAGGTTTTGACTGATGGAGTGGAAAAATGCAATGAAAACATTGAGAACATGAAAAAACTCGGGGAAATAGGTAGATTTCTTGGAATAATGCGTCCTGGTTTCTGAGCCATGCTCGAAGTCAAATACTACCTGCCAACTAGCTAAGAGCAGGGAGCGGTCAGTCAAGATTGCTCCTACAGAAAGTGAGCCCTGTAGCTCATGCACGAGCGGTCGATGGGTATCTTGGCTACAGCTATCCCGCGGGCCGAAGCAGACCGGCAGAGTGTTAGAAAGAGACCTTGGCAACCTACATCAACACTAAACTCAATAATATCACTTAGGGTTCAGGAAAATGACATATAATGCTTAAGTACTGCAGTATGCCTTACCACCAACGGAGATCCTTGCTGGTGAGATCTAAAAAGGTATCAGCTGCAGATGTTGGATGACAAAGAGGGTAGATTACCAAGCTTTCCCCTTTTGACGTGCTGGCTTGGTCTGCATACACAAGTATGCACCTGGTGTCGAGGCTGTATCTTTGGGAGTTCTAGGATGTTACTGGAATTTAGGCGGAAGGTAAGAATTTGGAATCGGAAAATCATGTCTTCCATAAAATCCATGGTCTTTGTCTGACTGAAGCCTTCGTTCCGAACTGGGCCTCCAAGTTCTTAAGCGTTATGACACTTCATCTCGTATTCTATAATTGGGTATTGCTATATCTTCTACGTCTCCATTTTTTTAAGAACAGTCGGGACTCACTCCGGAGTGTGCATATCGGCCTGCCCACTACCCAAACCATTTCTCATAACATTCCTGGAAAATGAGTCGGACACTTGATACCAGTGTTTGAGGCCCCTTGTATTCATTTTGCATGTCTTACCCCCGAGTTAGTTGCCAGAGGACCGGGGCTCATAAATCTCCACTTTCGACATCAGCCCAGTCATTCCAATTTTGCAGTTCACCTTACCCTGCAGCGTTTAAAGACGTTTCATCGGGTGAGATCGAATAGTTATTCTCGTGAGCTCATAACTTGCCCTTGGATCATAGAGGATATAGATACAGATCCTACATAGCACGTGGGGTATACACCGGAGGCGGATCCGCAGTGACATCCTGCTCACACCGCGTATTCGCTACCGGTCGCGGTCGACGGACCATTGGTCATGGATGAGGGAGTCTCAGCGTTTTCTTCAGCAGCGTTTGATGTTGTGTTCGATTCTTGGTTCTTGGGATCGGTGGTGGTTTGTTGAGTGGGGACATCGGAAGATGGTAGTATGAGAACAACTAGGCGAAACAGGAACTTCGAAGCGGAGTACGCAATAGTAAGCCACTCCTTGATATTGTTTTCCCTGCTCCAGTTGGTCAAAGTCCTCCAGGAACTGATGGGAGAGAGGCCGAGGCCCTGATCGACATAAGGACGAAGAGTGAACTGCTCCACAGATAGGCGCTGTACAACCACCATTCGCGACGTTTTTGACATTGTGGGCTCTCAGGCGAATAGTTGAGAGGGTCGTTGATGACTCCGACAAACCACATAAACAGGAGGATATCCGCTAGATAATGAGTGAAGATAGCCAAAATGGCGGCGGTCCGCATGTTCTTAGAGTTTCCTCTCCGATTCCCGTTTCGAGCTCGTCATTAGCAGCCTTAATGGAAATGCAAATCATCTTGCAAAAGTTGTGGAAGACATCGTGTGAGCATTCTAGGCTCTGTATACCACTCCTGATGGAATAGTTGGATATGGCTCACACAGATGTCATTGCGTGCCACCTGGAACCGGCATAACGTGATTACATAAATAGCGAATAAATATTGATCTTGATTTGTCTTCCCAGACTTCCCAGCAGGATATTTAACGGTGACGAGGTCTCCCGGTAATATGGCTGTTGCGGTTGATGTCGGCAAAAGTCCCGGCTGGGAAAGGAAAGAAAAATATGTAAACGTTGAGAATAAAGGAAACTCAGAATATTTTCCAAGAAACATCTGGGACGATCAGTTGTGTTTATGAACAATGCTCGGACAAGTCAGACGCTAACCAACCCTTATAAACAGACGTAGCAACTATGTCAGCCTTACATTAGTATAATTATAAATACCATCAATGCCATTCTCTGCTGAATGTGAACCCCGCAGCCCACGCATCAGCGGTCGAGGGTGCCTCGGCTACAGCCATCCCATGGTCGAATCAAAGTCCGGGACCTCTAATGACCTACGTCTAAGCTCGATAGTATCACTGTACAAGCACAAGAGCAAAAGTCAACAGATGTCTTCAAAACAACCATTACACTCAAAGTGCAGAACTACACTCGAAAACATCAATATTACAATCCACAACGTACGCCAAAACATCTTCCAAACTTACAGTACTAACAGCAGAACATTGTTAGCGACGAGCGGTTTTGGGTCGCTGCTTGACGTGGTGCTGCCAGATCGCGAAGCTTTTCCGCATTGGGTCCTACTGACAAGCTCAAGCTCAACCTGAGATTATTTCATTCGTTTGTGTTCTGGAAAGCTTCCGGCCCGAAAACTGGGGGTTGGCGTTCGACTTTGAATTGCATATGCAGAAGGGAGGGTTGCTTAGGAACGTCTTCTGAGTTCTGGAAACTTAAGTGGCAATACTGGGACTGGGCAATATTATGTCGGAAGCACTCGGGTTTTTTTCTTTTTTTTTTTTTCTTTTTTGATTTACAGTGTAAACGCAGCATTCTGTTGATAAGATAGCAGATGCCGTTTGATCAGTTGATGACCTGATGTTTGTCGGAAGCCAATCGGAAACGCCAAACTTAAAATCCTCTGGCCCAACAAGCCCCGCCATTGCCCAGGCGCCGCGTCGTGTGCTTCGCGGAGAGCACTCACAGAGGTGGATGAAGAACTGAGCTCATAGATCTAATGGATGGCAATGTTGTACCTACTCCCGAGGATAGCTAGCTCAGGGGTCCACGGTTCTAGATCAAAGACGGAATCCCGTCTGTTGAAGCAGCCTTTTGGAAACGATTACCTGGGAAAACCCAAAGTCAACTGAAGCCGTCGAAAGCCACATCCGCTCTACACGTTGCTGCTCCACAGATTCAAGCCACCAGTGGCTGGTGACGGATGGGGGGGAAAGGCCCAGAACTCGAAGACCCAACGGATCGAGATCCAAGGTGATGTTTCGCGGAGGATTCCAGGGCCCGCGGTTCTACTGTTTCATTTCCCCAAATCTTTGATGGTGGCATCGACATCGGACACAGCAACATTTATCGATGCTGCCGGGCGATCAGCACATTCTCTGTCATCGCAAAATGTAAGAGAAAGCGGCGGATTACCATGTTGATGACGATGTCACATTTGGCATTTTCAATGGATCTAGCATTGGCGGCTCCCCGAGCCTTCCCGCTGTGACTCGTTGCAATGACCCCCCGAAGTCACTGTCTTCGCCCACACGACCCCATTGTCCCCGGCTTTAGATCATTCGCGAAGAATTACACTTACGAAGAATTGTGTCTCACTTTTTTACGATCGTTGGCAGCGCTAAGGCGGCCAGACCCAGAGTCGCCGATGAATGGAGTGCAAACTGGGCAAAATGCTTGTCAACAAGGTGCGGTAAGAGATAAGCGTTCCCTTATCAAACACCAAGTACGCGATGGAGCCCCGCGACTCCGAGCTGACCCCGAATCTCGGGATTCCCTTGCTCTCTTCCACGTACTGCCATTAGCCATTGACCAATGCTTCGATGAGTCTTGGATACCATGTGTGGTGCTCACCCAGCTTCTCAGGGCTCGCGTTTCCATCGGGATGAGAAGATGGAAGCTGGGCTTGTGTGGGCACGAGAACGGAGACCTGGGCCCGGGATGGACGATGACGCATTGCCAAGAGGACATACCTGAGCCTTTGACGACTCCGGAGTCCAGACATGCCCCGCACTAGCCATTAGCGCGGGGTGCATTTCTCTTCTGGCAGGATTCTGATCACCAGGGTGTCGCTGATAAGAGCCCCTTATCGTAGTGTGTGCGTGCGTGTGTGTGTGTGTGTGTGTGTGTGTGTGTGTGTGTCGGAGTGCGAGACCGCGAGTTTGTGTGCGACGCATGCTCGTGGCGTTGTGATGCTGCGCGTTGTGCAGTTTGACTGCCATGCACGGATTCGTGGAGACACACCATCGCGGGGAGAGGCTCCCCTTGGGGGTCTCAGGCCTTCCTATCCCGGAGCCATCCATCCATCCATCCAGAGGAAGGCAATGGTTTGGTCTGACTGATGTCTTCCGAAGATGCACACCTGTCGTCCTTATCGCAGATCAACCCCGCCATTGACAAATGAGCACACTCCATGCTTATCGATGATGCCCATGGATGCTGCCAGCGGCATCGGCCTGCAATGCCGATGGTGGGTGTGTGAATGGTATGTGGTAATGGTGAGGAGGTGGTGACGGGTTGAGGGACTGCGAGATGTATCCGAACCTCGTCGATGGCGGAAACTGTATATAAGCCTGTCTTCCCATCCAGCATCATGATAAGGAGGCCTCAGGCGTTTTCAACACAGAGCATCTGAACACGCACTCTCTTCTGTGGGCCCTTTTCTCCCTTTCTTCTCCCCTCCCTCTAACCATGACCATCAACATTATCCCTCACCCTTTCGACCCGCTGTCAGCGGCCGAGATTGAGCAGGCCATCTCGATCGTCAAGAAGGCCCACGGCAATGACCTCTTCTTCAATATCGTCTCGCTGCAGGAGCCGCGCAAAGCCGAGATGACGGCTTGGCTGCAGGCCCCTGAGACGGCGCCGCGGCCAAAGCGCGTTGCTGAGGTCGTCGTCATTGCTCAGGACGGCAAGGTCTTTGACGGCCTGGTTGACCTCACTTCGGGTACCATCACCAAGTGGGATCTGCTTGATGGCGAGCAGCCGATTGTATGTCCCTTCTGAACGATTGAACGAGAACGACGGGGGCTAACAGTACTAGATCACCATGGAGGAGCTCCAACTGGTCGAGCACGTCGTCCGCACCGACCCTAAAGTCATCGAACAGTGCGTCATCAGCGGCATCGACCCCAAGGATATGGACAAGGTCTACTGCGATCCTTGGACCATCGGCTACGACAAGCGCTTCGGTAGCAAGAAGCGCTACCAGCAGGCACTGATGTATTACCGGCCGGACATCGACGACTGCCAATATCAGTATCCTCTCGACTTCTGCCCCATCTATGACGCTGAGCAAAAGAAGATCGTTCATATCGACATTCCCGAGGTCCGCCGCCCGCTGAGCCGCGTCCCGCCGGTCAACTACCACCCCGCCGGAGTCGAAAAGAAGGGTGGCTACCGCACCGACCTCAAGCCCATCTACATCACGCAGCCGGAGGGCGTCTCCTTCAAGATGACGGGCCGCTGGATGGAGTGGCAGAACTGGAAGTTTCACATCGGCTTCAACTACCGCGAGGGCATCGTCTTCAACAACATCACCTTCAACGACCATGGCGTCGAGCGCCCCATCTTCTACCGCTTGTCTCTCGCCGAGATGGTCGTGCCCTACGGCAACCCGGAGCACCCACACCAGCGCAAGCACGCCCTCGACCAGGGCGAGTACGGCGCCGGCTACATGACCAATAGCCTTTCACTTGGCTGCGACTGCAAGGGCGCCATCCACTACCTCGACGCGGACTTCCCTACCCGTGCGGGCGGCGTGCGCACGATTAAGAACGCCATCTGCATCCACGAGGAAGATAACGGTATCCTCTTCAAGCACTCCGACTTTCGCGACGACTCTGTCATCGTCACGCGCGCCCGCAAGCTCATCATCCAACAGATTTTCACGGCGGCCAATTACGAGTACGCCGTGGCGTGGATCTTCCATCAGGACGGCACCATCCAGCCCGAGGTCAAGCTCACTGGCATTCTGAACACCTACAGCATGGACCCGGATGAGGATACCAAGGGCTGGGGCACCCAAGTTTATCCTGGTGTTAATGCACACAACCATCAGCACCTATTCTGCCTGCGGATTGATGCCAATGTCGACGGGCCGAAGAATACGGTTTTCGTGAACGATGCCGTGCCTAGTGACGCGCCAGTCGGCAGCCCCGAGAACCCCTACGGGAATGCCTTCTACTGCAAGCGCACAAAACTGGTCACCCCGGCGCAGGCCAAGACCGATTACGATGGCTCGACCAGCCGGTCGTGGGAGATTGCCAACACCAACAAACTGCACCCGTACAGCAAGAAGCCTGTCTCCTACAAGCTGGTCAGCCGCGAGGTGCCGGGCCTGCTACCCAAGCCGGGCTCGCTGGTGTGGAAGCGCGCGCCGTTTGCTAGGCATGCGGTTTGGGTTACGAAGTGTATGTCCCTTCTCTCCTCTCCCCCAACCCCCCCCCCCCTCCCCTCGCCTTTTTCCCTTAATCCAAACAACCCCTCACTAACTTGCGCGTCTAGACCGCGACGACCAGCTCTACCCCGCCGGCCGCCACGTGCCTCAAACATCAGGCGAAAAGCCGGTTGGCATCGACGCCTGGCTTTCGGAGCCGGGAGTGGCCGACGAAAACATTGACAACGAGGACATCGTGCTGTGGCACACCTTCGGCCTGACACACTTCCCCGCACCCGAAGATTTCCCCGTGATGCCGGCCGAGCCGATCACCCTCTTGCTTAGGCCGCGCAACTTCTTTGAGAACAACCCCGTCATGGATGTGCCTTTCTCGTACTGCCGCGTGCCGAGCCAAGTGCGGGATGGCGTGCCCGGGTGGGATAAGTACCGGTTGGTAGATCGGATTAGCAAGTTGGCTTTTGATGAAGGGAAGGAGGATGGGGAGAAGAAGGAGAAAGAGGTGAATGGGTGCAAGGGTGGGTGCTGTGGGAAGTAAATCATCATGGGGATGAGGGTCATGATGAGCAGTGAGCGACACATGTGTGTTATCTGTATGGATTTAGTGTTTAGAGGTTGATGATATCCTTTAATTTTTTTTATGTGTAAGATTTTTTTTTCTCTGTTTATAAGTACATTTATCTCCGGAGAAGAGCCCCGAATTTCAAGCAGCAGGTTGATTGGCGCATATAGTGAGATAACGGTCTGTTTTTGCTCAATCTTGTCTTTTCCCATGACCTCCTCGACATACAGCTTAAATAATTCCTAGCACTTAGAAGCCAAGCTAAAACGTATGATATTCTTCTATGAAAAACCTGCAGCCCAGACTCCATTCCCTTACGCCTGCTTGCCTGTCCAGTGACCATTATTACTCTCGTCAAAGTGTACGAACCATAAATACTCAAACAGTTTTACCCTTCATCCCTCTTCATTTCTAGTTTACTATTTACTCTCATAAACCCTCCCCCCCTTTCTCCTCCCAACCTCCCCACCCAACCCAACCCAACCCCCTTAACCCTCCTTCTTCCGACTCTTCAAATAATCCCTCAATTGCTCGAACTTACTCGCGAAAAACATCCTCTTCCGATCGCTCCTCCACACCAATACCCCAATCTCCTCGGCATAGCCCGCCAGCGCCATGTACTCCTCGACATTCTCAAAATCCTTGAACAAGAACCCCGGGCTCGTCCGCATCCGCTCATTCTCCAACTGCCACAGCCGGATCTGATCTACCACCGTCGGCGGCAGAACAGGCCTCCCTGCCGCGGCTGCGGCACGAACCATCTGCTCATGTGCGTGGCTGGCGAGGTAGGATATGATTTGGTCGGCGGTGATGCCGAAGCTGATGGCTCGCCGAATGGATTCCCGTGTCAAGCGGCCTGTCACCATGCCGGCAAAGCGCATGTTGAGGTGAGTAAAGAGAGCGAGTACGGCAATTTGCAGTGGGGAGGAGGTGTAGGCGTAGAGGCGGTAGTTCGTCTCGATGATGATGGAGCCCTTGTGCGCGGAGGGGTCGGCTCCCCCCAGGGAAGAGGCGTCGTTCGCGGTGTTGTTGGTTGCGGCGGTGAAGCCGGAGGAAACGGAACGCAGGGCGGATGCGGACGAGGTTAGCGTCGTAGCGAGCCGGGTCGGGAAGTATTGCCGCGTGTCTTCGCGCGGGATGTAGATCAGGCCGAAGTCGACCAGGGCTGGGAGCATGTTGCGCCGGGTTTCGGAGAGCGCGTCGGTATCGTAGGCGCGGCCGAGTTCGAGGGAAGCGAGCATGAAGAGGAAAGAAAGCATCTCGATGCTATCTGGCTTGGTCGGGGGGGCATTTTTGGGGTCAACTCCGGAGGCTGCGGCCGCCGCGGCTTTTGCTTGGTCGGCGGCTTCTAGCCAGAGGAGGAGCAGCGTCCAGACTTGGGCGTTGGCTTCTTGCAGAAGGAAGGTAAATCCGGCTTGGGTGATACCAATGCCGGTTTTGGTGTCCGGGCGGCGCTCGACGAGGCGGCCGGCGAGCAACAAGTCCTTGACGCTGGCCTTGGGCCCGCCACCGCCCATGCCGCCCGGCCCGGCGTCGCCGTGCACGGGAACACTGCTGACCACGTAGTGCAGGATATCCTCCCACTTCTTACGCGCATAGTTATCCAGAAAGGCGATGTCGATGCGCGGATCGACGGGCAGCGAGCTGGGCACACCGAAGCTGTTGTGGGCGGCGCCGCCCTCGAGAGCCAGGCGTAGGCTGTTGCGGAAGTTGGTCGTCAGCTGGACCTCCTGAGGCCGGTCCTTGCCGGGAGGAGTGATCTGGACGATGTGCAGGGAGCGGAGGATAGACAGGGCGCGGTCGCGATGCATTTTCGCCTCGGGCCGCACCCAGACGTCGAGGTCGGACAGCAGCATCGGCTGCGGCATGTACAGCAGCGCCTGGACGAAGACCTTGGCTGCGGCGGTGAGCTGAGTTTTTTTTTTTTTATTGGGCTTTCTTTTTTTTTCCAGACAGAGGCTACACATACCCAGCGGCGGCAGCATACGCCGGAAGATGGCAAAGGCGGACGACGGCTGCTGGTACAGCTTCCTAAAGGTGGTGCCCGGCAGCTTCTCCAGGTAGTCGGAGAGCTGGTACGACTGCGGCACGGCGGGGATCGACATGTTGCCAGATGTGTCAGATGATGATGATTATTGCATTCTGAGCTATTAACAGAGAAAAAGAAAATGAAATGAGCCCGCGTTATGCAGCGAAGGCGTCTCAATGCTCGTCGTGGGCGGGTTCCAACTCTCGAGTTTGGCCCGCCAGCCAGAAAAAGCAGGGTCAAAAGGCGCTGCAGCCTTGCGCTTGAGCGATGTCGAAGATCTGCGACGCGGACTCGGGTGGCTCCACGCGTGAAGTGGGGCTGCAGGGGCCTCAGCGTGGGATATGTAAGTAATAGACAGTGTAACGTGTTACTTTATCGATAAGACCTTGGTATCAGGGTAAAGTACCGATAACTGCCGAGCCGTTGCCGCAAGAGCATGTCAACACGACCGACGCTCACTCATCACTCCTTATCAGCCGAGTCGAAACCGTGTTGGTGAATTCTGACGTAGCCATGGCCTCCAAGACGCCTAAGTTGCCGCCCGCGAGGTTTGTGCGCTCGGTATGTTGAACTACGGACTCGGAAATGAAGGCGGGGGGGGGGGGTAACTTGACGAGGGCAGTACTGACCTCGAACTTGAAAGGTCCTCAAGTCTTTCATGCAGGACTCGGGCCTCGAACCACGGTAAGTCTTGTCACATCCGTTTTGTCTCGTCCGTCATGAAGTTACGTTTCAATGGCTCAGTTGTAACGGCCGACTAACACGGCCTGAACAGCCTCTTTGGGCCTCATGTGAGTTAAACACAGGCCCAGTTGAACTCGTGAGCTTTGCTTACACACGTGTGCCTGTCCCTCCAGCTCCGTATCACCAATGCTCAGGAGGGCCGCGTCGACTTTGAGCTGGATATCCAGCCTCACCACACGGTGTGTTCTCCCCTTCAGTCTCTGTGGAGTTTGCGCTGACTGTCACAGAACCGGCTAAAGATCCTCCACGGCGGCACCATTGCCAGTATGGTCGACCTTGGAGGCTCCCTGGCTGTTGCTTCCAACGGCCTCTATGCCACTGGCGTATCCACCGATCTTAACGGTGAGTGGGAAGATGCTGACTCTCTAAGAGTTGTGGGCAGTGGACTGATGCATCATTGCAGTCACTTATATCGGCAGCGGCGGCAAGGTCGGTGACAAGCTCCGGGCAACTGCTGTTCTTGACAAGAGTGGGTTATCTGTCTGATGTTGTCTTTGGAATTAGACTTAACCTTGTTGTTTCCAGTCGGCAAGACTCTTGCCTATACAACCGTCACCTTCTACAATGACAAGGGTGAGATGACCGCCAGGGGAAGCCATACAAAGTAAGTATTCCTCCACGTTTATGTCACGTACGACAGCCCTGACCAATGTTCCGATCTAGGTACGTCCGCGCAGCCTGGAACCCCGACCTCCCATTATGGCATGCCCCTGAGGGAGCGCCAGTCGCCGAGGAGGAGCCTGAGGGCAACGGGGAGGCCAAGTCTAGCTAGTTTGGTGGGCAATGAAATAGGTGTATGATGCATGTCCGAAAACCACGCTTGGGTTACCCAGTTGAGTTTCTGTTATCAAGCATTTGTAAATAAACTCATAGACTTCAGCGAAGCAGTGGAAGACATCTCATAACAAACACTTGACCAAAAAGGAAGAAAAAAAAAACCAATAGAAACCCCATATTCAGCCTGCCATTTCCCCTCGACGACCGCTTCCCCCACGTCTCAACCCCTCCCCCCAAGAAAATCACACTCCATCCCCTCCACTCCCAGCCTCACACACTGCACCACCACCGGCTTATCCATACTCTCTCGAATCCCCTCCATCCTCGTCCCCTCTACGCCCCCCTTTACCCCGCCATCTGTTTCAAACCCGACCTTTTCAAACACTAACCTTCCAAAATCCACCGGGGGCACGCCATCACTGTCCCAAAAGTCTTCGACGATCCATTCCGCATGGAACCCGCACAACGGAGGGGATTGATCGGAGAGGTTTATGGTTTGCGATCGGTGCGTGCGCAGGTTGTGGAAGATTATATGCGCCGAGGTGAGTGAAGTCGCTGTGACCGTTATCGAGAGGGGGTCGCCGGAGGATAAAGGGAAGGTGAGGAGGTAGCGGGCGTATTGAGGGTACCATTCATACCTTTCAATGATCAGTCATCATTTGCATGGCGGGTGTGAGATGAAAAGGGAGCTTACCAAGCCCAGTATTCCCTCCCGCCTTCACCTCTTACCAAAAGATCCACCCCCGCCTGCAGAATCACACCGGGGCAGGCCCGCTCCCCGTCGATGCCCATCCAGGCTGAGACGGCGTAGAGCATGCCGAAGGAGCCATCTTTACTGTTATTTATGTCTGAGTCGTTGGATGATGGAGGAGAAGCGTGGATCTCGGGGAGAATGATGGTGCCTTTGACGGTGCGGTAGCCTGCGCCTGTGTGCACGGCACCGGCCCAGTTTTTGGACCAGGAGATGGTTTCTTTGTCCTTGTCGTCGGGAAGAGTATCTTTCAGGTTAGTAGAGAAGCTAGATTGCGTGAGGTTGAGGTTGCTTGTGTGAGAGAGGAGGGTTTCCAGACGTCTGGGCAGGCTACGGCGACGGTGTTGGGTGGATGTCTGTTCGGGTAGGGAACGGCATTGGGAGTTAGATATGGCGATCGCTTGGGAGAAAGGTATCGCTAGGTAGAAAAGGAATGATGTGATCAACGAGGCTAAGGTAAACATGTCTCAGCAAGGAAGGGATCAAGAAAATATGCAGAGCATCAGAATGGCAATAAAATAGCATGGATGTTGGAGATGAAAACTGGCTGTGTTTGGCAGTACAGTGAAGGAGATGGAAACACGGGAACATGGCATTTCGGGGGCCTCGGGAACTTATTGCTAAGGCTTTTCTGGAGCACAGGTGTTCGCGTAAGACGATCTTGAGCACAGGAAACATAAATGACCAAGTCTTGAGATCACATAAACCACCTTAGTACGGTCATCCCCACGTACAGATCTAGATTTGTGCTTAGGATGTCCAGGTATACGATAACACAAGGGTTTAGTTCAAGAGTTTTCGTTGAACGAGAAGTACTTGGCAGCAGCAAAAATGTGTGACAGCCCCTGATTTCATGACTCCTCCAACCCTCCCTTTTTCTGTGATACAGTAAGTTGTCCGTTTACCCTCAGACAAACATATCTTCCCTGGATAGGAGCCTGTTGCTGCTTCATTCGGTGGGCTATCATGCCAAGAATTCATCATTCTCTCATACTTACCCTCTCATACTTACCTTTAGATTTCTACGATTTTACTCGGGGCATTTCACACATCACATCACAGCACCCCAAGACCACATCCACATGCGGCAACACAAATCCATTCACTAAGTGTCACTAAGGGCGCGGAGCTTCCTTAATGTCTAAGCCTAAGCCCAAGTCCCATAACGTTGAGTAATACCAGAGCGGAGATTCTCATTTCTCATGATCCATCCATCCATCCGTGGAGGAGGGGCCGTCTTCAGAGAGGTAGATCCTCTTACTCAAAGTAAGCAAATTTTAAGACACTCAACTCCATATAAAAACACGTTAAGTCCTCCGCAATATGCTCGCGCCCGTACCCTAAAACTCTAGAAAATACCGAAATACCGAAAATCAAAAACCAGACATACCCTGACACTAATACCAGTACATGCCCGGACAAATCCCAAATTATCTCGTCCCTCAGTCAAAGACAATCTCGACTACGATTCTCATGTTCCATATCCCAGACATATCTACGTAGGTTTGGCTCCGTAGAGCTCTCATCAATCCCAGCTTCCCATACTATCCTCCACAAGATGCCTCATAAAGGGCGCTGTAGCGCGCAAATGATAGAAAAGTTTTGCTTGGCTCCGCAGGACGATAGACATAGGTTTCGTGTAGGATGCATAAGCCGACACTTCATCTGAGTTGTTTCGTCGCATCGACTTCAGTCAGTGTAGTCGGTGCATACATCGTTCCGTCTGATTCGCATGCTGACCCGCTGTTCAGGTAATTTCTTGTTGTGTTTGGTTCAAATTCCATCCCAATATCCATGCTTCTGTCAGATCTCAGTGGAGATGAACCTGGATAAATCTCGATGAGTGCACGCTGGGGACCCAGAAGTTAAAACATCTCGCACTCCTCCTCCTCCTCCGTATCACAATCCTCGTCATCAACCCGACGGTGAACCTGTGTACCGGTCGTATTAACCGAGGTCATGCTGCCATACGAATAATTCCTGTTGTGGCAGCGATGCACCTGGGTGCCCGTAGAGTTGACGCTCGCCGAGGTCGTCCCGCTACTGGTATTGCGCGAGTTATCCGTGGACTCAGAGTTCTTCTTGGCGTGATAAATCTGAGCCTGGGTGGTGATCCTGATGGCAGAGGCCTTGTATATGTTATTGTTATTGTTATTTTTGTTTCCCTCTCCGTAGATGTCGTTGATACTGCTATTTTTAAAGGAAGACAATGGGAGCGGACAGCGCGGGCGGTAGGGGCTGGTGGTTGTAGCAGCAGCGGGCTGTTTGCCCTTGTCGGTATTTTTCTGAGTGCAAGTGGTGGTGTTCTTGTTGATGAGGCAACCGAACTGTTTCTCGGCAGCAACGACAGTGGCAGTGTTCAAGCCCTGAGGCTGGGGCCGGTGACGACGGAGGAAAATGCCGGTTTCCAGAGGCATCTTGTACTCCATGGAACCGCCGGCGACAGTGAGATGAGCGGAGAGATTATGAGAAGGCATGCGCTGCTGGTTCTGTTGGACCTTTTGCTCGCGGCAGAGGTAGACAAACTCCTTCTCCTTGATGTGCTCCTCTTCGACACCTCCAATGACAACACCCATCCCAGGCTCACTCTCAGAAGACTGAACAACAATCTCAGTTATCATGTTCGTATAAGGATTCCTCGCAATAGCCTCAGCCATCGCAGGATTGCTACAGTAGCAATACCCCTTGCCCTTATGCGGACCAGTCTGGTCGCCAAAGGGCGTTTGAGCCTCTCTGCGGCCGAATGAGCCCAACCACTGCTCAAGCATGGCAACATCATCCTTGCGTGCGGCAATCTTGGCCTGCATCTCGCGCTCAAACTGCTCGGCACGATGGATCTCTTCCTGGATCTCGCGCGCCGCGACCTCCCATTGCCTGTTCTTGTAGGCTTTGACCGGGTTGAGGCTGAGCTTGCGGGGAGCCGTAGCATTGACAGGCTCAAGCTTGATGACCATGGGCTCACGAGCGGCAGCCATAGTGACCTTCTTCATGAAGTCGGTGTTACGGGTAGTAGTGCCGATGAAAGGATCCTCGTTCTCGTCTTGAGCCGAGGTCACGGTATGGGTCTGAACTTGCTCGTGGGCTACCTGCTCAGCGGTTTCACGAGCAGCATCAGCCGCCTCACGCGCAGCACGACGCTCCAAGACACGAGCCTTGAGTTTGTCCATGAGGGTCTTCGCATTGCGAATGCGGGTAGCAATTTCCTCCGCACTCTTGGGAATCAAGTTATCCTCGCCTTCGCGCCCAGGGGTATACTCAGGCGTGGCGGCACGGAGCTTCTCGGGCTTAGGGACATGACTGGTCGACACAGTGGGGGAGTAGGCGAAGTTGTCGTGCTCACAGCAGAAGCGGTGGCCGGATTTTGTGTCGGGCAGGGAGTCGTCGGAGTTGTAGTTGTCGTAGCCGGCAGCATGGTCGTCGGCATCATCGCCATCGAAGTTATACTCTTTGCCTGCATGGGCATAGTAGGAGCCATCCTCGGAGTTGAGCTCACTGACATCCTCATTATCATAGTACTCTTCCTCAGCGTAGGTTTCATACGCGGTCTCATGAGCATAGTAGGAACCGTCTTCGGAGCTAAGCTCACTAACATCATCGTCATCATGCTCCTCCGACTGAGGGCGGAGATGAGCCCCCGCGTCGGGTTGCTCACGGCTGAAGAAAATCAGAGCCGGATCGACACCACTAGGCAGCAAATTCGCATTTCCAGCGCGGCGGGCAAAATCAGTCTGCCACTCATGCAGCGACCGCAGGGCCTCATCGGTCATACAGTACTCCGCGAGCACCTCAAAGACACGGGCGGCGACGATCTCACCATCATCATAGCAGCCCATGCGGGCGCGCTCAAAGTTCTGAGGATCCAGGCGCTCGCTCTTGACGCGATCCTCCAGGGCCATGAAGCGGCCGGTCCAGTAGTGCGAGGGCATGGGCAGAGAGATGTAGCGCGGGTCCGTGAAGCGGGGGTCGACCTCGATCAGGGAGACAGGAGAGAACTCGACTGGAACAATGTGCGGGGGCTCGAAGCGCGTAGAGATTCTACCATCAGCACTAGCACTTCCGGTGGGAGTACCAGGCTCAGATTCAGTAGAATTGGGCTCGCGGGGAGCATTCTCAATCTCGGCGGTGACAGGCTCAACAGCAGAAGTACTCTCAAGCAGCGGGAAACACACAAGCAGACCAGCAATCTTGGCTCCAATACGGATGGCACGGTCAACGACGGGGGCCGCGATCACTGTGAGCCTGGATCTGGGCCAGGGAAGCATCATCAAGAGCGAGGGGAACGGCAGCCTGCTCCCTCGCCATATGGGCCTTACGGACATGTTTGGGCACATTCCTCTTGAGCTTGTTGCGCGTCTGGCGCAGCTTACTGGGTTCCTTGTTCTGGGCAGAGCGGGTGCGAGACACCTTGAGCTTGTTCAGGAGGTTCTGGAGAGCGGCCTTCGCACTCATCTTAGTCTTCTCATTAGTCCTGTCGAGGATAGAAATCTTGTTATTGCGATACCTAACGGCCTCAGCGATCACGACCGCAGTCTCGATGGCCTTCTCTGCGAGGCGGGCGATACCACTGGGAGAGGAATCACCGAGAGAATCCATGAACTGGTCGCTAGGGTTGGTGATGTACTCGACGATGACGTCGCCGACGTTGTAGTGGAGATAGGCCGAGTGACCGCGCTTGGATTGGGCGCCGCTGATGGCGCGTCGGATGAAGGAGGCCATGGATGACGATGGTCGGTACCTCAGGGTTCCTTGCGTTCAGATAAGATTGCGATATCCGGAGAGATTGTCAAGCCGGATATGAGAGGTGAAGAAGAAGTGAAGACCGCTGAAGCGCGGAGCGTCGAGGGCAGAACGCGGCAGTCCATAGCTGACAATGTTTACTTGCACAACGACGCGATGCGTTCAGCGGTGATTTGATAAGTCGGTTTAGATGAGTGGCGTGAGGTAGCTTCCGACGGAAGATGCAACTTTTTGTTTGATAGTGGGTCTGATAAAAGGTTAGTTTGAGTCCCAGATCAAGCAGAGGCAGGCGACTTTGACTGCCCAAGCGCCAGGCCAATCGACCTACGGCGTGTTGTTGCTGAGGCAGGTTGAGATTAGTAGTATATGATTGAGATCGTGGTAAGATAGAGTTGAGATCCGTTGAGACGCGGTTCAGCTAGTGACGTAGATTTGCTCAGTCCGTACTGGTTAGCCAGAATTCATGAGAGGGAGATCTTTTTCTCAGGCGCCCGGAAGTCCCGCGCGAGGAAGTCGGATGAAGAGGCAACTTACCGAGTGCTTTTAACTAGATAGGTTCAGGGGCACGTTAAGTTAGCTGTATATCACTGTATATCACGTGTTGAAGTAATAAGAAAACGACAAGATCTTGAAAGAAGTCGGTGGTTTTGTGAGATTCAGATGAAGAACTATTCAGAGAAGTCGGTTCAGTTGAAAGTTGTATGAGAATAAAGTGATCACGATCACACTCGAAGCGCCAGAAGCTCGGACGCGGGAGGAATTTTAAGGGAAGATGACTTACTGAGTGAAGTTAAGTGATGGGGAATGAGCAGGAAAGTAAGAAGAGATGAGAGAAGCTTGGCGAGGTTGAGGATGAGGTGAGAGATATCTAGCGAGAGTGAAAGGTCAGAAGCGGGGTGTGAAGAGAAATTCAGGTGAGACGCGTCAGGAGCGGTGGAATAAGGCAACCGACGCGCGTCAAGTGGTGCGTGGACCAGACGCACGTAGCTACGCGTGTCGAAGGCGAGCGTGTCAGAAGCGTGTGAGGGACGTGTCAAGGACGTGTTGGGAGTGCGTGTCGAGGCGTATGTGAGTGAAGCGCGCTGGGGCTCTGGGGGACGGGTTGAGGGCGCGCACGAGGAAAGGAGAGTAGGAACTTACCAGCGATTGTTGAGTAGAGAGGTCGTTCCAGCAATCTTCCAGAGCGGATATGACTAGAAATGATGGCGCGGAGGGTAAGAACTGATGCGCGCGGTAGATTCAGGCGAGTTCGGATGACAGCGATGGTGGCGATGATCGCGATCTTACTGCCAGGAAGATAGTTTGGAAGAAAAGAGGAAGAGAGAGAGAGAGAAGAAGGGAGGAAATTGAGAGGGAGGGGGGAAATTATTTCTGGGAGAGGATAGGCCAAATGTGGAACCAGATCTGGGTAAGATCTAGAACAGAAATTGTCTACGGGTTCAAATTTTTTCGTCTCCAGGGACGACAGGATGTTTGTAAACAGATGATAGCGAAAGTCAAGATGTAAACAGATAGACAGTGGTCGAGTGTGACGGCGACGGTGAGGTTGCGGAGCAGGAATGATGATTTGAGGTCCCTTGTTATAGCTCCAAGATGGCGACCGTCTTCAGTAAATTAAGATCCAATCCATGAACAAGACATGGATCAATTGGAAAAACAAACACGAAAACAAAAAAAAAAAAAGAACAGATTGTGTCCATCATGTTTCAGGAACAAGGTCTTTATAGTATTAATTCTAGAGCTGCCTGATCCTAGTTATCCGAGTCTCACTGTACAAACCATGCATTGCCTGATTGCTCGATCTAAACCCATGTCAGACCCAATCCAGAAAAGAAGCGCCGTCATCTCTCATTGCAACTCATAAATCATTACAATCCCTCGTAAAGCGTGCCTCGTACCCTACCGTTAGTGCTCCTCCGCTCTCCCCCAAACCCCCTCCTCCCCCCTTCCCCCCCACCCTTCCCCTTTAAACCATTCATCTACCCTAATTGCGAAGTTCCAGCGCCTCATCCCAGCCCTCGATCTTGAAATAAAAGGTCTTGTCCCCCTCACCGCGCGGTATGGGATTACCATTGGCATCCCAGAGGTCGCGCTCCGTGTAGCGGACGTTGCCATCCCAGTCCACGAGGATGATGGTCTGTCGCTGCGTGCCGTACAGACCGGTCTGGAAGCCGTTAGGCTGAGAGTCCTCGGCTGGGGGGACCGCCTCCATAGCCTTGCCGCGGGCCTGCGCATCTCGGAACTCTTTTTGGTGCGTGGCCTCGCCGAAGGCCGGGATGAAAATCGAGTCCTTGAGGTGGATCAGGCCCTCCTCGAGGTCCATGGTGTGGTCGGCGGGGAAGTTGTCCACGTCGAGGATACGGAAGAGGTCCTCGACAAGCTCCTCCTCAGTCGCCGACTCTTTGGCCGCCACGTTCCGTAGCATGTCGATACCTTGCCGGATCTTGGGCCACATTGGCTCGTCGCCCTCCTCGCCTGGAGCAACGTAGATAGCATTACTCAGGCCGTGAACCTCGCCGCGGGTACCACAGATCCAGGGCACCGCATCGGGATGGTCGACGCGATTCGATATGATGGCCAGAGGCTCGATGTTCTTCTCTCCCTTCTTGCCCTCTTCTCCAGCCTCTTCCCTTCTTCTCCTGAGCTTGCCACAAATCAAAGAGAACCCGCCCACGCCCTTGACGCCGCCCTCATCCAGCATTCGATGCACGAACTGGCGAGTTGACTCTCGCGGATCGGCGGCTAGCCAGGCAGTAACCATGCCGCCGCGACTGCGCTTGGCATGGACGGGATGGGCAGCATCATGAGTGTCAGTTTCGCGGTAGTTGGTCAAAACCGCAAAGTTGCCGCCCTTGGAGATGCCCAGCCAGGTTCCTCGTTCAGGTCGTTGGAGGTCTCGGCTTGAGAGAACATGGACTTCTTGAGGAGCACTTGACCCGTTTGAACTTTCGTCCTGGCTGCCGTTAAGGTAGGGTTCCGGCTTGGTGGTCCACCAGTGGAGCTGGCTCGTTGGGCGGAGGATAAACTCATCGCGGTTGTCGATGATGATGATCGCGTAGCGCGGATGCGCCGTAGTAAGTAGAGCGATGCACATAGTTGTAGAATAGACTGTACCAATGGAGAAAGATACTTTTTTTTTTTTCGTTGTTGTTATTGTAACTGCTGGTGTTGTGGTCGCAGAGACCTGAGAGCTCCCAAATGCTGGGGGGCTTCCGTTCCCCTTATACGTTTTCCGTTACGCTATGGACGTATTCCAAGTGGAGCGGCGTTCGGCCGCCAAGCACCCAGTTACTTGCAGCTGTCTGTTCACGGTCCCTGGGTCCTGGGATTGGGTGTTGCTTGTGCTGTGTGTAACTTGTTGAAAATGCAATGTTGGCCAGCGAGCGGCCTGACGAGATCCGACCGAATGGATCCCTCAATGCTACCCGTTCGTTGGGTTGCTTGGTGCAGCAGAGTGGCTAGTACTTGCTGTCAGATCGAGCGATAGCAGATCAGGCCACATCAACGTCTGCGCAGCTGGCAACACGCGAGTCTCTGTCGAGAGTGTTGTAGTCACAGTCTGCAAAGAGTCCATGGAAGGGTTAGAAAGGGCAGAAAATCACGTTTCTTGTGTGCTGGAGCTGGCTTCTTTGGAGCAGATGATGTTCACAGCCATATCAAGAGTGCAACGTCAGCGGTGCGAGCGCATGTTTGCATGCAGTTCTTCTTGTTCATGTTATCCGTTCTTGACCCCTTGACCACCAGCTAAACTTTTGCCCAGGCTGGGCCAAGCAGGCCCAGTGCGCCTTTGACGTCACGAGGCAAGGGGCAACTTGGCGAGGACCACGAGATCATGCAGTTTTCTCCTTATCCCCCAGATTTTCAGACGCCGTGGCACGGACCAGTTGAGGGGGCCCAAGTCAGCTCCATCCAACAGCGGGAGCTGGTACGTACTCGGGGGGGGCTCCCTCGTCTGCTTAACGGGGTACTTCGTCAGGGACATCCTAGCAGACTTCTCACTTCTCAGCAACACCAATATTTGCTGGCCGCGGCTGTTGACCAGCGCACCGATGCAGCTCGGTGGCATCGCAGGTCTCCACGGCAAAATGGCGGGGCATATTTACAGGTTGATGCCGGTTGCCGGCCTTGGCTAGCTGAAGCCGACGAGTCTGGAGCCGTTCCGGCGTCCGAGTCGAGTCTTTCTTTGGTTTCCAGTCCCTCAAGCTTGCCTCGGAGCCCCCGCGCCGACTCTACGCTTTCAGAGCTCAGCCAACAAGAAAACTGTCGTCACATGGCATACCCGCTGCAAAATCGACAAATCGCATATGCCGACAACATGGACAGAGTGGGCTTTTGAGTGTTTTTGGTTTGCTCAATACATCTGGACTTGCATGAAGCAGCTCCTCCTGTTCAGGTAGACCACTGCTGCGTGATGGTATGCTATGTACAGGTGTTTTTTCTTCAACGCTTTGCCACAATAGAAAAGACTGAGAGCGCTCTACGAACAGCCAAGACCGCAACAGGTGATGGCTGTGGTGCGACGTAGAATTCATCGGGAACCTCTGGTAATAGCTAGAATCCGACAGAGTCTTCTTGCTTACAACAAGCTCATCTCCATGTGCCGACGAAACCAATTCATCTCAAACCCTTCCCCCTAACGCTCGTCGGCCATCTCCGCCATTACCAGCCTTCACAAAGATGCGGCTCGCCGCGCCGTCTCCGAGGGACTGCCCGTCTTGCCAGCAACCCAGTCATCCAGGAGGTCCAGTGGAGGAGTGCACTGGCCACAGAGAGTGGGATGTGTGTGGGCTGGATTCGCTCAGGTTTTTTGTGGATGGCAGATCTTGGATGGATCCCTTGGCTGCCTTTGGATCTGGGCCAAACCAACGGGTAAAAGCTCGGATCACCCTTAGACACCGCCCGCCAACCCTGCAACGTGACGCATTTGGCCGTTTTAAAAGGGGCCCAGCCAATCACAGCCTGTCATTCTGCAGCATTCTTCTCGAGTTTGGGCGGCCGGACACCCATCTTTTTTTGTGCCACTGCGGGGTCCCTGACTGCTGAGAACGGGAAACGCTGCCGGTGAAAAAAAATCTGATTGACTCACCAGAACTGGGAGGGGCTCAAGGAGTCAAGGCCGCCGACTATTTGAGAGCGGCATCGGTAACCTTGTGTTTTTCCCATCTCTCCTCATTGCTCTTCAACAAATTTCCCCTCTCCCCCAATTCGTCTTGATTATTCTGGTTGCAACTCCCTTCCAATTGCACCGTTCTTGTCCTCTGGTCTCACGCAACACACAAAACACAAAAACAACACACACACACACACACACACACACATACGCGCGCGCGCGCACATCCACCCAAACAAATAAAAAAACAAACAAACAAACAAACAAACATCACAATCAGAAATTACCATAGCCAACATGTCCGGCAACGGCGCCTGCAATGGCACCAAGAATGGTGTCTCCAATGGGGTATGTGAATTAGCCGTCCTTATCACTTATCGCTGCCGTCATTACCACCCTCCACAACCACAGCCTGAGCGTCGTGATCATACATGATACTCATCGTTCATTCTACTCTAGAGTGCCTACTACCGCAGCAATCCCTACCAGCCTGTGCCGGACTTCCTGTCCAACGTCGACAAGTTCAAGATCATTGAGTCGACTCTGCGTGGTCCGTAGCAGCCATTGAACGCCTTTTCGCCGATCTGTGCCGCTGACTCCTGTCACAGAGGGCGAGCAGTTCGCCAATGCCTACTTTGACACTGAGACCAAGATCAAGATGTATGTTATCCTTCAGAAATCCCCCCGCCATGAGCCAATTGATCGTCAGGTGCTAACCTTCTCTCAGCGCCAAGGGTATGATCTCACTGCCCCGCTTGTCCGCTGCGTAGCCGCTAACCGCGCGCCCCGCCCACAGCGCTTGATGAGTTTGGCGTCGACTACATCGAGCTGACTTCGCCTGCTGCCTCGGAGCAGTCTCGCCGGGACTGCGAGGCCATCTGCAAGCTCGGCCTCAAGGTGCGTTTTTCCTTTCTTTTTTTTTTTCCGTGCTGAATTGGAGCTCAATGCTAACTCTTCGCAGGCCAAGATCCTCACACGTGAGTCACCGATCTCGGCGCTTGGCGCTTGACCGCCCGGCACACCGCCTAATGTACGCTAATGCTAACGCCCCACCCCCCAGACATTCGCTGCGACATGCGCGATGCCAAGCTTGCCGTTGAGACAGGTGTCGACGGTTTGGATGTTGTCATTGGCACCTCTAGCTTCCTGCGCGAGCACAGCCATGGCAAGGACATGGCCTACATTGAGAAGACGGCCATTGAGGTGATTGAGTACATCAAGTCCAAGGGCCTGGAAGTGCGCTGTAAGTCCTGCTCCCCCTCTCACTCTGATCCTCGTTTACATCCCGAGATCCCCGAGATCTCCCCGATGCAACAATGTCCGGACGAAATAGGATGTGGGGCGCTAACGTCGAGCGCAGTCTCCAGCGAGGACTCCTTCCGCTCGGATCTCGTCGATCTCCTCTCCCTGTACAAGGCTGTCGACAAGGTCGGCGTCCACCGCGTCGGTATTGCCGATACCGTTGGCTGCGCGACCCCCAGGCAAGTCTACGACCTCGTCAGGACCCTGCGTGGTGTCGTGTCGTGCGATATCGAGACGCACTTCCACAACGATACCGGCTGCGCCGTTGCCAATGCCTATTGCGCCCTCGAGGCCGGTGCCACCCACATCGACACCTCCGTCCTTGGTATCGGCGAGCGTAACGGTATCACCCCTCTCGGTGGCTTGATGGCCCGCATGGTCGTCACGGCCCCTGAGTACGTCAAGAGCAAGTACAAGCTGCACAAGCTCAAGGAGATCGAGGACATGGTCGCCGAGGCTGTCCAGATCAACGTCCCCTTCAACAATCCCATCACTGGCTTCTGCGCCTTCACCCACAAGGCCGGCATCCACGCCAAGGCCATCCTCAACAACCCCAGCACCTACGAGATTCTCGACCCTGCGGACTTCGGTCTTACCCGCTACGTCCACTTTGCTTCTCGCCTGACCGGCTGGAACGCCGTCAAGACAAGAGTTAAGCAGCTTGGCCTGTCCATGACCGACGACCAGGTCAAGGAATGGTATGTAACACGCGCTTCTTGGGCTCTTGGTACAAGGAAGTACTGACAATTTTTTTTTCACAGCACTGCCAAGATCAAGGCTCTGGCCGACATCCGGCCAATTGCCATCGACGATGCCGATTCTATCATCCGGAGCTTCCACATTTCGCTGCAGCCGCAGCCGCACCGGCCTTCTGAGCCTGTTCCCACCGACGAGGTGATTCCCGCTGAGGAGGAGCCTGAGCCGGCGGCTTGAATTAAGCTGTTGTTAATTTAGGGGGGGGGACGATAAATGATCTATATGACGGGAGCCTTTTTTTTTAATTTGCTGCTACACTCGGCCGCATCTTCTTCTTTTCTTCATATTTCGTCTGGGAGTTGGTTGAGTAAAATCTCATCATGGATGGATGGAAGGGTTCATCAAAATGGCGGTGCTTGGGTTGAAAGGCAAAACAAAACGGAGAGTAACAGAACGTGTGCTCGCATTCAAAAAAAAAAGAGGTGGCACATAAAAAACGGAGCATGCACAAAAATGGTTTCGTACTTTCTCAAGTTGCATCTGTTAGGTAGTCAAAATGAAAAGCCTGGCTAACGGGTTCAAGGTTTGGTTTGCCCAAGAACTGGTTGAATCATTCTGTGCGATGGTGAGATGAATGCCCGGTTGAAGCAGAGGTCCAAGATACTGAAGTTTGGGAGTAGCAGATTCTCGAACCAGAATGATGAGCTACGGACAACAATATCTTGGATACATCATAGTCACTTGACTACTATACAGCTATGCTCGAAATGCCCTTCTTAGAAAGCTAACCGCCGATGACGGACAGCTGCAGCCTTCCCTTCTCAGCACGATCTTCGCCAACATGGAGCTTGTTTCATGAGTTCCAAGACAGTGTAACTGGAACCTCTTGACCAAGGTTTCAACCAACCTAAGATCATCATCATCCATCAAGTGAGTAGTGTCAGATGGCCTCCGGTCGGCCCGCCACAGGCATGGCATCCAGTTTTGCTTACCTAAGGTGCCCTGTGTTCATGTTGTTTCAATCACGTCCTGTGATGCTGACACATTATGGAGCACGCAGTCCACTAGGCTGACACCAAGTGCAACTTACCGAGACGTGAGAGTTACAAGCCTCTCTCCCCCGCTCCCGTCACACACACACATCTACACGCACACGCGCACCTTTGCCAACGCACGGGCCACTCTTCGTGCCCCTCTTCAAGCCTTTCCCTTCTCGTGGAAGCCCCCACCTTTCCCTGTTGTGGATGACTGATCCAGTAAGTGGGCTGTCTTGGCTCCCTCCAAAAAAAGTTCCAAGACCCTCGTGCCGACATCCACTCACCCTATCCAACCAACGAGGGCGGTTGGGTGAGAGCACGCGACTGGGCTTGGTTCTTGTGATTCGAACAAGCAAGCAAGCAGGCAGGCAGGCAGGCAGGCAGACAAAAATATGGGAACGGGATGGAGGGATATTTAAGAGTTTGTCTCATCTCATGTTGGTTTATCTGATCTCACCACCTTCTAGACATCCATCAATACAGAGTTGAGCTTCATATTCTTACCAACAGCCCGGTTGGTTCGAACTCAAATCTAAAGCAGTAAAAAGCTCGTGTTACTGTTACCCTTAGCGCCTGTATCAAAGTGCAAGTTCAGCTGTGACCAGTAAGCGCTTGGGTTGTAAGAGGCTGGCTGGTGAGTGGGTGAGCGACGGAGCCCCGCGCAGCGCAGGTGCTGAGAAGAGGGGCAGCCCAACGTCGTATCAGGTTGCGTTTTCTTCGTTTTTCTTTCGTTTCTTCTGCGAGAGTTCAGCTGCGCGCTTTCTCTCTCGTCTCAGCTGGGAATGAGTTTCGAGCACTGAGTGAGGGGATAACGAGAACAAGAAGAAACTTTTCTTGACGATTTTCACCTCTTGCACACGACGATCATCGACTTCATCCTCGCTCTTAACTTCGTCGCATTGCTGATCAAAACCCGCCGACTTCCGCGAAGCTAAGTTAGAATGGGTCGACGTTCCCGTTCAAGCTCTTCTTCTCCCAGCTCCTCTTCCAGCTCCTCCGACCGGCGCGGTCGCAGTCGCGATCGCAAAAAAAAGTCCAAATCTAAATCGCGCTCCCGCTCCGGCTCGCGCGACGACAAAACCGACCGCGTCGAGCGCTGGGTGCGCAACACGGCTGCCGCAGCCGCCGCCACAGCCGCTGTCGTCAAAGCCGCAAAGTCTCGTAGTCGTAGTCGGAGCCGCAGCCGTTCCCCAGAGGGGGGAGGGAGAAAAAAGGTCGAGAAGGAGGAACGGTACGAGGTGATTAAGGAGAGGTTTGAACGAGATGATGATCACGTTTATGACTGGCGGGATGAGAGGAGACGCAGGGAGGAGGCATACATGGCCGGGGGGTTGCCCCCTGCACCTACGCAAGGGGGAGGGTATAGAAAAGAGATGGAGATTGAGATTAGGCGGGAGAAGGAGAGAATCGGGAGGAGTCCTTCGCCGCCGAGGGTTTATGACCGTCCTCCGCCTGCTAGACCGGGACGATATGACGACGATGATGATCGCTACGGCCGTCGTCCGGCCTCGGCGTATGGCAGGAGGAGAGACCCATCCCCGCCATATGGGGAGATACCCGGGCCCGGGGAGAGCATGTTGCCTCCTCCCCGGTATTACGGTCCGCCGCCGGCGGAAAGAGAAACGGAGGTGGTGTTTTCGAGGAGAAGGTCAAGGAGCAGGGAGAGAAGGGATGAGTGGGAGGTTGAGGACGAGTTTTATTCGAAGCCGGGGAGAACGAGGCTGCCAAAGAAGTGGTGCAGTGTAAGGGCGGTGGTGGAGATGGGATATCCTTTTGTTGAGGAGGTACGTTCTCACATGATTGGGGGCATTTCGGATGTAGAGCGATGGAATGGGTTGTGGACAAGAAAAGAGGGCTAACATGTCATAGGATGATTTCGTCGTCATCCAGCGGGCACTCAGCAAGCGATTGATCGAAGACTTGTTCAGGTTGAGTGCCAGGTATAGGGACCGTAAGTCTTCCTTCTTCGACTCTCTCCTTGCAATCCTTTCCTCCCTCCCTCCCTCCCTCCCTCCCTCTCTCCTCCCCCTCTCTCTACACACATACACACACACACACACATGCACACCCACCCAATCACCCAACCCATCCATACTAACATCTCCAGTCGACCGCGAGGACAACGACATTATCTCGGAACGCATCGAGCGCTATACCGAAGTCTACGGGTCCAGCTCGGCTCCCGGCACACCCATCTCTCCTCGCCCATCAGGCCGCTATAGCAAACCCCCCATCATCATCGCCTCCACATCCCCTCACCGCCGCACCCCTCCCCCCGAGGATGTTATCAAGCTAAAACAAAGACTACCACAGCAACTATCGTTCACGACGGTGGCAGTCACTACTCCTATTCTTCCTCCTCATCCTCATCTTCCTCCTCCGAAAGCGACCGCGAAAGCCGGTACTCCAAGAGCAAGGAAAAGTCCTACAAAAAGAAAAAGAGGCATTCCTCTTCTAAGAAAAAAGCTCAAGAAGTCAAAGAAATCGTCGTCTATGAATCCTCGATGCGCAAAGAGGAATCTGCCCCGGTTACCCTGGGCTTAGTCGGCCTGGCTGAGGAAGAAGGTGACAAAATCCGCGCCCGCAGCGTCTCTCGCTATCGACACTCTTCTCGTCACCGCGAGCGCGGCCACAGCCGTAGTCGTAGCCGTAGTAGGGAAAGAGATCGCAGCAAGCTGCGCGTCGAGCACGAACGGCAGAGTCGCAGCCGCAGCAAACACCATCGCACGACTTCTTATGCAGGCACAACCCACCTAACAGTCGAGGGACATCACTCGCATAGAAAATCTTCTCGATCAAGATCACGGCACTCACGTGCTCGCTCCAAGGCGCGCTCATCCTCCTCTTCGTCGTCCTCCTCCAGCAGCCGGTCCCGCTCCCGCTCCCGCTCCCGCTCCCGCGCTCGTAGTGGGTACACCGAACTGACGATCCGCAAGCGCAAGTCCTCGTCTCGTCGGCCCCGGTCCCGCTCACGCAGCAGTTCCTGCTGCAGCTCACGCTCCGGCCGGAAAAGCACGGTGGTGAGGGTCGAAAAGGTGGAGAGGAGTCGGTCTGCGTCGAGGAGCAGGGGTAGGGCATCATCGGAGGGAATTGTTAGGGTCGAGAAAGTGTTGGGTTCTGGAGGCGGGGAGGTCGTGGTTTATGATGCTACTGCTGCTGGGGCTTGCTCGGACTGTGGGAGTTCGAGCGGCACGGAGGAGGTGGTAACTGTTGATGATGGGGTTAGGGTTGAGAAGAGGGGCGGGAGGATGTATTGGAGTGTACCCAAGAGAAGATAGGGAACATAGATGGATGAGGGTTAAGAGAAGTGTTGACCGGGGCTTTAGATAGTGAGATCTGGATGAGAGGGGTTTTGTTAAGTTTTTTTTTTTTTTTTTTCATTTGTTTACTTTTGCTTATAATCTGTTTTTTTTTTTTTTTTTTTGTTTTGAAGAGGTATGTCACTCGAGCTATGACTGTCATGACAGCGATGTTTACGACCATTGAATACTTTCGACATCGTTTCCACTTTGGGGGGGTGTATTGACGGAGATATTTTAATACCTGATATTTAGAAACTGGTGAAGGCTTTGTTCAGATATGAGGTTCGAGTTACCGTATGAATAGACCATGTATCCACTGGAAGGTCTCTGGCAGAATTCACTGCAATTGATAGACAAACAATCAAACAATGCCTCTTATTCAAAGTTCACAGAGCTTGTACGTTAGGGTATTTGCTTGGGAATATCCCTATGTGATTCCATCCGGATTGACTGACTGATAAAGCGTAATGTTCAACGACTCCCTCGAGAGGTTGAACATGGCTGTTAATGAACTGTTGCTCAGCTGTAGTATGTCATCAATAATTTCAAAGTGCATACATATATCGCCTTCGCTGTTAGAAAGACTGGCCCTTCGCTGTATCTTATGGAGGGACAGCTTTTTGCAACAGGTGATCGACTGCTCAGCTGACTGTACTTTTGTTGTTTTCAATTTTATTTACACTTCATCCCAAGCCATTCATGCCGAGTACGCCGTCCGAGGATTAGCACATACCGTCGGAAGAGGCACCCGTGACGCCAACACCGAGTCTCATCACCAATCTTTATTCTGATCAAAACCAAAAGAGGTGAGGACAAGCAAGAGAAGCTAGCTACCTGACAACCTATTCAAAAGAAAAAAAAGTTTATCCTACAGCATCTCGACTAGAGAAAGCTGGCCTCCCTTGTAGTTTCTCTGGCGCATGGACCATTGACTGCCCCAACCTCCCTCAGGCACACCACCAACCCCCCATCACCACCCTCGCTAGCCAATGGCAGCCAAACATACAAAAGATTAACAAAAAACTTGGTTTAAAGGCTACGAGCAGGGTCGAACCCGTCCACTCGAGCCCCCACAGAGACTGGCAGTCCCCCATACCACGTATGGGCTCCCAGCCTCCATGTCGGTGTTGAGTCGCAACACCTAACCGCTACGCCACGCGAACGGTACCAGGGCGGCCCCCCAGTTGTTGACAATACAAGTCTTTGGATTGTTTTTAAATGACATTCCTGTTTGGCAGAGACCTCCACTAGCATCATTCACGCTTCCCTAGCCCTTTACCTCTCGACTCCCGTAACTGCTTTCGCCCTCTCCCTCCGCTAATTACCCTCCCTAACAAATGGCATGTAAATAAAAAAAAAATGTTGCGAAAAATGGTTCAAGAGCCGCAAGCAAGTTCAAACTCATTCACTCGCGAACCCCAAGAGCCGGACTGACAGGTCCGCATACCACACATGAATTCTCGGCCTGGGATGTATCGGTAGTGAGAGCACCACCTGACCGCTATGCCACGCATGCGGTACCAAAGCGGCCCCCCCCCCGGTTGTTGGTATGGAAGTATTGTTGTTTATAGCGTGCCTTACTGGAGAGCAGTTCTCAATCCCATTATTGGTCATTTCTCATGTGTCGGCACTGCTCCCCAGCCACGCTTCGTAGAGCCTGCAGTTTGTTGACCCCCACAGTGTACTTGGTAATTTGGGACCAAAACTGAAGTCTTTTTTGCGGTTCTCATGTCCTATCTTATTGATTGTAGAAACAGCACTGCACTCAACTCATCACTACAGATACGTTCAGCATCAACGATCCTCATGCCTCGAGTGCTTGGACTCAACCCTTTGCCCCCGACCCCTTCATCATTCCCACAACGCTTATCGCCGCTATTCATCCTTACCTTACCCATGTCATAACCGTCGTCATAAACTCATCCAGAAGTGCCACTCCAACACTCATCCTTCCTTTCATGCGCTCAATCTCGTCGAGTGACCACCAAAGTCCCTCGTGCCTGCGCTCGGCGGGGCGCGACGATAAGATCCGCGTCACGATCGTGGTGGAGTTTTCTTTCCAGGTGCGACCTGGGGAAGTGGGGCGCGTCCAGATCGCTGGTGCCAAATCGGATGCTTTCCGCTAAAGTGCCGGCAGCGCCAAGACACCTGCTGCTCCAGGGGCACCTGGCCCTAACCCGGCCTACAGAAATTCTCCGTTTGCTCATCAAGCTTTCATTTCGTGGTTTTTTTCCCCCCCATCATTCCCATTGTCGGATCCTTCCCCCCTTTTCTTCATCCCTTTTTTGGTGGGTTTTCGCCTCATATTTTATCATTTCCCTCAATCCCCCCATCCTAACCACCCAACCCAAGGTCCTAAGCAAAATGGACACCGGCGGCATCTTCATACTCCCCTTTCCCTACCAAAAACCACCACCAATTTATCATCCACGTCCCACCGCCTAACCTGCCACGCTGCTATCCACTGCTCCTCAATCTTCTTTTAAGTAGAATCCTCTATTGGCTCCAAAGAGTGGTATCTCTGCCCATCCAAACTACCACCTTCGGAAAAAAGTGGCAAACATCGGAGTAACTGGTTGTTTGGCCCTGCTTTTTGACTGTGGCTTGCGATTTCTCGTTGAATATTCACACCTACCTTTATGTACACAATCTTTCCTTAATTAACTATCTCCCGTTCTCCGTTGCCCATACGACGTTCACTCTTAGGGTAAACCCTTTGGTCAAGCAACACGGCAGCGAGCAACGAGAACTGTTGTGCCTTGTCGGACATATATATCTGCCGATTTCCATCTTATCCCCAAGTATTTCCCTACTCCCGTCTTCATATTCTCAGCATCTCATCTCATCCTAATTTTTGGCGCTCCAAGCCTACCACATGTCGTTTCAACTTGGCACTCAATTCCATTCGTCGTCACCCCAGACTGAAGCGGCCTCGGTCTTTGTGTCGCGGAACTTACCGTTGAGCCCCTCGTTGGATGCCTCGAACCAACAACTCCCAGAGCCCACTTCGCTTTGTCAACTTGTTTGACGACGATCAAATTCTTATTTCTATCGGCGATTCATGCATCGAGAAAACTGACCCAAACATACTAGAGAAGTCAACCACCGGCTGCTCATTTATCTTCGGAGTTCTTGATCAGAAGGTGAAAGCTCCAGCCCACACCAGGAACCTTTTTCTTTCCGACATGAGCGGAGCGGCCCCGTTGGCGAGCTGTGCAAGGCCAAATCAAATTGTGCCAAGCTGCGTGCTGTTCTGGCCGTACCCCAGCTGACTGGCGCAGCGAGGGCTGGTATCATATTGTCATCCTAATTGACCTTTTGAGTACATCGTGCGCGGTGCGACAGGCGACAGAATGGTTGCCAGTGTGGATTTACTAGAATTGGAGTCGGCGGCCTGGTGCTCAGGCAAGTGTCTACCATGTTGAGGAAGGGGATTGGCTCACTGGAGAAATATTATGAATGAGCTGTGAAAAAAATAGGATTTGTGAAAGGCAGCATGATGGGCCGCCAGAGATCCAGAGGAGAAACTGTCTGATCGCTTCCGCAAGTTTGTTGCCAGCCAGGTTGAAACGACAGAATAGAGCAGTTACGGGGATGCAGACAAGACGCCGGAACTAGTTTGAGAGCCGTTTGTGCCGCCCTAATATCCAGGTTTAACAGCTAGCTATAACTGTTGGAGCGACCTGTAAGTTTCGAGTCAAATATGACTATCTGGGACCTTAGTCGCGTTAACGGGCTGAAGCTAGTTGTAACCCTCTGTTACTTGATCTTTCACTACAATACTCATAAAACTGCAACCAAGTCTCAGTACTTATCATCTGCCTCATTGCCAGACTCGCTGCCCGGCTCATCAGAGCTTGGTTCTTTGGTTGTGCCACCAGGCGTTGTCAACCGGCGTGCAAAGTTTGAAGAGTGGGTGAGTTGTTATATCTTTGCTCGCGGCTTGAGGGCTGGAGTGGAATCTTTGCCTGGGTTGACACCTACATCTATGGGTGTGCTTCAGATTTGCTGATCAAGGGTGTTTTGTTCACCCATAGGAGGGGTGCATTTATGAGTTGCCTGGCCTCCTAAGGTGCACCAACGCAACGAGCGTTCACCTGTCCTTGTCCTATTCTCCTCGAAGGCCACGTTTTCTGCTGTTCGAAAGCGGACTCTGGAGGTCGTTGTCTCAGAAGCTGGATAAATGGAAGTTGAGGGATTTTGACACGACATAGAGTGTTGTCGAAAGGTCTGTCAGTCGAAAGGGGCAGCATTGCGACTGTTTCTTCCCGTCGCCGAGAGTGAGTTGAGGGAATATATAGACAAAATTCTGTGACGAGAAGTCTTTTGGTCTGAACCGGTGAGGGTTGCGTTACTGTCAACTGTCATCGGAGTAAGGTATAATAGTTGGCATGGACGATGGTTTCCGTGCCGAACTGACCACTTGCAACCAGTTTGATGGATGCCTTTGCTGTTACATCAGCAAACCAACGCCAAATTGAATATTTTAGGGTTCGTAACCCCAAACAATAATATAAATCTTTTATCAAGAACTGTACTCCAGAGCCAAGAGATCAGTATTACCAGAGGAGAAACTGTTGAAAGTTGACATTGGTGTCACACGGACACGGCAGTCCAGGGAAAATTGGTATCCCTGACTGCCAAACACAAGATACACCGGAGATGGAATGATTGCGAGCGGCAGGAGCCCGTGGTTGACCCCAGGAGATGTCTGGAAGCCGCATTACAGAAAAGAATGAACCGGATGGCCGAGAAGATTCTATAAAGGAAGCTAATCGGACACGATGGACTTCTCTTGGTTTTCCTCTCCCTAACAGACAGATGGACACTGAGGACCAAGATTATTGCACGTATCAATTGACTTCGTTGTGCACCCCACACCGTCATTGGCTATCATCTAACCCATTTGACCCATTGTCGATCCCTGCCTGCACTAGACCAAGTCCCCCGTTACAATTGGGTAGCCCCATGGTGTTTCGGCATCACAATTCATATGGCATCTTAGCCTCCGAGTTATCATGCTTTCAGGGATGAGAAGGAGAAGTAAGGAGTCCCAAATGATCATTGAGTAGGACACTGCTGACGCATCGGTACTAGGAAGGGGAAGGGGAAGAAGTGAGCCAATCTTTGAATTGACTTGTGAGCGTGTATTGGAAGTTAATATCCACCAGATTAGCTCGTCGGCGTGCGTCAAAGGACGGGATATTATGTGCACTTCAAGATAGTGGGAGGAGAGTAGCTGGTAGTGCGCAGCGCTGGTTTACCAGTTTGTCTCACAGGGGTCATGAGGTGATGTGAAGAAGGAGAGGATGTTATGCGGTGTTATGCGGTGTTATGCGGTGTTAGGAAGGAGATGCTAATGTAAATTGATAGGATTGAGGTCACTCCAGTGGTTGCTCAAGCTTTGCAAATGTTGACATGACATCGTGAATTGCTGGGCTTTTCGGGATATCAGGTCCCGATGACCATATCCCTGAAACAGCTACACTTCATCAACAAAACTGGCTTGGCTGGTGAAGCGGCAGTCCAAGAATGACCTTTCGTAAAACGCAAAGCATCTTCCGATGTTCTATCCACCCATCAAACCCACTCAACACCATAAACCCGGCAACCCCGCGGACCGGTGTGGATCTCGGCATGCGGAGCGGCCCCTCTAGCGCGGGACAAAAGCACCGGGATGAGCGGGGGCCGCGGCTTGCATCGGATATGCCGTGCGCCGCTGCACAACAACTTAAGAGCCGCCCGACGACCACTTCACCCCTGATTTATTTCCCAAGCCATTGATGTATCTAAGCTGCACCAACCCAATCACAAGCAGAATCACTAGCCAAAATGCCCACCTCCTGGCTCTGCATCCCTCCCACAAGCGACTTCTCTCTCGCCAACCTACCCTTCGGCATCGTCAGCACCTTAGCCGATGACACACCCCGCGTCGCCGTGGCTATCGGGGCATACATCCTCGACCTGAAAGCCCTCTCATCCCTCGTCGACCTCACCCCGCTCTTCACAGCCCATCAACTCCCCATCCCCCTCCCGATCCTCACGTCCACATTCTCCCAGCCCACACTGAACGCCTTCGCTTCCCTCGGCCGGCCCATCCACCGCATCGTCCGCGCCGCCCTACAAGAGCTCCTGTCTGCCGATACAAATCATGGGTCGTTGCTAAGGGACAACGAATCCGCCAAGGCTAAGGCGCTGGTCCCACAGACAGACGTCAAAATGCACCTGCCCATGCAAATCGGCGATTACACCGACTTCTACGCAGGCATACACCACGCGCGCGCGGTCGGGACGTTATTCCGCGGTGCGGCAAACGCACTACAGCCGAATTATGTGCACCTACCCGTGGGGTATCATGGCAGGTCGTCGAGCATCATTGTATCGGGGACGCCAGTACGCAGGCCGGTCGGGCAGATCCTACCCGGCCTGGGGCAACCGCCGATTACGGCGGCTAGTAGGAAGTTGGACTTTGAGCTTGAGCTGGGATGTTTTGTTGCCAAGGGGAATGAAATGGGATTGAGGATGTCCGTCGACCAGGCAGATGAGGACGGGGTGTTTGGCTATGTGCTGTTGAATGACTGGAGCGCCAGGGATGTTCAGAGCTGGGAGTATGTCCCGCTGGGGCCATTCAACGGGAAGAATTTTGCAACTACGGTGGGGGGCTGGGTGGTGCTGGCTGATGCGTTGGAGGACGTGAGGGTTCCGGGGCCAGAGAGGGAGGAGGGATGGGGGGAGGTGCAGGGGTATTTGAGGGGTGGAGGGAGGAGTATGTGGGGGTTGGATTTGGACTTGGAGGTTGAGTTGGGAGGTAAGTCTACTGTTTTTCTTTTTCTTTTTTTTATTTTTCCCCTGGCGTTTTTTTGGAGGGGATGCTGACAGATGAGCAGCACCTAATGGTACAACGACAACGATAACGCGCACCAACGCCCGACATCTTATCTGGTCCTTCCCGCAGATGATGGCGCATCATACTGTGGGCGGGTGTCCCCTTCGCACGGGGGATTTGCTTGGATCGGGGACGATTAGCGGGCCAGGAGGGCCGACTGAAGCGGGCAGTCTGTTGGAGATTACGGAGAATGGGAAGAAAGAGTTGGTCCTGCAGGATGGAGAAAAGAGGACGTTTTTGCAGGATGGGGATACGGTGACTTTCAAGGGGTATGCGGTTACAAAAGATGGGCAGAGGATTGGGTTTGGGGAGTGTACGGGGACTGTTTTGCCGGCGTTGGAGCTGTGATAGACTGAGTGTTTAATCTAGGAACTTTTGCTATGGTTACTGTACGTGTTGCGACTTCTTGTTTTTTTTTTAAAAAAAAAGAAAGAGAAAAAAATTAAACCTCTGTAGCCTACATTTGAGCTGCTTTAGTAATTACATGAAAGGCTTGATTCCAGGTGGACCCTTCTATGATGCGTTGAAACAGCTTTTATGGAGAGGTGTAAGCTCTTCATCTCTCTCTAGAAATCTCACCTAGCGAACTGCGACTGAGTAAGGAGGAGCGATGAAACTGGTAAGGCGACCATTTAATGCCTTTTCTTGACTGGAAAAAGGAAAGCTTATGGTTTAGTCCACGAGATCCAACAGCTCAGGGCCTTCCACTCCTTTAGCTCCCGTTTGGTTCAAAGATTTTCCTGCCTGTTATTCACATATGCTGAGTCCAGCAGAGCTTGATGCCTTCCCTTTTTTTTTTTTTTCCTTGCTGCTGATGAAAGATTCGATGTCGATGACACCAACCACGAAACAAGCGCCGAGTGCTTGGTCGACTAAAGCCAGCGCACAAAACGCTTGGCCAAAATCGCCCCCACTAAGCCCTCACGTCTCGGCAAGCAACCCTAGGCAAGTCACGTGCACGCACCGCGGCAAGGGTCGAGCCGGGGAGCCCGAAAGCTGAAAGGGCAAGCAGCTGAGATCCGCTCTTTTACAAGCAGCGGCCGTAGCTGGAGTTTCGCATCGATCTAGGACGAACGGACGAGATAGCCCGGAATCGGAGGGGCAATGGACCAGCTCGAGACGCAGGTGAGCGATCTGCGGTCTTTCCTGGGAGCTGCAGCAGAGGCGGGCCCGCAGAGCGTGAGGCCGGGAGCAGCGGAGATTATGTCGCCGCTGGCCAGCGGCTTTGGTGTCAATGTCGCCTATTCAGCTGCTCCCAGTGCCAGCGTGAGCGGAACTGAAATTGGACCTGGAGCTGATGGCCCACTCGCCGCTGGCGGCAGCATTCCCGGGTCGTCGGGTCTGCGGCGAGGGAGCAGTTACAGCGGGCGGAGCACGGCTCCAACAGCTGGTGTAGCCGTATCGGCGGGACCGGGAGCGCGCTCAGCGAGAGGCTCGCTTTCGTCCAGTTCCGCAGCTCCCGGAGACAATTCCGCGCCCAACGCCCCAACAATACTACCATCGCTGCCGACATTGCCAGCATTGCCAACTGCCGCCGGAACGCCGCCGCAGCAGCCCCCGTCGCCGCTGGAAGCGCGTGCAAATAGCGTGACCAGCGCTGCGAGTGTCTCGGGGAGTGTGAGTGCTGCCGCCACTACTGCAAAGCGCCGGGCTGAGGACGGCGATGGTGAGCCTGTCGTCAAGCAGCAACGCAGCAAGCGAAATAGGGTAAGTTAAGGTTGAGATTATGGGTCTTCTCTGAAAAGGAAAATTAGCAAAAATGTTACATAAATTGTTGTTAACGACGCGCATGTGGCTAACGTCGTAACAGTACATCTCAATAGCCTGGTAAGCTCTGCATCACCACCCACCACCCACATCCTACCTCTCTCTCCCTTTGTGCAACATGCATCAAAAGCTAACAGCCCCAGCAACGAATGCAAGCGCCGTAAAATCAAGTGCAACGGCCAGACTCCCTGTCAACGATGCGGCCACCTCAACCTGCAATGCCTTTACGCTCCCAACTGCTGCTCGACCTTCCGCGAGTCGGAAGAGTTCAAGCGCCTGACCGAGCAGGTCCGCCAGCTGCAGGAGCATGTGAACACCTTGTTCAACGAGATGAACGCCTTAAAACAGGAGACGATGCTTCGATCTGGTCAGGACCGCGGCGTTGTAGCGTCTCCTGCTGGCAGCGGCCCTGGAGGGGCTAGTACTCTCGCTCCGACTCCAAGCAGCTCCAGTCGACAGCCGTCTCAGGCGCAGCCGCTGCCCTACCGTGCACCGTCGACCTTCCACGGGCCGACCAGCATCGCCTACACCGTAGACGTGGCGAAGAACACGCTGCAGAATATGGGCGTCGCCGACCGTGATGACAGCAGCGGGCCGCAGTCAGCGTCGACTCCTCACGGGTCGCCCGGGTTGCAGCCCCTAACCGGGGCAGCCCCATCGCCGGGTTACTCTCAGGCTGACGGCGGGGAGCGTGATCCCCTCTGGGAGTTTGACGAGCCCGAGATGATGCGTCTGCTGTATGTGTTCCGGGACGAGGTCAGCTTCATGTGGCCGGTCGTATCGCCGGATGCGATATTCGAGCATGCGAAGCAGGTGTGTCTGTGGATGAGTGCGCGACGACGAGATCCCGCCGGTGGGGGGGACCCGGTTGAGCAACAGAAGTTGTTCAAGGATCCGCAGACGCTGCTGCTCAAGCTGGCTCTGTGCAGCGGGCTGTTGATTGAAGAGCACGGGAATAGTCCTAAGGCGGACAGGCTCTTTGCCAGCATCCAGCCCATCGTGGACAGGATGCTGATGAGCGAACATGCCGATGTCAACACCCTGCCCATTCTGGCGCTCGTCGCTAGTTATCGGTATCTGTCGAACGATGAAGTGCTTGCCTGGCGTGTTATTGGGCATATAGCAAGGATGTGTCTGGAGCTGGGGCTGCATCGCCTCGAGGGATTGAAGAGGATAGCAGACAAGCAGGCCCGAAAGCATGCTCTGCACACATTCTGGACGACGTACATTTTAGACAGGCGATGGAGTTTCGCGACTGGGTTGCCGTTTGTCTTTCACGATGACAAGATCGATCCCAAGCTCCCTTATCCCGTAAGCACTGCCCCCCCCCCCATCCTGGGCTTTAGGAAACCCGCTGACTCCCCAGAATCAACACCCCTTCCTGGTCGCCATGATCGACTACTCTAAACTCAGCGCCAAGATCTGGAAATTCGTCGACTACTTCGAGCCGGCCGTCACGCGCGAGCTTAAACCCCAGGATTTTGAGCTCCTCGACCGCGAGATCATGGCCTGGTACGACAGCGTGCCTGAAGAGATTCGCATCGACCCGCAGCTCGATGACGACGAGATCCCCCTACAAGCGTCCCACCGCCAGCGCATCTGGACGCGACTGCGCCTCAACCAGGCCCGCATCTGGCTCTATACTCCGGTATTGCACTCGGCGACGTCAATCGCGCAGAACCTAGAGCAGGCTCAAAAGGTTGTGGAGCTAGCAAAGAAGACTATCTGCATCTTGACCAGGTTGAACCAGAAGACGGATCTCTACCGCCGCATGCAGGTGTTTTACCACCAGTTTTTGACGTCGTCCATTGCGGTGCTGTTCCTCGCGTCGACGCATGCGCCGCTGCAGTTTAGCGGGATGTGCAGAGATGAGTTTTATATGGCGCTGGATTTGGTCAAGGAAATGTCAGCGCGGAGTTGGGTATCAAAACGCCTCTGGAGGACAATCAAGAGTTTAAAGGCCTACGCCCCAAGCTTGGGCCTCGACGCAGGCAGGGAGCATCGCTCATCCTCGGGCGTGTTCCCAATCGGCAGCGCAAAGGGCGTGCAGAGCACAACCTCAAGCCAAAGCCCCGACTCCGCAAGCCACGCTGGCAGCGCCTTTGGCGGCACTCTCCCTCCCGGCCACCACCACAGCAGCCCTACTCCCGTGCACGTCACACAAGCCCCGATCCTGCCTTCCCAAAGCCAGATACTTGCCTCGTCCGGCGACAGTCCCAGCGATGGAGTGCAACTACACACAGAGATGTCGCGCATTTTTGAAGGGTATATTGGTTTCGGTATGGGAAGCCATGTGGGCGGATTGGGGATAAATATGGTCTCGTCGGCTCCTGGTGACGCGGCGGGTTATTCGTCTGCTCCTCCAGTGACTGGAGTGAGTACGCCGGATGTTGAGATGGTGTATGCACCGCCGCCACAGGCGGATGGGTTGGGGATAGGGATGGATGAGGGAAACGAACCTGGACAGGGGGTTTATATGCATGTTAGAGAGATGTTCTAAGGGGCCCGGGGAGGAGGGGGAGGAGGAGGAGGAGAAGGAAGAGGAGGAAGGAGGAAAAGGGAGGGGGGAGGGGGAAGAGGGGGAAGAGGGGAAAAGGGTTAGTAACGGCCTCAGAGGATATATCGGGAGGTCAAAGGGTTTTTGATGGGACCTCAAGTTATTTTGGTATATACCTATATATATATATATATATATATATATATATATATTTCGTAATGTTGTCATAGCCCTATGTTTGTTTCTATGAAGAGCTTGGTTAAGAAGCTCCAGAACTTTTTGGTTAATCATTAGAGGATATATGTTATTGATTCCTCTGATCTAACAAACTGACGAAGAGCCGTGTCGAAGGCTTGGCTATTTTCGGTGGATTGCCTTCTTCCCAGCGTCGAAGAAGTCGAGTAAACTTTAAATGGTCGACAACAACAATAATTTCCGTTTTTTTTTCCCTCCTACAAAAGTAGATTTGAAATCCAACCCCTCCGTAACGAGCTGATTTGATTCCAGCTACGAACACAAGTGTTCCCCTGTCGTCCCAGACACTCAAGGCCCCAGTTACATAAGATAACTTTGCAGCGAAAGTTAAAAGGGCACTAGTGGTTAGACAGAAGGCGCATGTCTCGACCAGCGTCTCCCGTCCAACCTGAGCTAAAAAAAAAAAAAATAAGCAGGGTTGATCGGCTGATGATGAGGTTTTGTGTCGGATATTTAACGTCTCGTCTTCTCGTTGACCCAGATAAGTTTGCAATACCTCTGACAGGTTCAATCTCCAATCCTGGGGAAAAGCCACCAACTAACAGAAGATTCTCTTATCAATCATCCAGCCCAGCATCATCATCATCTTTAGCGACAAATCCCCCATTGCCAGCCTTCAGCAACATACCTATACTTCGCTGTCAAACAACCATGCCCTTCTCACCCCCTGCGCCAATTACTCCCCCCTTCTCCGTGAGGAGAGCCCTCGCGAACCTCGAAATTTGAACTCCTCCCTCCAGAAGAAATCACCTACCTACCTCATCTTCTCCCACCTTACCCACTGCTCCCTATTCAATCTACAACTTATCTCTTGATACTTCTACCTAGCCTCCTCCCCTTCCCATCACAGTATTGCTGTGATGATGTTTATACGGTGTAGAAATTCACCGTCGAATGACGGGAACGGGTCAAATACTTGAAGTGAATGCATGTGGAGGAGATGTGACGAAGTACAAGAGGTGGGAGGTGCCAGGGCTTGTTTTTGGGGGGGGGGTTGTTCTATGGTCCCTATGAGCAGAGAGTTTCCTGGGGACGAGGATGGGGAGGGGGGATCAGATGGAGGGGAGAAGGTGGACAGACCTCTGGGCGAGTGCTGTGTCAAGCTATTCTATGATCCTGAGCGGGATCGAAAAGCAAGTCAGAGGTGTAAGCGGCAGGGAGTTGTGCCCTAAATGTGGGAATATGAAATGGAAGAATGAAAATGAGAAATATCAGAGTTGTGCCGAACGAAAGAAACGGGTAGGACAGTAGGTTAGGGAAGAGTGTGTTCTGACGCAGGTGGGGTATACGAGGGAGATGATTGAAAAGCATTGGGCCATGATGTGATTGGAAAGATGAGTTGAATGGTTACTGGATGTTAATGAGGAGGAGTTGGAGAGGGGGAAGGGGGAGTGGGAGAGCGAGGTGGAGGTGTTGTTGGCTGCCTTAGGAATGGGGATTTGTAGGAGGGGTGCGGTCGGGAGGATATGATGATGGAGATGGCAGTGATCACGGTAGGAAAGGCGATTGATGAGATATGTGTATCTGTGAAGCCACAGGGGCATAATGAAGAACCAGGATCTGGGTGGGTATCGATATATATATATATATACGCTGATTCGCAATTATCTCTCTTTGGAGAAACCTTCAAAATCCGTTAACGTCTCAATATCCAAGAAAGAACTTCCTGAGCAACCTGCCTCTCCTATGAACCAAACTCATTGGCTCCCCTCTAAAGCGTCATGCGGCCTTCTCCGTAAACCCGTCTTCGTGTGTGGGATAGGCATTTCCATTTCTACGCAGCACACACCCAAACCCATTTACTCCTCCTCGTCCTCGTGAAACCCTCCACTAACAACCTTCCGGCAAATCCCAGTCCCGCCATCCCACCAATTCCCTCCACTCCTCCGGTAGCCAGTTCCGATTCTCGTTCCCCCCGTTCTCGTCCTGGTTTTCGTCCGCGTCCCAATCCAAATCCGAGAACCGCGACCGCACGTATGCCTCAGCCCGAGCCTCGACCGCGGAAATCAGAGCTGAGAGATCGTGCCGGGGGAGGAGCGGAGACGAGGGGCGGGTGCGCTGTGACTGTAGGCGGTGGGTAAGCGGGCGGTGGGGTCCGGTAATTGGGATGGGAAGGGGGGCAGGTTGTGCGCGGAGTCGGGACACCCGTTGTGGCCTTCGCGCCCATGGCGAGGTTGACACCCGCGGCGGGGATGGTGTCGGTGTCGGACTCGGCCTCGGAGACGAAGTCAGTGTCACTAGTTCAGACACATCCGTCTCCGTTTGCGTCTCCGTCTCCGTCTGCGTTTGCGTCTCCGTGTCCCTCTCTGATCCCGCCTGCGGCTGTGCCCGGGAATGGGGACTTGGACGCCCCTCGCGAGGTGGGGGATGAAAGTCCCAGCGTTCCTCCATTCCCTCATCCACCACCTGCAGACCGTGGTTTCCCGCGTGGCCCCTCCACTCCGAGGCCAGGAAGAGGGGGTCGCTGAGGCGGAGGTGGACGTGGACATGCCGAAGCCTAGAGCCGACAGCGGAAACATCAGAGGGGGGCTGCTGGGTTTCGGTCAAGGGCTTCGCCGCGGCTTCGGGTTGGTCTTGGCTGAGGAGGGGGCCGAGGAGCAGGGAGAGGGCGGCGAAGGGGACGCCGTGGCGGAGGATCGTTTCATTAAGAAGTTGACTGGGCATTTTAGATGCATTGATGTGATCCAGTTAGGAAAGGTGAAATGGTGAGAATTTTGTTCTGCGTTGTCAGATGTGAGGGGATGAACGTAGAGTTTGAGGAGCTTCAATGCACTAGATCAGTCTCCAAGCGCTGTCTTCGCTCATCATGCCGATATCTGGGCGCAGCAGAGCAGAGCTTGGTGGCGTTCGCAGGCACAGACCGTCACCAAAATTGTCCGTTTAGGGTGTCTTGACACAAGCGATGGGCAACTTTATCCAGACTCCCGACCAAAGGAACGTCCATCACCGTCTTGCTAGAAGACGCATCCGTATCTTTAGCATCATACTGCCTGTCTTTTCCTCTGTTCACGTCATATCCAAAGTACGGGCTCTGTACCCAAAAAAAAGATTTGTCACGAAACAGGTCGTAAAAAGAAAACATCAGAAAAAAGACACTAAGCTATCGTTTCCAGCATACATGACAGCGTCGTTTACCCTGCATTCTTTCGTCTGATCAGCTCCATGTCATCGGCACCGGCTCGTCTGCCGAAAGATGTGACAGGAGTCCAACCAATTAGATAACGCCTTTCTCCCAAAACGGCAGGTGGGTCTCCCCACGATCAACCATCTCCCGCCGCCGCTTAAGATTCAAACGGGTTCTCTTTTTCTCCTTGTCTCTCGATGTGACTCGATGTGACTCGATGTGATGGTCTCCCTAACTTGATCAGGGTGCTTCTAGGTAGACACCGGAAAAGAAATGAGGGTTATGTGAAATGGAAGTTATGTGGACCGAGAGAATGACGTCATACCATTGCTTTGATGGACTAGGAGTTACCTTGTGTTTGAGAATTAGGTTGTCCGAGATCGTGCATTTGAGCTAAGAAATGTCAGTTACCACCTCATTCGAAGTTTGTGGGCGCTCGGGAAGATCGCCTTGACCGCCAAGGGACCAAGATCTGTGTGATTGGGATAAGGGTTGGGGTTGAGTAAGGGCCAGGGTTAGGATGACAAACTCTCCCGCATCCTGGACGAGGCCTTCCTCCGGAAGCGGACTCGAGAATAACCCACCCACCGTAAGACTCCAAAACTGGTAGTCCTTGACAAAGTGCATTTAAGAATCATGTCTCCATTATTGTCTGGCCAATGACGGTCCGGCTTCGCTGGCTCTATCAAACTGAACAATACCAATATTCTTTCAATGCTCACTCACATCTCCTACACCCCAACCCTGCCCCAACCTCTCATCAGCCCTCACAGCACATCACTCCCGCCCTCTTCTGGCACAGTCGCCACGCCAATGCGATCCAAAGCCCACGCAATCCTTTCATACTGCTTCTGACTCCACTCCTCATAAACCGCCTTAATGAACCAATACGTCCGCCGAAACCTCTCCTCACCCCTCTCTTCATCCTCATCCCCATCACCCCCAGCCGCAGTATACACCATGCTAAGCACCAGCTTGCGATGATACCTCGGGTCAAACCCCTCCCTCATAACGGGGTAGTGCGCATACACCCGGACAGTGGAGTAATCAAAGCTGACAGACCACGCCAAGATCCGGCGATCGATCAACCTCGTCATGCCCAGCAGGGAGTACAACTCTGTCACAGCGCGCATGGAGACAGCCGCAGCAGCAGCGCCGCGCCTGTCGGCCGTGTCGAGCGTCTCGTCCGGCCCGGCGACGTGGCACACGAGAAACGGGAAGCACATGTAGTATGTCGCGAGGAAGATGGACTGGTCACCTGCGGGGAAGCTGCCCAAGAACCGCGACAAATTGGCCAGTTGGAAGCGGGTGAACGCCTCGCGGCGGAAACCAACCGCGTAATCTGGCCTTGGGGGAACCGTCCCAGGCACGAGCGGGATCATGCTACTCCAAGAATCCATCACACTCTCCGTCAACCGGGCAACGGTCCTGTAGGAGGGAGTATCAACGGGGATATAGGTCCTCTCAACGGGAGGCACGAGCAGGCATCCGATGTCGAGGAAGAGTTTTTCCTTGTTTTTGTTGGCGACCTGCTGGACGGTGATGCAGAAGCGGTCATTGAAGAAGCGGTGGAGGGCGGCCTCGCCTTCTTGGGGGCTGATACTGTTGTTGTGTTGGCTGGAGAGGAGTTTTTCGAGCAGCATGCGGCAGTTGAGCGCTATGCCGTTTGGGGCCTCGCGCAGGTAGGTGTTACAGCGCACAGCGAGGAATGTCTCGTAGCGAGGGTCGCTGAAGGAGGGAATGGGTGCAGGAGGGGACGGCTCGGCTGAGGCTGGGATTACCCAGCGTCGCCAGGGAGGGAAATAATCGGGGTTGATTTGGTGAGGGGAGACATCGTGTTGGATATGGAGTTTGAGGAGCGGAGGGACAGAATTGTCTCTCGAGGGGGCCTCACTGCTCTCGTCGAAGGCCCAGAGTGCGCGGCCCAGGTCGGAGTCGTTGGTTGAGTCGAACTCGCGGGGAGGCGAGGGCTGCTGTCTCCGTTTGCGACGGGAAACGCGCTTGCTTTTTGCTCGCATGGTGATAGACTTGAATAAGATACGTCTAGCTGATGCTGATGGGATGGCGAGAGGGCTGTTGGGAACCAGAGATACGACTGGGACAGATATTCCACGAGGGTTCCCACGAGAGGTCTTCAGTCGTTTGCTCTGGACAGACTCACACCTACCTGCTAGCCCTCATTCTTTCCGTTGTCGTTCATTCTCGATTGGAATTTCCCTACTTCCCTTTCCCCCCCCCCCAAAAAAAACAAACTCTGATATTCAGTGCTTTCGACACACCTTCCACCTTTTCAGTCGTCTGCCCGGGCCCCCTGATATGTCCATGATGTCCACCTTCTTTTCCTGTCTGCGAGATTTATCTTGTCCTCTCTTTCTCAGGTTAGGGTCAGAGCTAGAGTATGAAAGAACTTGAACTCTGCCGTGGTACCAGGCCTCTGGTCGGGAAGTGACTTACGCTCTTCTCGAAGCTCCCCAAATGACACCACCCGCAGCCTTCTACAATGCTCCCCAATTCCCCAATCAGTGCTCTTGAAATCCCGCACGTGGGGCTCCAGTGAGCCAGTAAGAAAAACCTCTGACCCTGAAAATCCACGTGCCAGTCCGTCCTAGTCACACATCGACTTTCCCCGCATTTATTTCACTGGCAACCACCACCTCATCTTAGCCCAGACAGAGGAACGCTTCAACGCTAGAGACTCCTTCATCCAGCCAGTTAAATACCAAACAACCCGACCGTCTCCAAACTTTTGATATCGATCAAGACGGCCAGATATAACAGGAGCAAAATGCCCGGCTCCTCTCTCTGGCTCCTCCCCCCACCAACGCACCCTCTCCATACCCGCCTTAACAGCCTCATTACCTCCCTTCTACCCACATACTTACCCCAGGAATCCTCCTCCTCCCCAGATGTGGTCCCCCATTACTTCGCCGCGCACGTAACGCTCACCTCTAACATCCCGCCGTCCCTCTACGGGAGCGACCCGCAGGGCTGGCTGGAGCGGGCGTTTGCCATCAAGGCTACCGAACTAGCGAAGGAGGTTTACCCCAGGGTGAGGTTTGAGAAGGTTGATACGCAGGATGTGTTCTTTAGGAGGTGTTTTATTCGGGTCGGCTTTGAGGGAGTTAGGAACCTGGCGGGGTTGGCTAGGGCAGTGGGGGTTCATGACGAGGGGGACAGTGTGGAGAGGAATGGGGAGGGGGGAGTCAAGTTTGGGGGAGAGACGGAGAAGTGGTTAGGCGAATGGAGAGAGGCGTTTGGGCCACATGTTAGTTTGATGTAGTAAGTATATTTTTCTTTTTCTTCTGACATTAAGCGTTTTGTCGTTATGTTGAGCAGAGGAGCTGACAGTTGCAGCGGCGATGTCCCCATTTCCGAGGAGAATTTGGAGCAAGTTGCCAGGGTCGTTCGCGAAGCAGGCGTCAAGCTGGCTGGTAACCAGGGCAGGACTGATGGTGACAGGGAAGGCGAAGGTCTAGACGGTTGGGAGGGCGGCGTAGTCTGGCTTGTGCCAACAGACCGCCCGATTGCAGAGTGGAGGCCCATCGCGACATGGACAATCCCAAGCTAATCATCATCATCAGCTTAATCTCCACACAGCGTCTCTTCCTCAGACCAAATATATTCCCACTCAACCTGGCTCTTTCCATCCCTCTTAGGGATGCCATTCTCTTGGTTGATCCTGATCAATTCCATCTTCCTCTCCAACTCCCCTTCCGCACCCCTCCACGTCCTGCCCTTCAGGTGCCTCAGACAAAGCTGTTTCCCCTCGTCCGGGTAATACAGCCAGCAAGCCCACTTCCTCCATTGGCCTTCCTTCATCTCGTCACGCGCGCGATGGCCGACCGTGTCCTCGATGAAGGCGCCGCGCGGCACGGCCGAGCGGTTGGGAAATACGCGGGCGAGATAGTGTAATTTCTCGGCGATATGCGGCTTGTCATGCCAGAAGAAGAGGGGCGTCAGCGGGATTTTGTGCTGAACATTCTTGGTAGAGTCCCTGACCGTAAAGGTTTGTTTGTGCAGATTCGTCAGGGCGCGTAATGCCGGAAAGAGCATGACATGGTCGGATCGCGCGTAGCGGAGCATGCGCACGCTTGGGAAGCAGACGTATTTCACGGGGACTTTGGTCGTCGGCTCGGTGTTTTCCACGCCCGTCAGTTCGTGCTCATCAGCAGCATCCGACTGCCGCCTCATCACCTCCAATACCTCCCCAACCGGAATCTGCGCCACCAGCGACCAATCATGCTGCTGCACCCACACATACTCCGTCCGCGCCAATCTCAACCCCTCCCTCACCGCCAGCCCAAACCCCAATCTCTGCTCCGGCTCCACAAACGTCACCTTCCCATCCCGTGTCCGACTAATCCTCAGCTTAACAACAGGATTCCCATGCTGCGCGTACGCCACGCTCCCGTATTCGGCCTGTCCTTCCTCTTCCAATAAATCTCCCTCTTTCCCCTCTAGCGACCACTCCCTCAATATAAGGGCCTTAGCGTTCTCCTTATACAGGGCGTACTTCTTTGCCCCCTCGGCCGTGACATGTCCCTTTTTGAGACGGGCTGTTGTGCTGATATGATCGTACGTGTCGAGGATAAGGATGACGGGACAGTGCAGCAGGGGAGGGCAGAAGGCGCGGAAGGAGGAGAGAATTTGGCTGAGGAGGGAGGTTGAGGGGGCCGAGGGGGTTGGAGAGGTGGTGATTATTAGGGTTAGTTGGGAGGATATGTCGTAAGAGGACCCTTGGGGCAGGGTCTCCGAGGGATTGGGAGTGACAGGGGTGTCGACATTGGTGGTAGTGCCGCCCTGGGTAAGGGAGTCATCCGGGCTGGGGATCGAGTTTGGAGAGGCCATGTCGCCGCCAGCGGCTGTTGTGTGCATTGGGTGCGCCGCGGTCGTGTGGGAGATCCATAAAGTGGAAAGAAAGTGGTGTTGCTGCTAGCTCATGGGGAGTGAAGCGAATGGCATGCTGAGCGTAAGGCTGGTGTTGAGGCTGAGGAGGGGAGATAAGATTAAGATATTCCCCAGAGATCAAGGAGGGGACCAGTTTCTGCCTGGTGGGGTCTATCCCATACAGTTTATTTACTGTACTGGACTGTGTGGGTTTGGACGCATTTTCCTGTGTAAAAAAAGGAGGGGCACATTCTCTCGCAGAGTTAGAGGATTTTGTCGGCTCTGTCTAAACACAAGGAGTCAAGACTTGTTTCAGGCAGTGTATTTAATTATGTATATTTGCGTTTTTGTTGTTTATGGGCAGAATAATTGTATACAATACCGTCGGTATCCAAAATCCAGCAAACATGCCAATCCAGTTCTATCTCCATGGTTCCAAACACCACGATCTTCCAGAGCCAGAGAAGTCTCCAAAGCCAGCATAAAAGGCCGTCAACCTTCATAATACGGGTCTCATATCCTTTTTTTTTAGCAAAAAGTCAGTTTATCTCGCTTCAATAAGCCTTGTATCAGCACTTAGAAAGCCGAGTTTCCACTAAACCTCTTCCTCCCAAATAACCCCCTCGATCCCATCTCCATCTCTGACCCTTCCCTGCTCCGACCTCTCTTCTCCTTCGCCCGCTTCATCTCCCCTCGCAGGGCGAACAGCATCCACAGCGTCCACACCGTCGCCGCCGTTGCGATGTACGCCAGCTTGACGGCGGCCGAAGCGCGCGCGAGCCACAGCCCAAATCCGCCGTTGGCGATGCCCAGGCTGATGAAGATGCGTCCGTTGAAGAGATGCAGGTACGACCAGGCCTGGCGGCGGCGGAGTTTTTTGAACTTGAGGTGGTGGATGATGCCGAGGATAGGTTGGACTACGAGGCAGGCGAAGACGATGAGGCCGATGATCGGGTGGTAGTTGATGTTAGGGTTGGCCAACTACGTTCCGTTAATCTTTTCTCTTACAACAAGACGACAGAAAGGGGATATAATACTCACTATACTCCCATCCCTAACAACCTCCCCGTTACCTCCATCCCGAACCGGAATCTTGACAATCTCCACCAACTTAATCCCCATCCCCACCGCCGCGGCGAACACGGCCAAGGCAATCATCTGCGCAATGGCATGACACCACAATGCAAACTTGCCGGGCAAAAGTCGGATTAGGATGCTACCGCCGGGGAACAGCGCAACCATGGCGATAGCGCCCAAAACTCCATGGATGGCGCGCACACGAGTCGCCTCGTCGACGTCGAAGGCCGGCCCGCCGCGGAAGCCGCTTCCTTGAGGACCGCCTGGGTAGCCCGCGCCGTTCCAGTAGCCCCCGGGGCCGTATTGCGCTTGGCCGGGGGCTGCTAGGACTGGGAAGAGTTAGTTCGGGTTGGGGCAGAGAGAGGGGGAGAAGGACATACCGAGGATGATGAAGAGCTTGAACAGCAGGACGTTGATCATGGTGACGTTTTGTAGTAAGTGAAACGAGTGTGGATGAGCAGGTGAAGAAGGAACTGTTGAACAGGATGATTAGAGGGTGTTAGGTTGAGGGAAGAAAACGTGCGAAGCCTGACGTGGTTGGGTGAATTTAACACCGAGACATGTGCGTCGTGCCGCGTCCAGTGGGATCTGAGGGTCTGGATCTGACGCGCGTGGTGTGCATTGCATCATTGCTACGGCAGCTGCACGCACTTTACCTGGCTTTAAGGACTGTGCTGTGTTGTTTTGCAGTCGGTTCGGACGAATGATGGGGATACCGGACGAGGGTAGGGAGACACACGTGCTTGCTGCACTTGGTCAGTTTAAACAAGAGAGGGGATGAAGAATGCGGAGGAGGAGAAGGAAGAGGAAGAGGAGAGGGGGAGGGGAGGAGGAGGAGAGAGAATGCCTTTGGTGCCCATCAAATACCCTTGGCCTGGTTATTATTACCTTCACCCAGATGTTCAGCCCGTTCAGCCCGCTTGCTGACCTCACCTACGTGCCGTAAGACCAGCATCGAGTTGCGCCGACAGATGCAGACACGGTACAGGACGGATGTCCTACAGCTCTGCGTCACACAAGCGCCCGTCGGGACCGATCAGATGCCTGCATGTCCGGACCAATCCGTGTGAGACATGCGAGCCGCACAATTGGAAAGGCGATGCCGTATAATACAGCGTGCCCTATTGCGGCAGTACTCGTTTAGGAGGATTTAGATATCAGGTCTGGACATAATTAGTCCCCATTATAAAGCCCATCAGCTAAACGAAGCGCTCTCCCGTTAACAGTCAGAGTTCCCAAGGACACACCTTGCCAAGAAGTCCGTAAACACTCTCCGCTGGACTTACTGCATCAGATCATCCATAAGTGTCGTTGGAGTGATGTATGCCGCCCAGAGCAGGTTCGGAAATAGCTTGGAAACCAGAAGCTACAGGGTCATCATGTAGGCGAGGGTGATGCGCAGGTGCATGGGACGTCGACAATCGTCTAGACCAGGAGACGTACGAAGGCGTGGGTGAAGTTATGCATGTGATGCGATTGTTGTTGTTGTTGTTGTTGTTGTTGTTGTTGTTGTTGTTGTTGTTGTTGTTGTTGTTGTTGTTGTTGTTGTTGTTGTTGTTGTTGTTGTTGTTGTTGTTGTTGTTGTTGTTTTCAGTTTGTGGCGTGGAGCCGCATGCCCTGATCCCAAGCTCCCGGTTCACCTCGACATGGTGCTCATTTCGACCTTTTGATCACTGCCTTCCTTTTTTCTTTCCTGGATGTTGTTGCTGCTTCGCTACACTGCGTATGTCGTCCTGGTCCACAGAGGATCGACGACGAGAACCTGATAAGTGCCGTTCAGAGGTTTGCCCCAAAGACCAGAAACCTTTGCTGAGCTCCTGCTGCGCTCAGGTCACTTCCCAGATAACCCCGAGTAAGCCGAAAAGACGGGAAGGATTTGGAATCGATATTGAAATCGAACAGCATTGCCCAGCGACAGGGAATCGTATCGCGTAATGTTACATTCTCTGCCTGCCCACGACCTCTAAAAGCTGGCTTTTAATCGAGTTAGGCACAAAGTGGTGTACACCCTCATTGACTTGAAATTTTGTAAGCGGACCTCGACTGCAACTATGGTCTTGTTCCCTGCTCTACCAAACATGGCCTGTTAACCTTGATAAACAAGTTCTACTGCTTAACAAAAGCCTGAGAGACCCAAACAGGTCCCTTGACTCCTTGCCTTAAACACCTTCTTATCCCCTGACGCTAGGTGCTATGTTAAGAGAAGATTTAGTCTAAGGCTGGCACATCCTCCTGCCCATATCTCTCGACTAAATCTCGGATGTTGCTGATCATTCTAGAAGCATTAGTTAGAAACGCCTCTGGGAGTAATACAAAATATCACTCACTGAACTCGTAATCGCTTGTCGTTAGGGAAGAGTGCTGATACATGGGCGTTGAACCTCCTGTCGAACTCAATCAGTGACAGATCGTCGATAATTACTTTCAAAGACGTCAAAACCCACAGCTTATACAGATCAAGCCTACCCTCAAAGTCCTCTGTTGGCTCCGATATCTCATCACCAACGTAGTAGGCATCCAGATACCGTTTGTCGAAGCCGCTCTGTGCCGGCATCCACTGTCCAAACTCATCTACACACCTATCCGTCAGCCCTCGACAAAACAATGACAGCGAGCGCGTCCTAAAAGGAAGACACACACTCATGATGCGCATAAAAACAACACGCGTCAAACACCACACACCTCTTTTCCCCTACCACAACTCCCGCATTCCCCCACCACAGATCCCCGTGCACAAGTGAGGGCTTGACCTTGCGACCTCCGCTCTCCAACGGTCGAAGTAGTCGCGGAACCACCTTGCTATACAATCGAGGCAATAGATATTCTTCCATCTCCCTCTCGAGCCCTGCCTGGCCATTCGATTGAATCCTCTTGGGATGGACATCTGCGTCTTCGCCATCCAAACCACAATAAGGCCCCTTCACCTCTCTTTCCAACGTAATCGCAAATTTCAGGCTCTTCATGAAAAAGTCCTCCCAGCTCTCGGTCCACTCCACATACTGCGGCAGGTTACCTGCATACGTCTGTATGTGGAAACCGAACTTACCTGTCGGAGAAACACTTTTCTGATGAAGCTCGCGCAGGCAGGCTGTGAAAGGTTCTGGCGGGGGCCGACCGTTATCAATAACGGAAGCAGGGTCCCCCGAAAAGCCTGAGACCGGGAGGAGAGGCAGAAATTCCGTAAGGATGAAGTGTAGTTGCTGATGATCGTTGCTCTTGGACAACTCGGGGTTGCTCAGGGATCCATTGCCTTTGGATTTGCCCGCTTCTTCCCGCCTACTGAGGCTGGAGAGGACTTCGCTCGCAGAGCTTTGACACGTTCCATAGGCGATTGGACGAGGGGCAAAACGAGATATTACGTCACGGATGGCGTTTAGGGACTCGTATTCTGATTTCACCATGGCTAGGCCTGTCTCGCCAGGCAGGAGCTTGAGGAAGAGTGACTTGGTGAAGCCATCTTGCTGAAGGATGTCCATACGAGCGGTGTGTGCCCAGAAGCTTTTGCCGTGAGGGGATATTGAGAGAATCTTGCTACCAGCGGGGAGTTCTAGAGGTGGGTGAGTAATGATACCGTGTAAGGGTCAGTTGGGTACATAAGCTCACCTGCGAGGATGGAGGGATCGAGGTCGATCGCATCCGCGGCAGTGTTGTTCCTGTTTTTATTTTCCCCCATATCTACTTCAACTGTCTCTAAATCTTGCTTGACGACGAGATAGACTTCATGGTAGCTTGTAATGTCGATGTTTGCTGCCTGTGCAGCAACCAACTCATCAAAGTAAGATGCAGGCGGCACAGTACCGGCGCTGTCGGATCTCACTTCTTTGTGCGCTGTTGGTTCCATCTCACCATCTCACCATCCAACTCGTAATCTGCACTCACAAACCACCTCGACATCTCTAGCAAATTGGCTTAATTTCCACCTGAACAGCGGGGAAAAAAATGTCCTCCTTTAATCCCCATTCCCCGTTTACTCCCAATAACCGCAAAGCCTACCTCCTCCAAGCCCTTTCCCAAGCCCAAAACTGTGTGCCCTCCCCCCCTCCCCCCTTTAAGCGCTGGTCATCAGCGCCATCCTCATCAACCCCTCTACCAGCACCATCATCTCAACCGGCTACTCCGAAGAACTCCCCAACAGCGACCCCAGCGACCTGGACTCAATCCACGCCGAGTTCGCCTACTTCATAAAAGCGACACAGAGCTCCGGCCTGAAAAGCTGGGAAGAGCTGGACTATGTGCTGCAGGAGGACAGTACTCTACACGACACTGGAGTCTCGTGCTAAGACGGCTAGTAAGGGTGTTTCTTGTGTGGAGAGGATTTTGACGCTGAAGAGTAGACGACGGGGCTGTAAGGGAGAATGGGATTTGGCAATTAACAATGCGGTTGTGGCAATCAATGAACCTGCAAATTTGGTAAAATAGTGTGAGACTGAGAAGTTGAGAGAGAGACAGAGGTTGAGGTGGTTATGATGGAGGAGAATGAGAAAGTTGGTGAGACGGGTTAAGGAGGTCACGTGGATGGGGCACGCAGACTTGCTGAAAACGTTTATATGTCAAGAAAGTATCTGGGCTCATTATCCAATGGGAGAAGCTTCGAATCTGATTCTGCCTCAATACCTGTGGATTGTTTGACATGAAAGAGATACTATCTTCCACCCCCATCAGACTTCTCTTTCCCTGATATCCCGTGTCTAAGCGAGCTCGTTCTAGAACCCCTCGCTTTCGTACAGCACCTGACTGGTATGAGGCCTGTTAGCTCTACCACAGCCCTTATGTCCTGTGGTTACACGGCTGCTAATATGGAAACACTAGTCCCCACCACAACCTCCTCCTCGACTCCTCATCCCATCAAGCCACAAGGTTACTTCGTGTGAGTGCCGATGCAGATGCAATTAACAACCCCCTTTAGCGTGTGTACTGTAGCTCGGTCGACTCGCCATCCAGCTGGGAGACCAAGGTCAGCCCAACGACATCAAAATTCAACCACAATACATCTGCTTTCAGAGCAAAGATAGTCATAGAAATGGATAAGTAGTTTATCTCAGTTAGCCAAAATATTTCTGTTGTTATTCTTGATGCTTACTGGTAACAAATTGCGAGTTACAGAGCGGGGTTGACCAAGGCTCCTGCCAGGGCTTTTGCGCTAACACAATTACACAATGGCTGGGCTGCGCACACGGTCAGGAGGTCAATGCGCATCGCCTGGCCTAAAGCAGAAAAGCAGTTGTTGGGAGATTTTTCCTTGCGGAGAGGTAAAGATGCGCATATTCTTTCGTTCTGAGGCATACCAATCACCATCCGTTGGCAATCCTCAACATTCTCTCTTTCCGGTCCTGGGTTTGAAGAAGTGTCCAAAATGCCAACAAAGCTGGAACCAGTCGAGCCATTTCCTCGGCGACTCCAGAGTAAACAAAAGGGGTTATCTGGTGGAGAATCACACTCGGACAACGAAATTACTGCCGAGAGCTTCGAAGATTACCTTGGCTTAAATGGGACTCAACATAGAGTGGCTCATGATCCTTACTCCCTCTCAAAACGCACGAAGTGAAGGTCTCATTGTCGGTCACGACCCAACAGGCATGGGGTCCTGTCCACGACACTCAACATCTAAACACCCATGATCATCTACTGGAAGACGAAACAGCCAGTCATGAGCCTATGTAGTATGCAGCATGTCCCTAGGAATCTATCAGTAGCCTACGACAAGCATGCCCCGCCCCACCCCATGCAATCCCAGGGTCGTCAATAATACACAACCCCCCATGGCCCCAATACTCTAGCAGACAAGCTGTCGAGCTAACTTCTCAGAGAAGCGATGTGTCTTAGTGAGCAAGCCACATGCAACGGTCGTCGACTGAACCAATGAAGTCCTCCTCGATAGTCTGTAACGTGGGTGATAAACCGCAGACCCCCACCGCCAGCTCTGCAGCCAAGCCTGTCTCGTGTCTGCCGCTGCTACCTGCATCTGCAATGAGTGCGTGATGGTGATGTGCGTGTACACTATACCCCTTGTCAAACTGTTAGCGCAAAACGTTTGACAGGGGGGTTAGAGAACCTCCTTGTACAACAATACCTTTTCAACAAAAATATCTATCAAGAAAGGGAAAAAAATACACGCTTGAATTTAAGGAATGTTTTCCGTAACAAACGATGCGAAATATTCCTTTCACGGAATGTGTTTCGCCGGCAAGCTCTTGAAAGTGTGACGTTGGTCCCTGTTACCGAGAACCGCGCTAACACTTAGACAGGGCTTGGCCTGTACTTGTCAGCACCGAGCCAGGTTGTCAGAGTGGTACGCTTCGGGAGTTGATGTGGGTTCTTTGAAGCCTTCAGCTCTAGGATATCCAGGAGGCTTCGATCATATCTTGCTTGCATAAAGGCTGGCAACTGCCCATGTTCTTTATAATGTCGTGGGGTATGAAAGGGAAGCAGATTTTCTCCAAGATACACAAGTATCTGCTTTTTATTTTCGTACCGCCAGGCCGACCTCGCTGAACCGATGGTCCCAGTCCCTGTGCCCGCGTACAACGGCTGGGAAAGTAGCCCCAAGTGGCTAAAAGCTTGTCCATTTGTTTCTGGAATATTTATCGTACCGCTTCTTTTTCTATGGCTAGCAAGCTTCTCCTATGCTCGGAGCAGGCAGGACCCCACCCGCAATGGAGTCATTCTGTGGAAGATAGCAGCACCACTTTGGATCATGTAAGAAACATCAAGCTAAAGTCATGCCTACTGGAAACACTGGTCATTAACCGTCGCCTCCTGGGCATCAAAAGGACATCAACGGCTTTTACAGTGGCCAGCGCACTCCAGACTCACTATCCAAGTTGGACAGTCATTCGAGCACGGCGACAAGTTGGGCTTTGGCTCAATGCTTCTCACAACTTCGCTGACATCTCACTGTTCCTGACCATGATTGAGTTTTGCCAAGGCTTCGCTCTTGTTCTACAAAGCAATAAGATGCTAAGTCAGCGCAAACGGATCCATTATATGTCGCTTGGTGCCAGTGGCCTTCTCGTTGTTCTTTCCTTGACCTCCCTCGGGTATGGGGGTGGATCAAAGTTTGGAGCTTACTACAAAGATGAAGAGTCGTATTACAGGAATGCCAGTTCCGTGAGGTCAGCTGAAAGAGTGGTCGACTCCCTTCAGGTTGCTACAGCCTCCTTGCTCTGTCTCAGCTCCATGTCCGTTCTCGGTTTTGTAACTGGGATACACTACTTAGCCAAGGCTCAGCCCCGGCTCTATAATGTGCGTTCTGATCAAGCTTCTCGCCATTGCAAGCTCTCTGTATGCTGACATGCAGTGTATTTACTTTTGATAAACAGTCAGCCAACCTATTTGCTGCTGCGGCATGGGCAGAGACCATCCGTTCTGTCGTCACGGTTATTCTCACTGCCAGAGTGAAACTCCACCGGCATGTCAAAGAAGGCAGCTCAGTCTTGTGGCTCGTCAAGCCATTGGTCGACTTTTGTGCTCCAGTTCATCGTCCTTGTCTTGCTGTTTTTCATAGCTGTTCGGAAGCCTGGGAGAGGTGTTTGGCTATCTTTTGACGATAATGCTCGGCGAGACCAGTGGCCCACTGCCAGACCAACAAGCTCAGCATTAACCAAGGTACCAACCTGGAAGGGCAGCGTCACTGCAAGCAGCAAACGACACTCGCAAGTTGTTCCAAGCATATCAACCCGCAACTCTCCCACGCAAACTTCATCTCGCATCGAGTGGGCAGGTTTATTTTTGGGACCGCCTACATGGTCCCGTGGGACACGGAAAAAGTCAACATCTACTTCCACCAACAGCCTAACGGCAGTAACATCTCCTCGTGCTGCCCTCGTTCCTGTGGTTTCCGTGGTGCCTATGGGCACTCTACCCACCGATCTTCTACCTCTTCCGCAACACAAAGGAGGTTCACAATCCCCGGATATCTCGAACAAGTAACGACAGCGGACTTAACTACAATTACAACGGCTGGTCAGCAGGCGTCAGGTAATATTTCTCATTCCTTAAACTTTGCTCTGATGAAGGGTCACAGCATGTATGATATGAGAGGAAAATGGGGCAATGTTACCCTGATGTTATTATACCCCAAGTAGCAGAATACAGAAGATTTCCCCAAGACCAGGGAGAGTATGGTGATAATTCTAGGCTTCTTTGGGCAACGGTTTGATAGGTTCTGGGGAGAAAGACGGAGTGCAGTTGGTTGATCGGATGAATTTTTGGTTCGAGTCATTCTGCAGCATTAAGTCCAGTTGTAAACGGATTCTTAGCTGAGAGGTCTCGAAGCATTCTAGAAATCCCGAGGGCTTGGCTACCACGTGCCTGCCAAGCTTTCTGCAGACGCTGGGCAAGAAGATATTCAGCCAAGATGGATGCTTTCTACTTTGTCATCTCATCTCTGGCACTGCCACAGTGGGTGCGAAGTCAGACGCCGTCAAACAACAGCACTCTTGCTTATCTATTATGCCAAAACACAGCAGTCTAAATGTTAAAATGGATATGCCGCATTGTTGATAAAAACTTGATATAAAATATAGTAGAGCAGGACTAAAAACAGTGTGCTGAGGGAAATGTGCTTTTATCTTCTCTTTTAGTGGCGTTTTGAGCCAGCCGCTTCGGCCCATACCAAAGCACAAGAGTTACCCATCTATTGCCCCTGCCTCAGGCGATGAGCCAAGGCAGATTACAGCCTGCCCCGCAGCTACTGAGTGGTAAGGCGGACAATTTTGTTATCGTCAAACCTCCTCTCTGCTTCCTGCTCTATGGTTTAGCTGCTCCTATGGATGTCATATAACTATACCTGTCCCATGTGTGGCCTCCTGCACTGGTCACCGTCTCTAGCCATCCTCCGAC